TAAAAAACCATAGTTGACCGATGATTTTAAAATTTTGTGTACGGGTCTAAATTTTGATTATAAACAAATTTTCTTAATAACTTTTTGTTATATTGGCACACAAAAGCCATTTTACTCTACAGAAGTATAGGTTTTTTTGAAAATCTCCAAAACATACTTGACTTTTCAAAACTAAAATTAAAATAGAAATTATTAATTCAGCTATCCGGGGACACACTAAATTTTGAAATTATGGAAGTTTAAATCTTGCACTTTGACCCTATTTATTTCTGTTGGGAAAATTTTTTGCATGTTTTTTGGCGGAAGGTTGTAAAAGAAGCTGTATCCCGAATTGTAACTATGTTTACCGTTATTTGTGGCTTTACTCTCTCATAACTTCGAAATTTTTATAGATAGAATTTTTTAAACATTTTTGTGCGCGACTTTCCGTACAGCCTCTATATTAATCATTTTTTCCATGTATCTGGTTTATTATCTTACCAGGCATTTTTTTCTGGGGCGCAAGAGTTCTGAAATACCCTGTATTCTAATTTTATTGTGTTTGATTATTAAATCTCTTTCGTTTAAATATTTCAAACTATTTCAAAGAAAACAATAGTTTTTTGTAAAAAAATAACTTGGCAACGCCTCAAATGAGAATATGAGAGGGCCGCAAGTGGAGCCTTGCGACATTGACAATTTTTTGTGCCATTTTACTAAATTAAATCGTTTTGAAAGCGGCTTTACAAAAGAAAAATATAATTTCAGATGTTGTTGTTACTTCCGGGTCAGTTGGCCGTGACTTGTCAACTGGAAGAATTCATTTCTGCGGTTACACTTACCAAATTAAATGAAAGAAAGTCTTTTATGTCACTCCTACGCTTTTCTCGGGTTACTTTGTTCTTTAAATAAGGAATTTGCTCATTTTTTCCTTTATTGTACTAGAAAAGTCAACAATTATTATTATCATAATTGTTTACGTTAACATTGCTTGTCAGAAGCGCTAATACAACAGTAATACAATTTTATCACTTTCAACATAACTTATGACTAACACAATTTAGAGTTATCATAAACATGCGTTGTAGTATTCAAAATGTCATTAAAGAACGAGATAACCTCAAATTTTCAAAATTGTAGATGTCGCCCCAGAAATAATAATTTTTTTTATTTTCCGCTTTATTTCTAAAAAAAAACTTCATTGCAACAAATTTCTTTTTTTAGCCCTTTTAGAAATTAATCTAGCGCTGCTTTGCTCGTCGACTGTGAAAAATTCTATCCCAATTTGACATGCATGCGGCTTGGGCAAAGAATAAATAAGGATAATAAAACGAGATTCTCTTTGAAGTAACTTTCGCTATAAAATCATATTATATATAATAACACCAGTTGGCTGTGTTTTGCCTTCCGGTATAGATCGATTAAAACTTAGTTGGCTCTGGCAGGACAAGACGGGTCAAGTTGGCGTAAAAATCATCAAGTATCGATTTACAAGTTTCTTAAAAGTTGGCTAAATGCGAGTTTTATTATGTCACTAAAATGGCATGTTTGACAATTACTATGATGTATAGTTAGGGCATGCAAAGTGTGTCGCGTGCCAACTATGATACATATCGAAAAAATCCCCTTATCACTAATAAGTTTCAATTAGCATATTATATGTATAAAAGAATAAACATATGTTCAATTAATTGTGATAAGTCCCGAGTCGATCGATCCAATCGTGCCAACGTTCGATTTCCTTAATTTCACACTAACGTTAGAATTATTAAAGATAAGAAAAGACAATCGCATACCCAGCTTACTTATCGTTGATACATTTCACACGATACACTCACACAACACTGACATCACCGCAACCCGGAGAAGAAATGCGAAATGTTAAAATCCGGTAGGTAGTCTCCCCTCCACTCGACCGGACAACTCTAGTCAGGACATACGTTACGATTTTTTCAAGTGTATTGTTTTCAACTTAAAAATTTCGGCAGGAGTGAGCTTCCAATTCGGGGAGGGTGGGGTGTGTCACAGGGCCGGAACAGTTCGAAGAATGTGTGTGTCAAGCCCCAAGAAATTTCTCTTTCTTTTACTTTCTCTCGCGTCGCGTGATGTTTCGTAATCGATAGTTGCGGTGTTCAAATTATTATCTTTTAATTAGCGGTGGTAGATCGCGTAACCGCACGTCAAACGACGTTCGTTTGTTTCGCGAGTCCGGCCCTGACGCGTAACAGCTGGCCTCATATCGACGCTAGATTTTCTGTCTTTGTCTAGATGCAGATCCGCATTCATCCCGGCTCTGGATCTCCTCCAGGATGGCGTCGCGACGCGCATGCGGCGGATGAAGGACGTCGCGATGCTGTGCTAGGGAAAGCCGCCGTATTTCATTCATTAAGTAGCACGCAGGAAAACAGGTCCAGTGGCGGAGGCAATGTCAGGTGTACCAAAATCTATCTAGGTACACCTAATTAATCAACACTTTGATATCGAAGCATGAATTATGCTACAAACTTAAAATCCTTCCACAAAAAAGCTCTTTTTGTAGAGTTATTTCTCAAAATTTATGACATTGGTCATAAAATCGGCTCGTGACCGTAAAAAACTGCGGTCGGTTGGTTTTTTTTTTAGTTATTAGATTTTTTAAGTTATCAGGGTCCTTTTTGTTCAAAGATTTATTACCATTCTTACTTAAGAATTCATAAAATAAATTAAACGTATACAGGGTGATTCACGAGGAATAATGAGCCTGACCAAATTTTCGATGCAACCAACATTACAGTTGTTGCAAAATAACTTGCGAAGAGTAATGGTGGTTGCATCGAGAATTTGGTCAGGCTCATTATTTCTCGTGAATCACCTTGTATATACATAAATTCTAACAATTTTTTTCCATTAAAATTTTTGCAGATTTTTTTTTGCATATTTTACAAGTGATGTGAAAAACAAACAGTGAATTTTTTTAGTGAAAGTGTTTTTTTTGTGTTTTGGAAGGTGTAGATAAAACTGTCACCCGGTATAATAAACTTGAAATAAACATTTATACCAAAAAAAGAACAAAAATAGACAAAATGAGCACATTTTTAAGTCAAAATCTGCAAACAATTAAAAAGTAAAATACAGGATGTGCCAGAACTCGCGCCCCTGAGTAAAATGTAAGGTAAGATACCAGGAACATGGAAAAAATATTTAAAAAAATTTATCTATAAAAATTTAGAAATTTATTAAATTATTAAATTTATTTCTGTTGGGAAAATAATTTTCCAAGTTTTTTTGCTTTAGGCTATTAGAAGAGGAAACAAGAAAGCTGTATCCTAAATTGTAACTTTGTTCAATGTTATTTGTGACATTTATTGACAAAATTTTTGTAATTTTACTAAATAACTGTAAAAAAAACATTGCTACAGGCTATTAGAAGAGGAAACAAAGAAGCTGTATCCTAATTGTAACTCTGTTTAATGTTATTTGTGGTTTTTATTGCCAACATTTTTGTACTACTACAGTGAGATCAAAAAGTCTGTCTATCAAGCAAGCGTAGAAATTTAAAATGTATGAAGACTTCTTGATCGCACTGTATTACTAAATAATTATAAAAAGACCATATTGTCGTATCAACAAGAAATTACTCCCTAGGATTTAGGGATTTTCGTGAATAGGTTGCCATAAATTTGATTAGGTTGGTTTCTGGTAAGAAACAAAAGATATCGTAACTAGTGTCAAAATTTAGGTTAAGACACCTGTCAGCTTGTAAGGATAATTCATTTGATAGTTGACAGCAGGTTGACAGAAAACGTCAACCGTCAACAACAAGGGTGTAACCAACCCTAGGCATTCAAAATTACTTCTAGATGGTAATTTCTTGTTGACAAATCTTTAAGTAATATTAAATAGACATAAAAAATGTCAAATGTCAAAAATAAATGTCAAAATTTTTTGACAGATAGAATTTGTTAAACATTTAGTCCATGTTTCTGGTATCTTATCTTACTTAAAAATTTTCTCTGAAGCGCGAATTCTGACACACCCTGTATGTATTGTTAAAATTGTCAGTTATCATTAACAATTTAGTGCGTTTTTACTTTTTTTTTCAAAATATGAAATATTGAGGTCAAAAAAAAATTATTGAGGTCACCAGTGGCTACGCCACTGATAACGATTTCTGCTTGTTTTGAACAAACAAACACGACGAAATGTCGGATTGTTTGCAAAAGACAAGGACACTAACATTTGAACGTTTATTAAAGAATTAAAAAAGAGAGATAATGATACAGTAGTGTTATGGCGGTAATAATTTAAATTTCTACACAAGTTCTGATAAAAATATAAAAAACATTAAGATAATTACAACTAAGCCATAATGAAGTCAGTTTTAAAGCCGTTTCGACCTTCGCTGAAGTCATCATCGAAACAGACCTAAAATAAACAATTAAATCGCAATAAACAAAAGCCTTTTGCGTACCCAATGACTGTTCATTGTCCCCTGACATGGCGGCGTGGCAAACTCTGATTGGTCCTCATCACCGAAATCTATCAATTTTTCTTCTACTATATTCTTCGTGTTGTTGATGCGATTTTGTTGATTTTCTTTCGTTGTAACATTTTTTTCAAACTCTTTTGTAGCCGGTAGAATCCTCCAAGCTTCATACGCTGTACTGAAAGCATGAGCTACGGCCAAAGTGACAGTTTCGGCCATTTTTCGTTTTGAACAAATGAAAGCATGACATTCCATTGTTTCATGGGCGTCGGTTGAAACAAATGAAAATACTTGACGATGGGTGGGGTCGGTCGAGCAGTTTGAAATTCTAAAAATTTGATTTTGAATTTTGAGTGACAAAAGGGCCGAGTACGGACCTGTATATTGATATTTTTAAAATATCGTTGCCTTCTAAGTCTGTGACGGCAATCCCTTTGAGGGAAATCGCAATATTGACTCTTTGAAGCTTTTTTCGGCTAGCTTTAGTGACTTTGATTATGTTTTTGACGGCTTCGGTGCTAATGTTATCGCCCACTAATTTTTCAACTACGGTACTGCCTAAGAAACGACAGTGTTAAAACGCTGGTGTATAATTGGTTGCATACTCACCTAAGTATTTTAATTTAAATGTAATGACATCGTTTTCGTTTTCAATCTCTGTTTGGTCATTTTCAGATTCTTTGGCGTTTTGTAAGGCCAGTTCTTCTGATAATTCTGTAAGAAACATAATTTTTCTGTTATTTTGTAATTATTGATAAGTAGTGGCGTAACAAGTTTCGGGGACCAAAATGACGTCTCAACTATTTTGATTATTATTAAATAAACTAAACAGAATGCGTAATTTGGCGATTACTTAATCCATTCATAGTATTTCTGATAAGATTAATGTAATATTAAGCCCCATGTGCTACCCTCTGACCCCTAGTTTGATGCGCATTTTCGGCTCGATTCTAACGATTACGTCTAGACATAACTTTATTTTAATTAATAATAAATAAAAATATCGCCATTAAGATGCAATAATTTTTTTGCGTTTTAATTTTCACTCCTTTTACGATAAGTGGAAAGTCGACGTTCCATAAAACGGGATTGGTCTACTTCCTGTTGAGTCGTCGCAATTTTGACAAGAATATTGCATCAGAAGGCCGAAAATTTTCGTTCGTAAATATTATGATCGCAAAAAAGCGTATTATCGTGTTAGATGTTGAGATGTCAAGGGTACCAACCCTATTACATTTTTGTTTTTATTATGTCGCCAGTTGGTGTTTATACATTAAAAATAGATTTCCACAGTCCACACGCGTGTGAATGCACTTTTGATAAGAACATAGTTGGCCGTGATATGAACATACATGTGCCAAATTTCAATCCTAATTAATATTAATTGCAATTAATGTATGTATTTTTACATGGCCTTAAAAATAATTATTATTTCAGTCGCAGACAAAAATTTTAAACATAGTGAGAAACTTAAATTTGATAATTTATTATTGATTTAAGTTATGTCAAATTTCTTGTTCTAGTGTAATTAATTAGTGGTATTTATGAAAAGTGGTCATAATTTTGGATTTTAGCGCCAATTTTTTTTCACAAATTTTGATAAATGTTAATGTGACATTTCAATTTGAACTTAAAGACGGCTGTACACAATTGTGTTTACCTAAAGTAAAGCAAAAATAGTTATTTACATTATGCGTATACGGTAGGTATAATTTTACAGCGTGAAGTTTTAATATTGAAGCTCGAAGCGAAGCTGGGAGCTTTAATAAAACTGAACGCTGTAACAGACCTAACGCTCAAATAATGTACAAAACTTTTTGACCGAAAACCGTTCTTGGATTAATTTAAATTTTGGGTCTATGCGTTTACTATTTTCACCGCAAGATTCTTGCCGTAAAAAAATTAATTGTGTTTGTTTTTGAATACTAAATACAGGGTGCGTCAGAACTCGCCCCAGAGAAAAATTTCAAGTAAGACAAGATACTAAGAACAAGAAAAAATGTTTAAAAAATTCTATCTGTCAAAAAATTTTGACATTTATTTTTTGCCATTTGACATTTTTTTATGTCTATTTAATCATTCTGACGATCTTGTATATGTTTTTTTACAATTGTATAGTAAAGGTACAAAAATTTTGCCAATAAAAGCCACAAATAACATTGAACAGAGTTACAATTTAGGATACAGCGTCCTTGTTTCCTCTTCTAATAGCCTGTAGCAAAAAAACTTGGAAAATTATTTTTCCAACAGAAATAAATAGAGTCAAAGTTCCAAATTTAAACTCGCATAACTTCGAAATTTTTATAGATAAATTTTTTTAAACATTTTTTTCATGTTCTTGGTATCTTATCTTATATGGCATTTTTCTCTGGGGCGCGAGTTCTGGCGCATCCTGTATACTCTGTAATACTCTCAGCATAAATGGGCTTTAACCATCATAAAGTGTCTTTTATTTTGTAGTTTCTAAACTTTATTGTTTATTGTTATTTTGCAGCAATGCGTGCGCGAAACTGCACAAATGCTTTGTACAGTTGGAGACAAAATACTTTGGTCGTCACAAAAGTGACATTGACGGCCAAAATATTTTGTCTCCAACTCTAAAAATCAGACAGTAGCTGTCAAAAATGTGAAAAAATGTCAATTACAGTTGTCAAGGGGGGCAAAAAGTAAATTTGTTTAACGTTGAGTCCATAAAAGTACTTCTTTATACACTATTTTGGATTACTTTACCGACAATTTCAGAAAAAGGACATTTGACGTTTACCTTTTTATGACTCTTTCTCTACTTTTTTTTCTGAAATTGGACATACGTATATTTTACATTTTTTTATAATAAAAGAATAACAATTATTGATTTTTTTTGTGTTATTGTTTAATACAATGAAAAAAAACTTTAAAAAAATAAGCCATATCTAATTGTCTCTTCCAACTAACTAAACGACTTTAAAAAAACATAGGAATGACTCAGAAATGTTAGTATTTCTGAGTTAATGATAAGACGATCTAATAATCTTTTGTAAATCGTGAAAGAATTATCTGTTTAATTTTAAACGAAACTCGTTAATCATTTTATTACTTCATTAATAAGGTGGCAATAAAACTTCATGTCAGTGATTTGTGATAACCGTTTATTTTTCGGGGTTAAAACCAGGCCGAAAAATGGCGATAACAAGTTTTATTTTCACGGCTATTTGGATAAATATTTTTTCAAAAATTCCACAATTAATTATGTAATCCAATTTATTAAAATTGTAGTGATATTAACGTGTCACTAATGATAAACTTTGGAGACAAATAATTATTTTAAAGAATCCAAGTGCAAAAGGCGCCACGATAAAGCATTCATTTGAAAAACACAGATAGTCGAAAGTCGAAACCTGTCAAGTCTCGGTTACCATCTAATAAATGCAATGACCAAAGAGAATTAACAACACTTACATAACTCTCGACCATTTGAAACAATTACGAAAAAAAGTTGGATGCTCAACTTTGCAACCTTGACTCTAATTAAATTTGATTGTTTTCGAAATTTGGAAATGAGGCAAGTCTTCCGCTAACCTCCAATTTCTCCGTACTAATTAAAAATGGTAAAGAAGTCGTCCGACCTGATGCAACAGCAGCGAACTGTTACTGGCCTACCTCAAGAATGAGAAAAGTACGGAAATTTTTCAATAATTAACACTCGCGGGCTTCGAAGCCGGAAAAATGCAAGTAAAAGTGGAAAAATTCACTCGATCGAATCTATCATTAAAGAGTTTTTTACGCTCAATAATTATAATCCAGACAGAGAAAATTTACATTTAACTTTCTGCACCCGGATTGCATCATGCATTTTTAGGGGGTTTTACCTTGCCTGAATGCATCGAATGATGCAATCGGAGATAAACGTCGAATTTAATTTAAAAAAATAGCCGCAAGATATGTATTTTCCGAGTGGTACCGATCGGTACCAATAAATTTCCAAAAGTAAACAATCTCTCATTAATAAAACTGTGATAACAATTAATTGTGACTTGAAGATGTTTCATTATCAACGAAACAACTCAGAAAAATTTGTAGGCTTGTGTGAAAAAAAATGGGAAAAATGTTGACTTACTTTGGTGTTTGCCGTTGTTTTTCCAGATGCTTTTCAGAAAAGCCATTTTACAAAACAGGACTCACTTGAAAAATAATCAAAATCGTGTTATAAATCCGCGTCTTTACGAATCACAAGCTGATCGGTGAATGTCTGCTGGCTATCAAGCAAGCCATGAATCTTTTCCATGGCAAGATATGATCTTTATATGTGGTGGTGTACCCACTTTCCGCGGAATTACTTAATCTGAATTTTTTCAAAATAATTCTTCGTCTCAACTCTTATCACTGTTATTACGAATTATCAGACACGTTTCATGGAAGGCCGCGTACCAGGTACCAGTAATTTAATTTTTTGCGATTTTTTGAAAGTGCAAATTCATCACAATAATAAAGAGAGACATTTATTTTATTGAAGTTGATCGTGCGCTTGTTTTTGTTTACACGAGCCGGCCCTGGATTTTCACAAAAGTCACATTTTTGTTCGAAATTGCATCCAGCTTAGTAACAAAGCAAAAGTTCACCGACATTTTTAGTGATAATGAGAAATTGTTTGTATTAATTTATCGCCGCTTTGAAAATATTTTTAGTTTTATTGTTACAAAATATGTTTTCCAAATTGTTTACAATGCATGCACACATCGATCTAATAAAACGTGTTTTATTAATAGATTGATTCGATTAAGTCCGGTCCTGTGGTATTTTTCCGAAAAACAGTCCGCCTCTGTTTTTAACAAAAGACAATCGCGACGCACGTCAATGAAACAATAACACAACAAAAATATTTTTGAGCCGTACGACAATCGACAGTATTTTTACATACGTAAACAATAACAAGTTTAGCAAGACCGCAATTGTAAATAATTAAAATTAATCGTAATTTGAAGCAAAGTTATCACACAGAATCCGACATTACCGACATGTACCCACAATTCATTTGACATTCGTTGACGCCATTTTGAACGTTGTGTGTGTTGTGTTAAAAACAAATCAATTATTTATCTTAATTTAACCAAATTGCGCTTAATTATCGTAACATTTAACTTAATTATCCCACATTAGGGCTAGGGTGTCGCTATGGGTGAAGAAAAAGGTGAGTTTAGGCCACATTTGACCGGTCAATTTTATTCAATTTATAACCCCTCTAGAGGGAAAAAATAACGAAAGAGAGCGTAGCCGAGAGCGTGGGGACCGCGAAAAAGACCGGAGACGGCGTTCACGTTCTCGGGAGCATCGCCGGAGATCGCGTTCCAAGTCCCGAGACCGTCGCCGAAGAAGCCGCTCAGGGTAAGTAATCTGGGGCAGTTTTCGTGGTTTAATTTTGGGTTTAGGAGCCGTCACAAGAGTCACTCGCGGAGACGCAAGCCTTCGTTGTATTGGGATGTACCTCCGCCCGGGTTCGAGCACATCACCCCCTTGCAATACAAAGCTATGCAGGCAGCGGGACAAATCCCGGCGAATATCGTGGCCGATACGCCCCAAGCGGCTGTCCCCGTTGTCGGTTCGACAATCACGAGACAAGCAAGGCGGCTGTACGTGGGGAACATACCATTTGGGGTGACTGAAGAGGAAATGATGGAGTTTTTCAACCAACAAATGCATCTAAGTGGGTTGGCGCAAGCTGCTGGAAATCCAGTCTTGGCTTGTCAGATCAATTTGGACAAGAATTTCGCCTTTTTGGAGTTTAGGTCGATTGATGAGACGACGCAAGCGATGGCTTTTGATGGGATTAATTTCAAAGGTGAGGATGGAAACAAAGTTTGTGATTTTGTGGTTCATTTAGGGTTTTTATAGGCCAGAGTTTGAAAATTCGACGGCCGCATGACTACCAACCTATGCCAGGTATGGCCGAAAGTAGTATTAGTGTTCCAGCGGGTGTTATAAGTACGGTCGTGCCCGATTCGCCCCACAAGATTTTTATTGGTGGACTACCGAATTATTTAAACGAGGATCAGGTAATTGAGTTCCTGGGCGTAATTTGTTGCGAATTGGTGACGTGTCTTATGTAATAATTAAATCTGTTTTATAATTAAAAAAAAAAAGATTTAATTATTGCGAGTGAGTGGAGAGTGTTTGTAATTATTTCCCTTCCCTTTTTCTTAGTTTTAGCCTCTATCGCTGGTCACTTCACGACAATACAGCAGTTCACAGTCAGTCAGTTGTTTTGTAAATTTACAGCCTTTTACAGGTCTTTGGGGAATTTTTTCAGGACGGTTTTCAGGTTTTTCAGCCATAAAAACAAAATTTAAACTTATAATCACGAAAAAATTCAAGTTATAGACGATTTCAGGTTGTTTTTGTCAAAATTTGTTGTAATGTTTTTAATAGGTCATGAAATCGGCAACACTTCAGATTGGAATACTGTGGGCGTGGCTAATTGCGTTCGTTCGACCACGCCCATAAGCTATTCTGTGGGGCGATGTCTAATTCGTAAAAAACAGAAGAACAGTTTTACGAATTATGCTTTTTTGTCCATTTACATTTCTTTCAGCAAAAAAAGGGAAATACAATGTTTTAAATTGTAGAAAACACTTTATTAATAGTTTGACAGAGAATAACATTGTTAAGTCGCGTCTGACCATGCATACATATACAAAAATAAAGTATCATTATTTTGTTTTTAAAAATTTGATTAGAGGATTAACTTTAATTTTTTTAACTTCTTAGATTACTGATTTAATCGGTCTTTCATGAAATAAACTATTAAATCATTTTTTGTACAATTGTTTAGGAGTGATATGGAATTTTATTTTAAAAAAGTTAGTAAACCATTAAAAAACTTATTTTTGCACTTGTTTTTTTTTTTTCACAGGTAGAAAATGATAATATCGTTAAACTATTTTTTTTATCAAAATTATAATCCTTTGGTAATTAGGAATCGTGCGGTATACTTTAAGGAAACATAACTGAGCAGATATTTATCCCAATGAAACATTTTTGCGCATTTTTAGAAAGCTTTGTTTACAGTGGCGAGAGTTGAAATTTTCAGGAAATTTCAGGTTTCAAGCGTTTCGTTTCGTAAAAAGCCCACGCCGCTTGTTCGTCGTTTGTTTTTTACGAAATGTTACGATTTGCAGGTCAGTTCAAAAGTCGGTTATTTTCAGGATTTTTTTCAGTATAAAAAAGCAAATTCGCCGGTTTTTCGCTCAAAAAAAAAAAGGAGTACATTTTCAGCATTTCAGGTGGCAAGTCGCAGGTGCTGTAAATGTCTTTTATTTCAGGCGGACGTAAAAAAATCTTTCTCGTAAAAACATTAGCGTGTTTTACAGGTGCTGAAAAAAGCAAATAGTCGTCAAAATTGGCACACCGTAATGTATACTGTAATTGTTTAAAGTTAAAATAATTATTTTTGTGCAAACTTTTCTCATGTTACCTTTTGCTTTGTTTGCCCTATAGCTAGGGTTTCCATGTCGGTCCCTATAAAGAGCTATGAACACGACTCAAATAAACTAGAACGCCTTATGGAAATATCAGGCAAGTGTCATTATAAAAAAAATCAGCGAATTTTACCAAAAAACGATTTTTGTAAATCTGACTGGCTTGGGGCTTCCAAACGGGTTTTTAGGGACTGTGCATTTTTATTTCTGTATTTTTCTCAATCAAAATTTCGTTAAAACTGCACGAAATTATGTAAGTTTTTTTTCCCACATCCGTACCCACATTCAATCACGATTGAATTTGAGTACAAGTTGCATGTTACAGTTTTCTGTAAGACTAATTGCCGACATTATTTAGGTGAAAGAACTTTTGATGTCGTTCGGACAATTAAGGGCCTTTAATTTGGTCAAGGACACGGCGTTTGGCTTGAGTAAAGGTTACGCCTTTGCAGAGTATATCGATATTACAATGACAGATCAGGTAAGTTTCTAGACGTGGCTTTAAATCCCTCCCATTTATAATAATTTCAAGGCCATCGCTGGATTAAATGGGATGCAACTCGGCGATAAACGTTTGATAGTGCAGAGGGCTAGCGTGGGGGCTAAAAACGCGACCGTCATACCAGCGGTACAGATACAAGTACCTGGACTTAGTCTCGTGGGGGCTTCAGGGCCACCAACTGAAGTTTTGTGTTTGTTGAATATGGTCACTCCAGATGAGCTTAAAGATGAAGAAGAGTACGAAGATATTCTTGAAGATATCAAAGAAGAATGTAATAAATACGGTGTTGTTCGGAGTATAGAAATTCCCCGACCGATAGAGGGCGTGGAAGTTCCGGGATGTGGAAAAGTAAGTTTGACGAGTGTTAAGGCCGACTTTTAAATTAGTTCTTTAGGTTTTTGTCGAATTTAATTCGGTTTTGGACTGCCAAAAGGCTCAACAGACCCTCACTGGTCGGAAGTTTAGTAACAGAGTCGTCGTGACGTCATATTTTGATCCAGATAAGTATCATAGGAGAGAATTTTAATTAAGTAAAAATTTGTTCTGACGTGTATTTCTGGTAATTAAAAAAATATAAGTAGGCTTAATGTTTTATTACAAAAAATTACAATACTGAAAAATTATGCTCCTACTGTTAACTCTTTCCCACTGTAAGTCACAGGATCAAAGAGAAAAATATTATTAATGGGAACTTCTTTGTGTGACACTGCCTTAATTACTTCTTGTGCCATTATTCCACCAAGGATTGCACAAACAGGGCTCAATTCACCAAATATCAGCTCAAGTAAATTATCAACATTGATTTTTGAGAATTGATACAATTCTATTATTTCAGTTGCGATGATTTTTAATACTTCAATATCTTCCGATTTCTTATCCAAATCAGGATCACGGTCATGCCTTTTACGAAACTCCACCAACACTAAAAACTATAATTAACAAAAAACTAATTAATTAAATAGTTACTTACTTAACATGCAGACAAACAAATTATTAGGTCTTGACATTTTTTTAATGGCTCCAATATCTTGTTTTGTGTTTGGTAACACAAGTACTTTATTTAAAGGCGGATAAAGCATTTTGCCTTTAATTCTTTTGGTCTTTTTGTCACCCTCATGTCCACGTTTTGAGCCTGGAGCAAGTTGAACACGATCTCTAAAATTTTTATAATTGGAATGAAAAAAATTCATTAGAATCCTTACTCAAAATATTCATGATCTTGGAAATCAGACACTGAATATCCAAAAAACCCAGCCACTTCTCCATAAATAAACTTCACATTGTGCTCTCTACAAAAACCATCAATTTTCAAAATCGTCTCAAACTTTATTTTCGTGGCAACCACAATTGTAAATTCTTTAAAATAATCTCCACTTTTCGCCGCAACTGAATCAGTATCGACGACAATTTTCACCAAAGGATTCAAAGCCTGTGCCCTAGGCAACACCTGTTCAGCGATTTTGCTACCAATTGGTACTTTTTCGTGTAACAAAAAGTTGCCAGTTATATCGTTCAGTGAGACAAGTCCATCGTCAAGAATTGTCAATGAGTTTATACCAGAAAGTAGAATATTTTTCGCGATTTCTGACCCCAAGCCGCGTACCCCAATCAACAAAACATTAGCGGCTCTCAACCTGGAAAAGTGAGGTTAGATGAAGCCAAAACTCAAATTTGCTTACTTTTCTTGTGCTTCTATGCCCCACAAACGAATTTGGCGATCGTAGACCTCGGCCTCGTCGGTAGATAATTGTTTCTCAGTCATTATTATTTTAATTATTAATAACAATCAAAAAAGTTAGAACTCGATTGTAGATTGTTGAAAGACGGTAAAGCAAAAGTACTACCAACCAAATTGTTAATTGATGAAAAAGTACTAGGGTCAGTGCTAGGGTAGTAGGGTTTTTGTGCTGTTTATATGCCTGTTGCTCAAACGAACTAGGAAATTAAAAAATTGTTATATTTTTTGCATCAGCTGTTTGTTGAAATAAAAATAAAGTTCAAACATCTTCAATTGTGATTATTAGATATTATTTTATGCAAAATTACTTTCGCGCTCTCCGGACTTCGGTAAAATGTTGTCACAAGGCGGCCATCTTGTCCTGACAGATAAACAAATAATGGTGGCAGAATTTTAGGTGCACATTTGTAAAAAAGATCGTAAAAATGGACACAAGTATGGCACTGATGGCAGATCAGCTCACGGTAATTATAAATTGATTAAAATTGCAGTTTTTTTTAAAATTGTACCCAATTTTAGGTCAAGTTTGTTGACACTTTGGACAGATACCCTTGTAATGAAGACATCGAGTGTAAATACACTTTTAACAATTATAAAGTTCAAGACGGCGATAGAATCGCAATATTTAAGACGGGTTGGAAGTCTTTGAGAAACTACGTTTTATTTGAGTGGGCTGTTGACTCTTCTGTGGCTGAAGTAAACTCAGTAATTTTCAGCAGTAAGGGGATTCCCTGTCATATTGCCAATTTTTTAAATATTTTAACTCTAGGGTACGATTTGCCAAATAGTCCCAGCGAAACAGACGACTTGTACCAATTTTGTTACATAAGTGGTGAAAATGTAGTCCACGGAATTAGCACCCCATTCCAAATTTATTCATCAGACTCGAAACATACAGTAAATCTGACTGATTCACTGAAAAATGAGAATCAATGTACGCATTTAAAACAGTTGCTTTCGTTAAAAGATAAAGAAATTTTGCGATTAAAAGAAGAAAACGCAATACTCAAAGAATCAATTAAGTCGATGGTTGATCAACGGAAGTTCCAAAGGAGTAAAAATTACGACGACGATATTGAACAGTTGAAAGAATTGACTAGTAAATTGAAGAATGTTGTCTTGGGGCAACAGAAGGAAATTGACGCTTTGAAAAACGAAGTGAGGAAGGATAAAGCAGAGCAGAAAGATTTATTACTAGAGAAAAAGTTAGCAGAGAGGAGGTTTGAATCTGTGTGTGGTAAAAATGTCAAGAGATTAAATATTGATTTCGATTTGGGGAGTTTACAGTCACTTCCTGCTTTCCCCTTTGACGATCTTGATAAAATGTGAATTGCTGCACTAATATTTAACATTTAAGTGTGTAAATTGTAAATAAACGTAATAAAACGGTCTGTAACAAAATTCAATGTTTTTATCTACTGTACGAATGTAAATCAAGGTAGTAGCGGTTCAAAAATTTCTTCAAAGTTTCTTAATGGTACCCAATTAGTTTATTCCTGGTATTTTTATTAAATCACGAGTTAAATTATGCTTTATTAGCTCATTTATCGCTTAATTTATATATCGGTTGGCAGCCCTGCGGTCACGTGACAGTTTCGTGTGACAGCTGTGAATCATTGCCAACACTAATTTTAGCTCCGTTACGTATGTTTCCGTTAATTTTTTAGTTACATAAACAAAATTGTCTCCCGGGGGGCGAAATACCACCGTTTTTGTGCTATACCAACGTTTTATCGTGGCAGCAACCCCGGAAAATTCCAAGGTACGTCAAAGCTCATGTCGCAAAGTTGGTAATAATTCCACGAGTTGTCTCGGCTGTGCCCACCTTTTGCGTTTCACTGTCTTAAAATTCCCTCGAAATAGTTGAATTTTGTGGGATTTAATGGGATTATTCCCTTTCAGGACTTTGCTCGGGTTGGTTGCAATGCAACGTTGCTGCCTCGAATAAAATAAATCAAAGTGACTTTGCTATCTGTCAACTGTCATCGTTTGAAAATTTAGAAAAATGTCTGAAGATGGGTTTTCCGACGGTTTTGACGAACCTAACATGGAAATACAGATCGACACTCTTATGGGGACTTCGTTCGACATGCGTGTCTCCGCCACCGACACCATCAGAGAGATCAAGCAGAGAATTCAACGAGTCGAAGGTTTGATAACATCTTGTTTCCAATAAGGTAACAGTAAGATATCGGCTGGCAAAACGGCCCTTATCAAGCATTACCTTCCCCTTTACCCTCTAATAACACCTTTGTATCAAGACAAGACATTAATTGGCCCCAAAAGTACAAGACACGTTTTTACAAAAAACACAAAAAGTTGCAATGCCATCGTAACCAAATTTTAGCATGTTTTGCCTACAAAGACGCATAAAGTCACCAAATTTGGTAGAAATATCGCTTTTGGAATGCAGATTTTCAGTTATATTTGCTGTCTCATTGAAAATATTTGTCCACAGAGTTGCAAACACACTTTATTTGTGTGTCTAATTATTTTTAAAATGTGAACTAACCAAGGTTCTATGACGCTGTGAATACTGTTTTATGTAACTTTTTATTAAGTAGCGAAAAGTTTAGTATAAAACCCTGTTTTTGTTAATACGATCAGTATTTTTCAAAAAGCTACAAAACATAATGTTTTATGTGTTTTTAAGATTCTATAAATAAGCTTCATTGATTTCCATTGTTATTTGGACTAAATAAATATTTACATAAAAAGTGTATGTTATTAAATTTTGAATTTCGCCCTTTGTACTTGGGCGGAGCCAGGTTGAGAAACCCTGGACGGGGCCACTTGCCACCTTACCGCTAATTTTCTGACAAAAAGCAATTGTTTTCTGCAGGTATTCCGATCCACCAACAGAACCTCATATTCCAATCCAAGGAATTGAAGGACTCCCGTCGTTTGTGTGATGCAGGCATCAAAAATGGTTCGATAATAAAACTAGTGATAGCAATGAAAGGCGGCCCGATTTCCACCCGCCGCTTATCAGTCAGTTGCGAACACCACGTGATGTTAAAAGAACTGAAAGAACTCTTGGAAAACACCAGGTCACTAAGTTTCATAAACCCTGGCTAAAACTCATTTTGCTGATTTTTTTCCAGGGATGAAATCGGCGATAAACTCGCCCCCGGCTCAAAAGTATCAGTTTTAGTGTTCAAAGAAGGCGACATTTTGAATTTACTTCGAGTGATTGAAAACGAAGACGGTTCGTATTCACCCTACAGCGAGAAACCTATATCGCCCCCCAACAAACCGCGAAAGGAATCGCAGATGGCCATGTTCGAGAAACTGGTCGAAGACACCGATATGATGACGAAAATCTCAAATTTGAGAAAGAAAATGGAAGATTTGAGTCTTCGACGACAGTCACGAAACACCAAACACAAAGATGAAGAGAAGAATGTTTCCTATAAACTCCTCACCGAGTGTTCAAACGATTTATTGGACGTCGATTTGAAAATTTTTGAGAAGAATCTAGAAGAAGAGAGCCAATCCGAGACTGAGGAAGTAGCTTTAAAAGACAAGCACCGAATCAAAGCCCGAAAATCGGTCTATAGCGAAAACAAGGGCGCTTTCTCGCATACAAAGCAAAACTATGCCCGAATTCACAAGAAAACGAGAGAATTGCGGGGCGAAGGCACGAGCAAAGATGGCGACTTGTGTGTCCCACTCGCCGTTCCGAAAAACACCGTGCGTTTGACTCGACTTGTCCTCTCGGAGGGCGTCGAAAGGCCGAAAAGTACCGACAGTATCGAATTGGAGGAAAATGCCCAAGACTTGTGGGAGATACACGAGCCGGCGACCGAGAGACTCAAACACAGCGCGACTTGCAAGTTTGGGCTTTTGAAACGGAGGCAAAGTCTCGATTATGGATTTGAGGGGATAGACAACGCTCCCAAACAGGAGTATAACTACGGGGAGGTGTGTTCGGGGAATTTCTTCCATGTGCCCCAATTTGTGAGTTCGCCGAGTGCTATTCCCCCGCAATATGCCCCCAAAGAGCAGGATTTGTACTACTTTCGGAAGAACAACCGGTCTCCGCTTTACGGGAGGAAGAATGAAGAGAGTTTTCTCGAGTGTTCGAGTATACAACGGTTGAAGAACGACGAGAAGAGTCTGAGTGAGAGTTTGCTCTCGGGTCACGATGAGAGTATAGATGAACTTTACGGTTATTACAATTTAGGATGTGCGATAGGCGAATCGAAGGTTTCGAAGAAGAAGGAAATAGAATTGCCACCTGTGATAAAGAAGAAGTCTAGGTGTAGCGAATGTAATAAGCGGTTGAATATAACGAACATTTATGATTGTCGATGCGGGAAGATCTTTTGTTCACAGCATAGGTATTCCGAGGTGCACCGATGCAGCTACGACTATAAAACAGAAGGAAGGAGGATTTTAGAACATCAGAATCCGCTAGTTACTGCCGACAAGATTAACCGAATCTAAACGAGTGCCTGGATTTATTTTATTTTTCTTTTTCTTCAAACATGCTGTATTGTCGATATCAAATATACCGTTTACCATTTTTTGCTTATTTGAGTGTTGTATATTGGATTTCCGAGGTTAGGGATTTTTGTTATAATTCAGCACAAGTCAGCTTTAATAACAATTTAGTGGATTGTGCGATTATATCACTCTTTATATTTTGTAATCTTGATTGTTTATTTTATGGTCTAACTTAGAATGATATTCAGTTTTATTATCGAAAACGTTCAAATGTTCCTAAAGTAATGTTTGGACCGTCCTAAAAAATTAATAAGACAAAACAAAAAAATTCATTGTATACTTTGTGATTATACTGTGTTAATATTTTTAATCGATGTAAATATGTTATGTAAAATATAACCCCACTCCAACTAATTTTAGCGTGTTTTCTATTGATACAGTCCCAACTTCTAAAAAATGACAAATTTCCTGTTGCGAAAAAATTGAACAAAAAATTAGCTGGATGCAATAAAAAGTTCAGCAAAAAATAGTTTCAATCACAAAAAATGGAACAAAAAATATTTTGAAGTTACAAAAAATTGAGCAAAAAATAACCTGCAGTGGCACAAAATTGATTGAAAAAGATTTTGAAAATAGATCAAGAAATACCTAGATTAAATCAAAAATTTTCTGAGGACAAAAAATAACTTGATCAAAAAAACTGAACAAAAAATAGCTTGCAGTCATAGAAAATAGATAAAGAAATTCCTTGATTAAATCACAAATTTTCTGAGAACAAAAAATAGCTTGATGAAACAAAAAATTGGGCAAAAAATATGTTACAGACACAAAAAATGGAGCAAAAAATACCTATTGATAAATAAAAATTTCCTGTGCTCATATAAAATTGAAAAAAAATTAACTTGATACAACAAAAACTGCTTGCAGTTGCAGTCACAGAATATTGAACAAAAAACTGCTTGCATCAAATCAAAATTGAACAAAAGATAGCTTGCAGTCACAAAAAATAATGGAGCAAAAAATAGTTAACACTCACAACAAATACCGATTTCTTAATAGAATTAAAGAGATTTTAAAGTTAATGTTATTGGTTTAGAATGTGAAATTTTAGTCAACAAGTCCGTAGTACAGCACTTTCTCAACAACATTTAATTTAATGCGCCTTTAAATTCGACTGTGAAACTGGCCCTAAATCAAAAATTTTCTGAGACAACGAAATAGCTTGATGGAAAAAAAATAAGTAAAAAATTCGTTGACGAAATTAAAATTTTCCTGTAGGTACTCACAAGGAACTGAAAAAAAAATTGGACAAAAAATAATAGCTTACAGCACAAAAAATGAAGCAAAAAATACCTTGATAGAATTAAACATTTCCTGTGCTTATATAAAATTGAAAAAAATTAACTTGATACAACAAAAACTGCTTGCAGTTGCAGTTACGGAATATTGAACAAAAATATTGATCAAAATTGTACAAAAGGTAGCTTGCAGTCATAAAAAATGGAGCAAAAAATAGTTAACACTCACAAAAAAATATCTTGATTAGGATCAATTTCTTAACAGAATTAAAGAGGCTTTAAAGTTAATGTTGTGAAATTTTAGTCAACAAATCCATAGTACAGCACATTCTAAACAACATTTGATTTAATGCACCTTTAAATTCAACTGTGAAACTGGCCCTAAATCAAAAATTTTCTGAGACAACGAAATAGCTTGATGGAAAAAAAATAAGTAAAAAATACCTTGATGAAAGTAAAAATTTCCGGTAGGTACTCACAAGGAATTGAAAAAAAAAACTTTTGTTTGAGAAAAAAATTGAACAAAAAATAATAGCTTGTTACAGGCACAAAAAATAGCGTCCAGTCATACAAAATGGAGCAAAAAATACCTTGAAAAAATTAAGCAAAAAAAAACCGTAGTCAAAAAATTCCTTGTCGTAACAAAAAACTCAACACAGTCGTTCCATTTGGTTATTTCTGGAACCTCAAATTCGCAAATTCTCGTAATTTTTGAATTTCTGTAAGACCGCTCTATCCCATTTTTCAAAACAAAACACTATCGAATTTGTCAATTCATGTCAAATTTCCTTGATTGTCAGAGCTAATCTGTCATCGTGGCTGCTTCCGAATTTGCTTTTAGCAGTTTTGTCTTCACGGGCAATCTCTACCGAGTAGGTTGAAATTTCCCTTGAATCCATCCCTTGACTCCCGTTTTAGGAACTCCTGCGATACATACCAGATGAAAATTTTGGATATAGTCCAATAGCTCTAGAGACCCTCCTGGGCTTAGCGAGGGCCGGCTCGCTTGAAGAAACGGCCCAGGAGATTAAAACCGCCCTTAGTTTTCCCCTAAACCCCAAAGAAATCGAATCTGTAATCAAAGAAATCTATCCCTTGTTGAAAAGTGCTAAAAGTTTCCATTTTCTGGCAGCGAATCGTATTTATCTGCAAAACCAATACTCGATAAAGAAAGATTTCAAGACTGTAAGCGAGACAGCTTACAATATCCAAATCGAACATTATGATTCGAAAAGAGGCCGACAAAGTGTAAACGAGTGGGTAAAAAACGCCACCGAAGGGAAAATCCAGTCCGTCCTGGAGGATACAGACGTGGAAGCCGCCGCAAAATGCATCCTAATTTCGGCTGTTTACTTCAAACTGAATTTCTGGAAGTTTGCCCAAAAAGAGGGAATTTCGAGGAGAGTTTTCACCTCCAAGACTCAAAAGCCGCTCGAAATCGAATTTATGGAAAAAACCGGACTTTACAACTATTTCGAAAGCCCTGAACTTAAAGCGACATATTTAGAGATCCCGATTGAGAACAGTTTTGATCTAGTGATGATTCTCCCAAACGGAAAAAATGGACTTTCCGCTCTAGAGACCAAAATTAACGACGTTTTCGTCGAGCCGAAATTTAGTCAAACTAGGGTCACAGTCGCGGTACCCAAACTTTCGTTCGAGTTCAAACATGACCTCAAGAAAGTCTTCCAACATGTAATTTTACAAAAGTTGATCTTCGAGTGTTACATAGTTTGTTTTGTAGCTAGGAATGTCAAGAGCCTTCACTACCGATGCAAACATGAACGGGTTTTTGGCCGAAGCTAAAGTCCTATACATCAGTCACGTGATACATAAAAGCCTGTTTTATTTTACAGATGATTCGACCGAGCAAGGCATTAGTACGATTTTTCCACGATTTCCATTATTTTTTACATATTACTGCATTTTCTAGAAGCAACCGCTGCTAATAAAAGAGTTGGTAGCACTTCTAAGACTTTTATAGCAGACCACCCTTTCATATTTTATGTAAAATCGAAAAATGTTATCGTTTATGCCGGAAGAGTGACGCATCCTACATAATAAACTGTTATTTTAGACCTTAGTTTAAGAAATAAGTGAGAAGTTTGTAAATAAAACTATTGCAATGACAGTTGTTCTTTTCTCACCCTCTCTGATTCGGTAAATCCGAGGGGCCCTTAACTTAAAAAAAATCGTACAACTAATTCCAATTCCAAAAAAAATTAAACCAAAAATTCCAGTAATTACAAAAAAAATTACACAGAAATATAAGTAAGTCCATTGTTTTTGGATTAATTCCTATAATTTGAAATTAATTGCTGTAACTCCAACTTACTTTTCCTAATTTCAAATAATTTTTGTAATTCCAAATCAATTACGATAGTTCTAAGAAGTTAAACGTAATTTTGATAAGAAACAATACCCGAAAATTTCAAAAAGTTCCAGTAATTCCAAAAAAATCCACCGAAATTCCAGTAAATCCAATAATTCTATTGTATTCAAATTCATTCCTATAATTCCGAATTAATTCCTGTACTTTCAAATTAATTCCGATAATTCTAAGAAATTCAACGTAATTTTCAAAAGAAATTATCTCCGATAAGTCCAAAAAGAATTCCAGTACTTTCAGAAAAATCACAGTAATATACAAATAATTCCAGTAATTCCAAACAATCCAAAGATAAATTTAATTCCAAAAAAATAATTAAATTCCAAAAATGTGTACGTACAATAACTAATTCCAGAGTTAACGGCCTTTCGGGTAAAGCTCAGATACAGGGGGTATGTTAGAACTCGCACCTCAGAGAAAAATTTCAAGTAAAATAAGACAGTTTTATTTGACATTTGATATTTTTTATATATTATATTTTAAAAGCCACAAATAACATTAGATAGAGTTATAATTATGGATACCTAAAGACTAGGATACGTTTTATCCACAATCACAGGCTCTAATTATTCCAAACTTAATTAAAAATTAAACTGACATTTCAATGTCACGCCAAATGTGCTTTCGGTTAAACGTAGTAAGCTGATCCGCTAACAGTGGAATAAAGTTACTTTATTCCACTAGTGGATAAAGTGGTACTTGATATGCATCTAAAGTGTGCTAATAAAGTCTCTTTATAGAGTGATTGTGGATAAAAAAATATAGACAGATAGAGCATTAAATTCTCAATAATAAGAGATAAAGGTAATGCAAAAATTTTATTGAAAACTATATTTAAAAAAATTTCAAACATTTAGCAATTTGCCAGGTCTCATATTTTTGAAAATGCTGCGAATGCGGTTAAAGGTACAAGAAAAATACAAAAAAGTAAGTTGTAGAGAATAAAATTTTTAAGAAAAAAGTCCGCGAGAGATACCTCTATCTTCAATGGTTTAGGCCTGAAAGACGCTCAAGTGACGAATACGTATTATTTTTACCGGTGGTCAAGAAACAAAAAATTAATTTAAACCTAAACTGTTGAAGATAGAGATATGGTCTCGCGCACTTTTTATAGGAAATTTAATTCTCTACAACTTTATTCCCTACACTTTTTTTGTATCTTCAACCGTATTTGCAGCGTTCTCAAAAATATTTTTCTTATCTTCTGGCGCACCTGTATACTTTGGGAAAAAGAGACAAACTAAGGAAACATTTAGTAACTAGTTTTATCTTTTTCTACCGATGTATATTTTTGGTTTACCAGTTCAGAGATGATCTTATTATTATTTTTAGTTTTAACGAAATTTGATAATCTAATTATTAATTGACTCTAATTGCAAATGATCGAAACACAAAGATGACTCAAAACCGGAACATGCAACAAACGAGTTTCTTATCTCTTAATATATTTTTATCACCAGGTAAAATAAATTTGTTCTTAGAGTATTGATCTCTGACTGGTTGAAGGTGAAGATGACTTGTTTGTAATCACCTTGGGAGGAGACCATTTAAACAAATGTTGTTTCACAACAAGTTTAGTGCAGAACTAACCACAAGAAGATTCACACAATGAAGTTCCTCGCTGCTTTACTCGTAATTTGCATTTCCTCGGCCTTGGGCGACGACACGGCCCTGAAGGAATTTACTTCAGGCAATAATTTGTTTACCACATCAATTTACAAAGTGAGTCATTTTATTTCTATTTTGATCCCGATTATATAAGAGAGGAACCACAGGAAATCAAAAAAACATCACCGGGAAATTTCCTCGTGAGTCCATTTTCGGCCGAATCGGTCCTGGCGTTAGCCCAATCAGGCGCTAAGGACGAAACAGCCCTCGAAATGAGAAACACTCTCCACTTACCGGACTCTCCGGAAAAAATCCAAAACGCGATCAAATCCATCCATCCCCAGCTGAAACAAAGCGACCTCTACACCCTCAAAACAGCCAACAAGATTTACCTCAAAACCGGTTTTGAGGTCCGAGATGAGTTCAAAAAAGTGGCAAGTGACGTTTTTGAGGCCGGTTTAGAAAATATTGATTTTTCGAAAAAAGAAGAAGCTGCCCAAACTATGAACCAATGGGTGGAGGATCAGACTGAACACAAAATTCAGAATTTGATCAGTCCGGGAAGCCTCAATTCCAGGACTAGGGCAATCCTAATCAACGCCTTGTATTTCAAAGGGAACTGGACTACTCCTTTTAAGAAATTTCTGACAAAAAATGAGGATTTTTACAAAAATGGCAAACAAGTGGCTCCTGTTCCAACTATGAACCTTCAAACGCCGAATAAGTACTACGAAAGCGAGGAACTCAAAGCTAAATTTTTGGAACTCCCCTTCGAAGGGGGCGACGTTTCGATGATTTTCGTGCTCCCGAACGAGAAAGACGGACTTGAAGCTCTAGAAAATCAATTAGAGAAAACTGTTGAGTTCCCCAAACTCACTGAAGAGTTTGTGAAAATTTCCTTGCCGAAATTCCAAATCAGGAGTCAATTCACTTTGATTGAAATGTTGCAAGAGGTGGGTACAGATTTTTAGCAATTTTGGGTCAATTTGTGTTTTAGTTGGGCATGAAAAAAGTTTTCAAAGGTGACGAAGCCGATTTGAGTGGAATTGCGGGTAAGAAAGGCGATCTAGTGATTGATCAAGTCGTTCAAAAAACTTTCATTGATTTGAATGAGGATGGTGTTGAAGCTGCGGCTGCCACTTTCGTTGGTATGTTTTAAACTTTTCTAAAATTTCATTTTAATATAAAAATACAGCTGTTGGGGTACCTTTGAGTGGAGTTATTACATCAACCAGCCCCCCGAAAGAATTCAAAGCCGACCATCCGTTCTTGTTCTATATCAAGATCAAGGATTTGATTCTCTTTGCTGGACGAGTCGTGGATCCGACTGATTCGAAATAAGTCTTGTAAAAAATAAACTGCACTTTTCAATCATGAATAAATTTAGTTTCTACAACTTTTGAATTTTTATTACACCTCAAACTAAAAAATTGAATTTCTGGTATTGAAAAATTCATTTTTTTCCTCAAAATTCAGTGGTGTTAAAAATGTAAAAATCTTAACAAAACAATTGAAATTGCATTTGCATTCAATAAAAAATGCAAAAAAACTGCAAGGTTACTTAATATAGAGTTGTTAATCCAAACAATGGGAAAAACCCGTCTTAATTGTAAAACAAACAATTAAAATTGTAATCAAAATGATTTTATAACTGCTAATACTTCTTAATAAAACTGGATCCGTTTTATTTGGTAATTGTTCAAATTTGGGTCAAAAATGTATTTGCTCCTATTTTTAACATTGTGTGTCGCACTTGCATCAACATATTATACTGAAATATATGACAAACGATTTGCTGCATCTTTGTACAAGGTATTTCGCCCAAATGAAATAATTTTTATTTTAAACAATTGAAATAATCTAAGGAGTTGGCAAAAAATTTCGAGAATTTTATCGTAAGTCCTCTTCTGATTGAAACAGCTTTCGCTGCAGTTTATTTGGGAAGTTCCCACAGAACGAGTGAAGAAATTCGAACTGTGTTTCATTTATCCGCGAACAATGAAGAAATTGCAGAAAAATACAAAAATCTACTCTTGTTTTTTACCAATCGAGGCTACAAACTCCATATTGCAAACATGATTTTTTTCATAGATAGAGTACAAATTGTTCCAGCTTGGCAGAGACAAATCGATTATAATTTCGGAGTGGGAACTGAAGTCCTGGATTTGATAAATAAAGATGCGACGGTGCACAAAATTAACCGTTGGTTTCGGGAGCAAACTAATAATAAAATCGATGAAATTGTATCACGGGAAGATTTGGATGCAGAACCGAGTTTTTTGCTTCTTAGCGCTCTACATTTCCAAGGCTCTTGGGCTCAAAAATTTTTGAAAAAACGTACACGCAAGGATATTTTTTACAATAATGGGGAAGAAAAAGTCTCTGTTGATACGATGTACCTCCTTGGACATTTCAATTTCGGAAAAAGCGAGAATTTAGAGGCCAAATTTTTGCAACTATTTTTCACAAAACAGGAAGCTTCGATGGTTATAGTTCTTCCGGATAAAATTGACGGGATTTATAAACTTGAAACAGAAATTGAACAAGTTTTTCAATTTAGAGATTTTAAGATCACAGCAATGGACATTTCGCTACCAAAATTCCAAATGGAGAGCAACATCGATTTGAACAGTATTCTGCGAAAAGTAAGTTTTATTCCAAGAAGTTGGTAGCAGTGTAAACAATGCCAGGTGCGAAAAAGCTTTTTCTTTTTAAATTATTTAAATACAATCTAGCAAATTTATCAATAATTTTCAAGCATAATTTTTTTATTCGAAATTTACCAAACGAATTCCTAACGCTAATAAGTTTTCAAAAATAATTTTCAAAATTAGAAATCGATGTCCTTTAGAATATCCTAAGAAGATTATATAATTTTACAAGTCATTTTATGAAAAAGTTGTTGTGTAACTGTTATTTTCATGTAAATTGATTACTAAAATTCCCGGTAAATAATATAATAGATTGTGTTCAAACTAAACAGAAACACATTTTTCAATTAAAAGTATTGTATTTTGATTTTTTTTCGATTAATTGCAAATTCTCACTCTTACTTCATAATTTTAGTTTAATCACAAAAGGGGTTTTAGGGGGTGATGATTACAAGTTGAATTAAAATGACTATTTCCCTCACAAAATTTAAGCCAATCATATCATTCAAATTTCTGAGATTCATCTAATCAGATTGAAATTACGCAATAATTCAGCACGTGTGCAAAATATCGACAATAATAATTTGCTCGTATGCTAAATTACCACGAATCTGATTAGATGATTCTCAGAAGTTTGGAAGATTTGATTGACATTTTTTTTAATTTTTCATGGTTTTCGTAAACTTTGTTCGGGAAATAGTATGCAAAATATCCCTCGAGCATTCCAAATTGATCGTAATTTCGACAGTTTAGGATATTACTATTGATAAAGTAAACCAACTAAATTTATTCAAAAATTTATTACAACTAGATCTAGCAAATTTTAGTTTTGAGTACAAACCCATCATTAGTGCAATTAAAATTTAAGACATATTACTTAGTAAAAGTGTGTTTTATTAATTTATTTTGAATTTGTGATTTGTATAATATTGTAGTTAAAAAAGTGCCTAAAATTATTTTGCAGCTACAAAATTTGTGCACTTTAATCAATTTTATTTTTCATATATTCTTTTTCCGCACCAGTTAGTTAAATTTTCAGCTATTGTTACACTGCTGTCAACCGGAGAAAATTTCTCGAAACTTAAATTTTCGTTTTAGTTGGGTATCAAAGTCGCTTTTATTGAAGGAAAAGCCTCACTGCATGAAACTGTGACATGTTATAAATGTCGATCGCCGTACATTTCTAAAGCTTCTCAAAAAACTTATCTAAAAATTAACGAACAAGGAGCTAACGTAGAGACAGCTCGAGACTTTTCAACTCATATTTCTGAGAGTCTGCACTATGAGCAATTTAAAGCCGACCATCCATTCATATTTTACATCAAAATAAAAGAAGTTGTGGTGTTTATTGGCCGTATCGTCGCTTTTTAATTGAGTTAGCAAAGCACAATTCAATAATGAATAAAAAATTATACAATATGAGAAATAAAATTGAGAAAAAAACTCCAGTGGTTTAATTTCGCCGGTACAATAACAATTCAACAATATTATTACCGTTAATTCGACACTATTTTAATCAAATTAAAAACTCGTTTCATTTATTTATAAGCGGAGTCGGTGATTCCAGTCAAAAATTCGCAATGAATTTTGTCCCATTACTGATTTTAGGTCTCACATTTGCGAAAACAAATTTCGAGAAATATGTTCAACCAAACAACGAGTTTGCCGCATCTTTGTACAAAGTCTGGTTCCCCAATTAATCGAATTTTGATTTCAATTGAAACAATTTCAGGAGTTGGCAAAAAATCTGGGAATTTTATCGCAAGTCCTTTTTTAGTTGAATCCACTTTCGCTGCACTCTACTTGGGGAGTTCTGGCAAAGCGGCTGAAGAAATTCGAAGGGTGTTCCACTTACCCGAAAAAACTGAAGAAACTGAAGATAATTTTAAAACTCTATTTTCGCTTTTTACCAATCAAGGCTACAACCTCCACATTGCTAATAAGTTCTGCTTCAAAGAATCATTTTTACTTAATCCGATTTGGCAAAAACAAGTGAAGAGCACTTTTCAAATGGACGCTTCTGTTATGAATTTTTCGAACACAACTGCGGTTGCAGAAAAAATGAATCATTGGATTCGGGAGCACACCAATGATAAAATTGAGACAATCACATCGGTGGAAGCTCTCAATGTTGAAACAGACAGTGTGATCCTTGGGGCCTTGTATTTTCAAGGGGAGTGGGAGCAGCAGTTCTCGACCACGGACACAATTAAAGCCTCTTTTTACAAAACCACAAACATTTCAGTTTCAGTTGACATGATGCAACTTAAGGAACACATGTTTTTGTATGGAAAAAGTGATACTTTAGATGCCACATTTTTGGAACTACCTTTCGGAAAATCTGAAGCTTCTATGGTCTTCATCCTTACGGAAAAATTCGACGGGCTTTACGACCTTGAATCTAAAATTGACCAAGTTTTGCAATTTCGAGACTTTAATTACCGTAGTTTGAACGTTCTTGTACCGAAATTTCGAATTAAGAATGAGCTTGACCTGATCGGAATTCTATCACATGTAAACTATTTTCCTCGCTTTTAATAATTATTTCTTGTTTGTTTTTTTTTAATTGGGTTTAAGAAATGTTTTTAGTGTGACAAATTCTGCATTATCTGGACTTATAATCAATAGCACTACACCCAGTATTACAAAAGTGGCTCAAAAAACATTTTTAGGTATTAACGAAAGAGGAATTGAAGCAGCAGCTGGTCAAAAACTAACTTTGGGAATGATGAGAGCCATGATAAAATCTGATGAGTTTAGGGCTGATCACCCTTTTATGTTTTATCTTAAAATAAAGGACCTTGTGGTCTTTGTTGGCGGAGTCATTGATTTGTAGTTAAATTAATAAAATAATAATAATAAAATAATACAATTTTTAGTCTGTTTTTTTTTTTAATAGAAATGCCAAACAGTTTTAACGTTGGCACCACTAGTAAATTCATTCATGGTAATTTTAATAAAGGAAGTTGGCAGTATCAAAAACTTGTGTCAGAAAATTTAGAGACGCAACACCAAAAAGGGAACAAATTCGGTACTGCTTACAGTAAGTTAGAAAAAGGGCCCGTTCAAATGTAGACGCAGTTTGTAATGCAGGTTTGCTAAATATTCTCAATTTTTAGCAAAAAATTGACTAGAATACAAATTAAACATGAATGAGAAAGGAACTCGGAAAGAATGCAATTAAATTAGTGTCTTTTGCATCGTTTTTGAGAAACGAGTTGAAAAAATAACAATTTTAAAATTAGAGCTGAAGAAGAATTTATAAAATGCATCAACTTTGGGCTCAGTTCAATAAATTACATAAAATTTATTGCTAATCATCATAATACTTGTATCTTTTCCTAAACAACTTTTTTTTGTTTATACAGCCTTTTTTTTTCAAAGTTTTCATAAAAAGTTTTTCAAAGAGCAAACAAGGACACAAGATTGATAAAAGTCAAAATTTTGAAAATTTGAGAACATAACCATAATTTTTTAACAAAATTTCGAGGGACAAAAACAAAGAGCAAACAAAATTTGTGACTATGGAGACAAGCTGCTAGCAATTTTTTCACCAAAATTTTGACTTGGTAATTTCCATTTAAAAAGTAGACAAACTTTAGTTATTTGAAAACACGTTGTTCTATTTTCAAACAAAAAACACACAAAAAACTTTTTGAAACTCTTTGTCCAACATTTTTTCTATTTTTAAAAATCTGTTTAACAAAAAGAATGTCTTCAAAAATTTTGTTGTTTTTTATTGTATTTTAATTTTTCAATCCAATATAATATTTTAACCAATATAATTATTAGTGGTGTTTATCGGCCAAGTACGTGGTTATAGTAATTGGGCAAATAAAACACGATCATTGTAATGTGGCAATTAAAAACCCATCTGGTACCAATTTAAACTCATATTCTCTCGTCAAAGTCCCAGTAGTGAGAATGAAATTCTTGCTCTATTTCCTAGCCCTTATGAGGGCTAGTTTTGCCGACGATATAGCCCTTCAAGAGCTAACGACAAGCACGAATTTATTCAGTGAAAATTTATACAAAGTAACAAATTCGAAAATTTTTCAAAAATAAATCCCAAATTTCAGACAATTGCCAAAAACAGTGCCAAATCATTTCTTGCTAGTCCCTTGTCGACTGAAATATCCCTAGCTTTGGCCCAAACAGGTTGCAAAGGTGAAACACGTGAAGAAATCCGCTCTGCACTCTCCCTTCCAAAAAGTCAAAGTGATATTGAGAGCGGTTTTGGGACACTTTTTTCCAACTATTTGACCGGAAACGGCTTTTACACACTTCACACATTGAACAAAATTTATGTCCGGCGGAATTTCCCAGTGAAACAAAATTTTAAACGAGTCGTAAAGCAAGTTTTCAGGAGTGAAAGCGAAAGAATTGATTTCACAAAACGGATAAAAGCGGCCCAAAACATGAACAAATGGGCTGAAAGAAACAGTAAAGGTCTAATACGCAATATTGTGGTCCCTAATACTCTAAATGCGAGGACACGGATGGTTTTTTTGAACGGTTTATACTTTAGAGCGAATTGGTCAAAACCATTCCCGCTACTCTCAACAAGAAAAGGAGTTTTTTATATTAACAGTACCACAAGTGTTCCCGTTGATATGATGTATCAAAATGGGGCTCAACTTTACAACTGGTATGAAAATCCGGCCCTGGACGCCCAATTTCTCGAATTACCATTTCGAGGAGATGAAGCATCGATGGTTTTGATTTTACCAAATTCGCCCAACGGCTTGGCAATTTTGGAATCCCAAATTGAGAAGGTTTTAGAACCGTTTGAAACCAATCTAAGTTTTGTTAACGTTGCTGTGCCCAAATTCCGGATTGACTCTCGGATTAATTTGAAATTTGTTTTGAAAAGTGTAAGTCTTAAATTTTTCCACGAATCGGAATTAAATTTCATTGCAGTTGGGTGCGACAAAAGCTTTCAGTTTGTCTCAAGCTGACTGCAGTGGTATTGGAGGAAAAAAAGGCGATTTGGTGATAAGTGAAATTTTCCAAAAAAGTTTTCTCAATGTTGGTGAAAATGGAATTGAAGCCAGTGCAGCTACAGACGATGGTAAAAAATTGACAAGTCGTGGGTGATTTTGAATTTGGGGTGATTTTAGGTGAAAATGTCTTAATGAGTTCCACTCCGAGTGTTCGAACTTTGAAAGACTTTACTGCTGATCATCCGTTCATGTTTTATGTAAAAATTAAGAAAATTATCGCATTTGTTGGTCGAGTTCTCGACCCCACTGAGTAATTAATTAATTCAAAAAGAAATCTGTGAAATGGTTGTGTTTACTCTTCCTCAAAACATGACCTTGACCTCAACATTTTTGTTGCTAAGCCGTTAATTACACAGGGCGACAAAAAAAAGTCATGTCGTGATAACTTGACAACTTATATATCATTTTGTTCGTCTCAGTGAGACAAATCAAATGCACTAAAAAAAAATTAAAAAGTCCACACACTTTGAACTAAATATATTTTTTTCTAATTTAAATGAATTTAAAATACTTTAATTTAAAAAAAATCATTACTCAGTAACTATTAGGCCGATTTCCTTCAAATAAAGACCAAAGGGATGGCCTTGCCCTTATATTATTAACATAAGATTAACACGCATTTTTCCAATATGGCGCAATACCTGAATAGCAAACCATAACTTCAAAAAATCATATCTTAAAAACTACTCGGTATATTATTTTAAAAATTTGGATTCTTACTAATAAAAAGATGCTCTACACGATGGTGATGAAGAAAAAAAAATTACTCGTAGGGTTTTTCTTTGATTACTTCGATTTACTTCGAACTTCTTTGAACACGGTTCGAAGAAAAGTTTGCAAATATTCAATTTCAAATTGTACATCATTCTAAAGGGCAAGTCCATCCCTTTAGAATGGTTTTTATTTGAAGGAAATCGGCCTAATAGTTATTGAGCCATGATTTTTTAAAGTTAAAGTATTTTAAATTTATTTAAATTAAAAAAAATTATTTCGTTCAAAGTGTCTGGACTTTTTGAAATTTCTTTAGTGCATTTGATTTGTCTTATTATATTTCAAAGCCAACTGGTCACTCCCGTTCCCAATATCTTCAACCCTAAAGCAAAAATTCTACAAAACTCTTCCGACTTGATTGAAATTGATATTTCAACAAAAATTTCAATTATTACAAACTCGTTCTAATTTAAATTTTCTTGAACGAAATAAGAAACTACTATTTAAATTTTTATCACGAACTGAGTGATATGAAAACAGACGATTAAAACTGTTATTATTAATTTCGACATTTTTTTTGCCCCCCCCCCCCTGACCATAATTTCTGCGGGCGCCCATGCTACTGCTACTTATATCCGTAACTGCATTTTCTCCATTTTGGAATTTTTAGTGATTTTTCAAATTTTAGTTAAAGCTGTTCCTGTTTCTGCTCCTTTGGAAAGACCAAACATTTTTATAGCTGATCATCCTTTTGTCTTCTATATCAAAGTTAAAGATCTTGTCATTTTTGCTGGAAGAGTTACCAATCCTGAACACTAAATAAATAATTTTTAAGTCATTTTTTTGTTTTAATCAGATGTAAAATCCTTGAACTCTACTCATTTCTGACATTTTAGATTATCGTTATTACAAAAGCTTGAACACATTAAAATAATCCACAGTTCTTGTTATGGTTACAATGAAATTGACAATTGTTTTGTTTTTAATTTTTTACTCATCTGCAGCTGAAAAAACTGCAATCCAAGAATTTACAAACGCAAACAGTCAATTTACTTCATCAGTCTACAAGGTTAGCAAATTATTTCAAATTTTAGTTCCGAAATATTTTTTTCAGCAATTGAGCAAATCAGAAAATGGCAATTTCATTGTAAGTCCTTTCTCTGCTGAAACGATCGTTGCATTCGCCCAATCTGGATGTAAAGGAGACTCAGCACAAGAATTACGCAATGGTTTACATCTCCCAGATGATAAAACCAAAGTAGAATCAGCATTAAAATCCCTATTACCGAAAATCAAGGGCAATGATCTCTACACTCTCCACACGGCAAACAAAATGTACGTAAAAAAAGATTTTACGATCAAAGAAGAGTTCAAAAGAGCCGCAAGTCAGGTCTATTATGCTGACATTGAAAATATCGATTTTACCAAAAGTGTTGAAGCTGCAAATGCTATGAATAGTTGGGTGGAAAAACATACAAAAAGCAAAATCAAAAATTTGATCAATTCGGATGATTTGGACCAGAATACTCGAGCAATTTTGATAAATGCTTTGTATTTCAAAGCCAACTGGTCACTTCAGTTTCCATTACCTGCAACCTACAAAAATAAATTCTATAAAACTACTTCCGACTCGATTGAAGTTGATATGATGACACATTTCAACAAACATTTCAATTATTACGAATGTCCACATTTAAAAGCCAAATTTTTGGAATTACCGTTTCAAGGGGGTGAAGCCTCGATGATTTTCGTGCTTCCGAACGAAAAAGATGGYCTTGAAAGTCTTGAAAATCAGTTAGAATCAGTTTTTGTGCCTCAACACCACTTGGAACYAACACTTGTAAATGTGGTCCTGCCTAAATTCCGAATTGAGAGTTTAATCAATTTTGTTGAAATTTTAAAAAAAGTGAGTACCTACCTATGTATTTATAATCAAAAAATTTTATTTAAAAATAAATCAATCGTAGTTGGGTGTTAAAAAAGTGTTTAATGAAAAAGAAGCCGATTTGAGTGGAATTGCAGGTAAAAAAGGAGATTTGGTGGTCAATAAAATTGCCCAAAAAACTTATATTGACTTAGGCGAAGGAGGGGTTGAAGCAGCTGCTGCTACTTATGTCAGTGAGTGTATTTTCTCCGATTTAGGATTTTTAGTGATTTTTTAAATTCTAGTTACAGCTTTTCCTGTCTCTGCTCTTTTGGAACAACCCAAACCAAAAATTTTCATAGCTGATCATCCCTTTATCTTCTATATAAAAGTTAAGGATCTTATCCTGTTTGCTGGAAGAGTTACCAATCCTGCACACTAAATAAATAATTTTTAATCTATTTTCTTTGTTTAATGCGATGTAAAATCGTTGCCTTCTACTCTCATTGTTGCCAATTTTCAACACAATAAATAACTTTATTTTTTTCGGCCTAATGTGGGTATAAATAGTTTTGTTACTAGTTAAACTGGCCGAGAAAGTTGTTATTGAAGAATTTTCTGCTCATTATTTCAGTAAAGACAGTTGGTTGGTTTTAGAAATTTTGGTTATTTTTTGAATTGCAGCTATACTAAAGTCGGATCTTTTTGAATTTCACAAAAATTTTGTAATTGATCGTTTTTTCATTTCCTGTGTCAAAGTTGAAGAGCTTATCATTTTATTTATTGAACGGATCACGACAAATATTAATTAAAATTATTTTGGTCGACTTCTTATTTACTTATTTTTCCCTTAGTTTTATCAAATTATGAAAACTTTAACTTTTCCTCCCACTACAGACAGTTTTGAAGTCTGATTATTATATAGAAGCTTAAACACAATAAAATGATCCATAACTCATAGTGACCACAATGAAGTCAACACTTGTTTTATTTTTTTACTTTTACTTATCTGCAGCTGAAGAAACCGCGATCCAAGAATTTACAAATGCAAACAATCAATTTACTTCATCAGTTTACAAGGTTAGTAATTTATTGATTTTTTTTTCAATTGTGAGAATATGAAAATGACAATTTTGTCTTCCATTGCTGTTTTATTACAAAATTAGGCAAACTGTCGCATTTATTGGTCAAGTTCTTGACCGCACTGAATACTTAATAAAATTTAATTAAAAAATGTAAAATGAGTGGTTGTGTTTTCTCTTTTCCTCAAAATATGGTGTTAACCTTGACTTCTTTGTTTCTAAGGCGTCAATTGTTAAATGATTATTATCACTAAATGCCGATTATTATGTAACATAAATTCAACAAACAAAACTATTAATAATTCTGAAGTGATCATCACAATAAAATTTCTACTTTTATTATCGTTTTCTGTATATGTAACATTTGCTGAAAATGTTGCAATTCAAGAATTCGCAAATGCCAACAATTAATTCATTTCATTAATCTATAAGATTTCAAGTTTTGGTTCCTGAATTTTTTTTCAGCAATTGAGCAAATCCGAAAAGGGCAATTTCCTGCTAAGTCCCTTCTCCGCTGAAACAGTCCTCGCTTTTGCCCAATCTGGATGTAAAGGAGACTCAGCAGAAGAATTGCGCAACGGTTTACATCTCCCAGACAAAACCAAAGTAGAATCAGCACTAAAATCACTGTTACCGAAAGTCAAAGGCAATGATCTCTACACTCTCCATACAGCAAATAAAATGTACGTCAAAAATAATTTCCCGTTGAAAGAAGAGTTCAAAAAAGCTGCAACTGAAGTGTTCCAAGCCGATTCCGAAAATATCGACTTTCTCAAAAATACTGAAGCTGCAAAAACTATGAACGGCTGGGTGGAAGAACACACTAACAGCAAAATCAAAAATTTGATCAATTCGGATGATTTGAACCAGAATACTCGAGCAGTTTTGATAAATGCTTTGTATTTCAAAGCCAACTGGTCACTTCAGTTTCCATTACCTGAAACCTACAAAAATAAATTCTATAAAACTACTTCCGATTCGATTGAAGTCGATATGATGCATCATTATGAAGAACACTTTAATTATTACGAATGTCCACATTTAAAAGCCAAATTTTTGGAATTACCGTTTCAAGGGGGTGAAGCCTCGATGATTTTCGTGCTTCCGAACGAAAAAGATGGACTTGAAAGTCTTGAAAATCAGTTAGAATCAGTTTTTGTGCCTCAACACCACTTGGAACGAACACTTGTAAATGTGGTCCTGCCTAAATTCCGAATTGAGAGTTTAATCAATTTTGTTGAAATTTTAAAAAAAGTGAGTACCTACCTATGTATTTATAATCAAAAAATTTTATTTAAAAATAAATCAATCGTAGTTGGGTGTTAAAAAAGTGTTTGATGAAAAAGAAGCCGATTTGAGTGGAATTGCAGGTGAAAAAGGAGATTTGGTGATCGATAAAATTGCCCAAAAAACTTATATTGACCTAGGCGAAGGAGGGGTTGAAGCAGCTGCTGCTACTTATGTCAGTGAGTGTATTTTCTCCGATTTAGGATTTTTAGTGATTTATCAAATTCTAGTTACAGCTTTTCCTTCCTCTGCTCTTTTGGAACAACCCAAACCCAAAATTTTCATAGCTGATCATCCCTTTATCTTCTACATAAAAGTTAAGGATCTTATCCTGTTTGCTGGAAGAGTTACTAATCCTGCACACTAAATAAATAATTTTTAACCTATTTTCCTTATTTAATGCGATGCAAATTCGTTGCCCTCTACTCTCATTGTTGCCAATTTACAACACAATAAATAACTTATTTTTTTTTCGGCCTAATTTCATACCTCATGTGGGTATAAATAGTTTTGTTACTGGTTAGACTCAGGGCCGCCACAAGCGGGGGTGCAGGGCGTGCGACGTACGCGGGCGCCATAGTCAAGGGGCGCCAGATGAGCAACAAATTTTAATAAAATCAAAAAAAATGAATTACTCAAACATCAAAAGATGCAAAAAAATTAAAATAAAAATTAAAATAAATGAACATAATTTAAAACAAACTACACCACAATATGCGGAGAAAGTCGTCGTACTGGAGGTCCGGATGTCCGGAAAAAATAAAGATTTTGGGGGCAGGTTTCCTACGTCAAAAGAAGAAAAAAATTCTTAAAGACCTATGTTCAGAAATGATTCCTAAGGGAGCTAAAAAAAGCTAAAAGATCAATTATCTCAGTAACCGGTAGACATAAATTTACAAAAGATTATATGTGAAGTATTTTTTTGGCGCTGAATCTATTGGTGATATTACAAATTGTGTACTCTAATTAGGGGGGCGGAGGCAAGTGACAAGTACTAAAGTTTCCTATGTCACTTTTTCAAATTATTTCAAGAATTTTAATTTTATTCTAGCAGAATAGATGCAGTTAAACAATTGCGGTAACACATCTGTAGACTTTTTTATACTCTGAAGAAAATATTTGAAGATGATTCTTGGAATATTGCTACCACCCATAAAACTCCTTTCAATCCCTTTTTACAAAATCGTACAAGTTGTTTCATCACAATTTGAATTGATATTTTACACAAAATAAATGATGCGGGGTTTTAAAAGTGTAAATTTTCTTCAGAATCTAATATTTCATTTTACAAAATATCATTCAAATAAAAGCTTAAAAATATAACAATTCTTTATTCCGCTGGAACCGAATTTTTTTTATAGCGTTGGTCCTCTCCTCGGTCTTATCAAATTCGATTAAAGGGGACTGTAGGTAGTATAAAATTTAGAAAAGTACAACTTTAGAAAACAATATTTTAAATACTTTCTAATTAATTACTTTGATTTATTGACACTTCTTGATAACCAAATTTAATAAAAATTCTCTTTACTTTTTAATCTTAACAAAATTCTGTGAATATATTTTTATAGGTACAAAGGAATACCCATACTTTATTAACAAAAAAAGGGGGCGCCAAATTAAAATTTAAACGCAGGCGTTGAAACCTCTTGCGGCGGCCCTGGTTAGACTAGACTAGACTGGCCGAGAAAGTTCTTATTGATGTTAACAAAAAAGGTGTTGAAGAATTTTCTGCTCATTATTTCAGTAAAGACAGTAGGTTGGTTTTAGAAATGTTGGTTATTTTTTGAATTGTAGCTATACTAAAGTCGGATTTGAATTTCACAAAAATTTTGTAATTGATCGATTTTTCATTTCCTGTGTCAAAGTTGAAGAGCTTATCATTTTATTTATTGAACGGATCACGGCAAATATTAATTAAAATTATTTTGGTTGACTTCTTTTTTACTTGTTTTTCCCATAGTTTTATCAAATGATGGAAACTTTGACTTTTTCTCCCACTACAGACAGTTTTGAAGTCTGATTATTATATAGAAGCTTAAACACAATAAAATAATCCATAACTCATAGTGACTACAATGAAGTCAACACTTGTTTTATTTTTTTACTTTTACTTATCTGCAGCTGAAGAAACCGCAATCCAAGAATTTACAAATGCAAACAATCAATTTACTTCATCAGTTTACAAGGTTAGTAATTTGTTGATTTTTTTTCAATTGTGAGAATATGAAAATGACAATTTTGTTTTCCATTGCTGTTTTATTACAAAATTAGGAAAACTATTTATTGGTCAAATTCTTGACCGCACTGAATACTTAATCAAATTTAATTAAAAAATGAAAAATGAGTGGTTGTGTTTTCTCTTTTCCTCAAAATATGGCGTTAACCTTGACTTCTTTGTTTCTAAGGCGTTAATTATTAAATAAATATTATCACTAAATGCCGATTATTATGTACATAAATTCATCAAACAAAACTATTAAGAATTCTGAAGTGATCATCACAATAAAATTTCTACTTTTATTATCGTTTTTTGTATATGTAACATTTGCTGAAAATGTTGCAATTCAAGAATTCGCAAATGCTAACAATTAATTCACTTCATTAATCTATAAGGTTGAAATTGATTTCAAGTTTTGGTTCCTGAATTTTCTTTCAGCAATTGAGCAAATCCGAAAATGGCAATTTCCTGCTAAGTCCCTTCTCCGCTGAAACAGTCCTCGCTTTTGCCCAATCTGGATGTAAAGGAGACTCAGCAGAAGAATTACGCAACGGTTTACATCTCCCAGACAAAACCAAAGTAGAATCAGCACTAAAATCACTGTTACCGAAAGTCAAAGGCAATGATCTCTACACTCTCCATACAGCAAACAAAATGTACGTCAAAAATGATTTCCCGCTGAAAGAAGAGTTCAAAAAAGCTGCAACTGAAGTGTTCCAAGCCGATTCCGAAAATATCGACTTTCTCAAAAATACTGAAGCTGCAAAAACRATGAACGGCTGGGTGGAAGAACACACTAACAGCAAAATCAAAAATTTGATCAATCCGAGTTTTTTGGACAACCGCACGAGAGTAGTTCTAATAAATGCTCTATTTTTCAAAGCCAACTGGTCACTTCCGTTCCAATTAAGTCTAACCCGGAAAGACAAATTCTATAAAACAGCATCCGGTTCGATTGAAGTCGATATGATGCATCATTTTCAAGAACACTTCAATTACTACGAATGTCCACATTTGAAAGCCCAATTTTTAGAATTACCATTCAAGGGGAATGAAGCCTCTATGGTTTTCGTGCTTCCAAACGAAAAAGATGGACTTGCAAGACTTGAAAATCAGTTAGAATCAGTTTTTGTGCCTCAACACCAGCTCGAAAAAACATTCCTAAATGTTGTCATACCCAAATTTCGAATTAAGAGTGAAATCGATTTCAAGAGTATTTTAGAAAAGGTAAAACTATGAAAAATTATTTTAAATTACTAAAGTTGGGCTCAGTTAGGGGTTACTAAAGTATTTCTTGAAGACAAAGCAGACTTGAGTGGTATTGCTGGTAAAAAAGGCGATTTGGTAATTAATAAAGTCGTTCAGAAAGATTTTATTGATGTGAGTGAAGAGGGTGTTGAAGCAGCTGCCGCGACTTATGTTTGTAAGTATAATTCAATACATTTAATAAAAAATTCACAATAATTAATTTAATTTTAGTAATTAGTGTCCCGTTTTCGGCTCCAATCGCACAACCGAAAAATTTTATAGCCGATCATCCATTTATTTTTTACATCAAGATTAAAGATTTGATTGTGTTTGCAGGAAGAGTGAACGAACCTAAAGTCTAAAAATGTTTTTTTCCGTACAAAATTGATAAATAAACTATCACTAAAATGTGTTTTTATTTCGATTTGATGCTATCAAAATAATAATGACTTTGGTGCAAAACATAATTTATGATTTCAAGAAAATTACGTCCAAAAAATTTTCGTGCCTTCATGCGCATTTTAGATGCTAGGAACACTATTTTAACTTGAGGAATCTTCTCAGAATTTTTTTAATAAAATAAAAATGTTGTCTTTTATTAAATTTATTTTTTTCAAGTTTGAGAAATTGTGAACTGCACTGACCCATAACAACAATGACATCATCTGGGTAAACCATTTCCTCCACACATATCGTAAATCCCGACTATTAAAATTCACCGAAATCGACAAAAGTGACTTTAAATACCATCGTAAACAAATTAGTCCAAGTCATAATGAATCTTCTTTTGCTCGTTCTTGCAGCCAGTACAACCTTGGCCGACCAGTCGGCCTTGCAAGAGTTTATTAACAGTACCAACAAATTCGCTGCTTCTGTTTACAAAGTAAAAATCTCAATCTCCACCTCTCAATCACAAAACTTGATTTCAGGGATTGAAAAGACAGGAAAATTTTCTGGTAAGTCCACTTTCAGCCGAACTGATTGTAGCCTTGGCTCAGTCCGGGGCTAAAAATGCAACCAAAGAAGAGCTTTGTCAAGGGGCAAATTTACCAATCAATGAAATGATCATCCGGGACGGAGTTGGTGAAGTTTTGGAACTTTTGCAAGAACCTGACTATGTTATACGGACCGTTAATAAATTGTACCTGACGGAGAAATGTCCAATCTATGATGATTTTAAAATGGTGGCAGAAAACAGCTATAAGACAACTTTAGAAAACATTGATTTTGTTTCAAGAGACAAAGCGGTGGCAACAATTAACCATTGGGTGGAACAAGAAACCAATTCCAAAATCCGGAATTTGATAACCAAGGAGGTTTTGGGCAACCAAACTGTGGCACTTTTAATAAATACTCTTCGAATGAAAGCCAACTGGACCACTCCTTTCAACCTCCTCGAAACCTACCCTTCGTTATTTCACACCACTGATAACACCACTACAGTGATCGATACTATGCATATCTGGTCTGAAGAATTTGAATTTTATGAAAATTTTGCCCTAAATGCCACTTTCTTAATATTGCCTCTCCAAGGCCAAAATGTTACCCTAACTGTGGCTTTACCCCAATCAAACATTGATCTTCTCGAGTCTCACATTGAGCAGGTTTTAGAAGCCCCCCAAAAAACATCTCGCGAACTCTTCAACGTGGCTCTTCCTAAGTTTAAACTAGAGTCTCAAATCGACTTGAAGAAAGTTTTGAAAAATGTGAGTATTATTTATTTTGATTTAGTCCATTGGGATTTTTTATAGCTAGGTGTAAGCAAGGCTTTCGAGGATGGCGAGGCTGATTTTAGTTTAATTGCTGGTCGAAAAGGCGAACTGTTTATCAGTGACATCGTCCAAAAGACATTTATTGAGGTAGATGAGAATGGGATTGAGGCCGCAGCGGCGACTTTTATAAGTTGGTAAAACTGTGCTTTAAGGACAATATTAATATTTTTTTTTTAGTAAAACTGATCAATCGTAACAGTAATAATGCACGGGAGTTTAGAGTGGACCGTCCGTTTATATTTTTTGTGAAAGTGAACGATTTGGTTGTTTTTATAGGAAAAGTTGTGGTGCCAACTTGAAATAAATTTTCAACAAAACTTCAATTGGCGATCTACTTTTTTATAATTCTGTGGTTGTGATGTAACCTCAAAGTTGGGGATAAATAAAAACTAATCGTTGGCCATTAAATGATTAAAACACTTTATTTCTCTCAAATTTAGAGAAAGAAATTAATATCTAACAGTACTTATGTAATTTACAAAAAATTGAGTTAACCTCACTCTTTGCATCAGTGCGATGTTCACCTTTGACTTTTATGCGTTTCGATTTCCGGAAACAATTCATTAAACATTTCATCGAATCTCAGTGTGGATTTACTTTTTAAATATACTACTTATAACATCCAAAAATATAGAAATTTGTAAATATGAATCAGTGCCCCTCTTGCTCCTTCGAGTCTCAATGTGAGACAATTCTGGCCAACCACATAAGTTCAAACCACGAAAGTCTCGCACTTTTGGCCGAAATAACCGTCGACAATAAATCGTCAATATGTTTTTGTATAAATTGTTCCCCGAAAATGCTACAAATTGAAGAAATAAACGACATTGTAACAATTCCAAAAATCATCAAAAATGAAATCAAAGAAGAACTGTTTCCCGATGAGTTCGCAAGTGAAGATACAATTCTAGTCGACCCTTTCAAATTTGAGCCCAACAAGTGGTTCACATGTAATCAATGTCCATACAAGTGTAAAGAACGCTCGAAATTAACCAGACACAACTCCCTCAAACACTTGAATGAAAAAGAAATTGTGTGGTACACCTGTGAACAATGCCCCTACCAAACCAAGCAGAAGAGTACTCTGAAAAATCACATCAAGCACCGACATCTCCCTCCAGACGAAGTCAAATGGTTTCAGTGTCAACACTGCATTTACAAAACCAAAACAAAGTCCTGTTTGGCCTACCATCAATTTCAGCACGCCAGTCCTGAAAATATTCAGTGGTTTAAATGTGGTCATTGCGATTATAAAGCGAAAACGAGGAGTCGCTTGAATAAACATGTTTCAGAGCTACATAGCGCTCCGGGGGACATTAAATGGCTGAAATGTGAGCACTGCTTGATGTATGTCACGAGGAGGAATTCGTCCTTGAAGTTACACATTAAGCGCAAACATTCGGGCGTTGTAACTTAATTTTCATTGTTAATTGTAATAAATATGTGATGTGATAAATAATATTGAGTTTTTTTGGGATTCCCAGATTTTGAAATGCGCGGGTTTCCTAAATCATTAAATCCGAAAAGAGCGAAAAGATTTTAACTTAATTATTTATTTATAAATACTAAACATATCACAAATGGGTTGTCGTAAAGCAGTTTAGTGGTGATTAATTTTTTTTTTTGAAATTGTAAATAATATTTAATTATTTATAATTATGATAAAAATGTAAGAAACATGTAAACGTGGTAAACTCACAAAACTGAATTAATATTAGCAGTAGCACAACCATTTATAACAATAAAATAAAATGGAAAATAAATTAATAAAACACAAAAAACGATTAAATCGAGCAAATATATATCTCGAATCGGTGCAAATTAAATGAAAAACAAACTTTTTCCCATTTGAGACCCACATGTAACTTTAGTAATTTTGACAACCTAATTTCAATGCATAATCACCAAAAAAACCTTCAAATTCGCCTGAGTAACCCAAGGTAAGACAGTGAATTACTTATTACGATCCCCAAAAATACTATTTTTCTAATTTTTGGAAAAAATTGTCCAAAAAATGCCAAAAACACTGTGCATAACCTCACTTCTGTCCTACTTCATTAAAACACATTTTTCTATAGACTTATCACAAATCGTGGCACAAATTTCAGGTAAGTCATTTTTCACATTTCCCTCCAACTTAAAGTAAATCCTTTAACTTAAAATAAATGTTCTTTGTATTTTTAAACGTCCCTAACCTTACTTTTTTCAGGCGCAATGTTCCGACGTGTCTTTAACAGCCTTCTCGAAACAACCGCACAAACCGAGATTATCTACCCCAATCCATTCACTAAACCTGAGACTATACCTTTTGGGTGGCTCTCAAGTGTGGCCCCGTGCTTCCCCATCAATGCCAGTAATATTAGAGTTTTGTCGGAGCCCCCACAATTTTATAATGTTTTGAAAGAGGGCTGTGCTTCAGCGACGAGACGTATAGTGTTGGTCAGTCTCTATTTGGGGACTGGAAGTTTAGAGAAAAAATTAGTTAAGGCTGTTTTGGATAACGAGAATTTTCAAAATGGGGGCTTGAGTGTTAGTGTTCTGTTGGATTATATGAGAGGGAGTAGGTTTGAAGTGAATTCTCGAACAGTCTTAAGGCCTCTGTTGCAAAAAAATAGCAACTGTACCGTTTCATTGTATCACACTCCGGTTTTAAGGGGACTCCTCAAGAGAGTGACCCCAGATAGGTGGAACGAATTGTACGGGTTGCAACACATGAAACTGTATATTTTTGACGATACACTTGTGATTAGTGGGGCTAATTTGTCAAATGATTATTTTACTAATAGGCAAGACCGCTATTTCGTAATTAAAGACAAAAGATTGTGTGATTTTTACTGTGGTCTTGTTAAAAAAGTACAAAAATTTAGTCTAACGTTAGATAAGAACAATAATGTGGGTTTGGACGAGGAATGGACTCATTTACCGTACGAGGGCAGAAAAAACGACTTCATCGAGAAGGCTGGGGACATAATCGAGAGTTACATAACTGAAACAAAAAACGAACGTAATATACATAAGGAGGAGGGTTTCGGTACTTGAAACAATTCTTTTTTAACAAAAATATATGATCTAATTTTTAGACACTTGGATTTTTCCTTTGGTACAAATGGGCCAACTCGGCATCACGCAAGACTCCGAAACCACCACTCGTCTCCTCTCGGAAGCCCCTCAAGATTCCACCCTGTACATTTCCACCGGCTACTTCAACCTCACAACCCAATATATGACAACTCTAATAAATCAGACCACAGCCACGTGTAAAATCCTCATGGCTCACCCGAAAGCCAACGGTTTCTTAGGGGCTGAAGGCCCTGCCGGGGGAATCCCATATGCCTACTCCCTCATCGCACACAAGTTCCGAAATGAATTCGAAAAGCTGAACCAACAGCACCGAATCGACCTGTTTGAGTATTTGAGGGACAAATGGACGTATCATGGCAAAGGACTATGGTACTACGCCTCCAGAGACAGCAACCCGAGTTTGACTCTAATTGGGTCTCCGAATTTCGGCGAAAGGTCGGTGAAACGCGATCTGGAAACGCAACTAGCAATTGTTACCGAAAATTCAGTATTGAAAAAAGAGTTACATGAAGAGTGCCAAAGATTGTATGGGTTTGGGAGACCAGCCGAAACGGAGAGGGCTGTACCCAAGTGGGTGCATGGGTTTGTTTTTTTCTTCAGGAATTTTTTTTAAGAGAAATGTGATTGTTTTATTTATTTTGTTGATTTATTAAAGTTTTAGCAATTTTCCGTGTTTCATTAGCAAGTGACTAGATCCCATGAACAGGTTTTCTTTTTTTTTTACAGAGGGTTGGTGTAACTGTAGACACAATTTTTTTGATATTTTTTACAACACAAAATAATTTGGGGCTGCACGAGCCTTAGTATTAAATCAAACGACAGTTTGACTCCTTTGAAACAAACAAAAAAGACTGTAAACTAAAAATTGTTTTCTCATTTTTAAAGTGGAAGTATCTCAGGTTACAGTCATCAAAAATTAAATTTCCCTAAAATTCAAAAGTGTAGTTTACTAACCGTTTTTACTTTTGTCTGTTTATATTTGAAGTTCAAGCAATTTTAGTGTTTGAAGCTATTTTGGTGGTGTATTATTTTATCCAGAGGCCGCAAAGTGGCTTCTCATCACAATGTACATAAAATCGGTGGTTTTGGACGGTTTCAAGTCTTACGGCCACCGTACTGAAATTTCGGGCTTTGATAAGGCATTTAATGCTATCACAGGCCTTAACGGCAGTGGTAAATCAAACATTCTCGATTCCATATGTTTCGTTTTAGGAATCACGAATTTGAGCCATGTATTTCAGGTGCTTAACCTCAAAAAACAATTTGCTAAGTTTTGAATTCTAGGTCCGTGTGGGCAATTTACAAGACCTGATTTACAAAAGTGGCCAATGTGGTATTGATAAGGCCACTGTGTCTATCACTTTTGATAATTCAAACCCTGATCAGTGCCCCCCAGGTTTTGAAGATGTCTCAGAGATTACCATATCAAGACAGATCGTTATGGGTGGAAAAAGTAAATATATGATCAACGGAATGTCAGTTCAAAATAAGAAAGTCCATGATTTATTTTGTTCTATACAACTGAACGTAAATAATCCCCATTTTTTGATTATGCAAGGGAAAATCACCAAAGTTTTAAATATGAAGCCATTTGAAGTAAGAATGTTTTCGTTGGATTAAACCCAATTTTTTGTTGTCAGATTTTAGGCATGATAGAGGAGGGGGCTGGCACAAAAATGTATACAAGTAAAAGAGACGATACCTTAAAAACAATTCAGAAAAAGGATGCCAAACTCACAGAACTTCAATCTGTAATAGAAACAAAAATTGTTGTAGAGTAACATTAAAACTTTTTTTAAGATAATGAATGAGGTGGTTACACCTAGACTGGAAAAATTAAGAGCAGAAAGAACCAAATATGTGGAGTTTAAGAACATAGAAAGGGAATTGGACCACATGTTACGCCTCTATAAAGCTTGGGAATTTGTCGCGTCGAAAAGGAGGTATTTAGAAGTGAAAAACACTCTTGAAAATGAAGAAAACGATTTGAAAAATATTGAAGAAGAAAAGACAGCTCATAAAAGCAGAATTAAAGAGTTGGATGGAATTATTAAGGAATTAACAAAAAAGGCAGAAGCGGTAAGTTTCAAATGGTTCAGATTTTTTTACTTTAATTTTTTTGAGTACAATTAATGAGTAATTTATTTAGGATGGGAACCAAAATTTGGAAAAACTCGAACAAGAAATAAGAACAGCGGAGAAATCCCAAGCCAAAGTGAACGCAAACATAAAGTCAATTAACGACGAAATTGAGAATGAAACCAAGAGAAAAACACAATTAGAAAAGGTATTTTCCTCCCGGGAGAGTAAATTTCTTCACTAACTTGAAAAATCTTTTTTAGAACTTAGCCGACGACGAAAAAACCCTCAAAGTCAAAGAATCCAACTTGGCTAAAGTCGAATCGACCTTCCTCAAACTCAAAGCAGCCGACGAAAAGGACAAAGAAGCTTTCGTCATCTCCCAAAAACGGGTTGTGGCTTTAAGCGCCGGCATGGAACTCAACGACCAAGGCGAAGCCGAGTCGCTTCTCGCACAATTGATGAACATGCGTCAGAAAGCCTCTGAAGAAATTAACAAAAAAAACTGCACTCTCGTAAAACTCAAATATTACGAAGACCGACTCAAAGAAAAACAAGTGAAAGGCGTTAACTCCAACGAAATTATAAAAGACCAGCAGATGCAAAAGAATATGAGCCAGGAAATCGATCAACTGAAGGCCGCTATGAAAAAAATGCATTTTAAGGAGGATCGGATGAACGATTTGAAGAATAGAAGAACGCAGTTGTCGGAAGAAATGAAGGTTTTGAGAAGACAAGTTGACAATTTTGAGATGCGAAATTCGTTTACTCAATTCAGATATAGAGACCCCGAACCCAATTTTAATAAAAAGAGTGTTATGGGAGTCGTTTGTCGATTGTTTAAGGTGAAAGACGAGACGGCATGTTATGCTGTGGAAATGGCAGCCGGTGGTCGGTTATACAATGTTGTTATAGATTCCGATATTACCGGCAAAAAGTTACTTAAACACGGCGATTTACAGCAGAGAAGGACTTTCATCCCACTTAATAAAATTCAAGTAAATAAAATGAGCAACAGTGTTGTTAAAAGAGCCGAGGATTTAGTAAGTCTTGCAAAATTTCAAAATGGCAACAAACATGGCGGTTTTAGGTCGGTAAAGAAAACATAAAGCTGGCTTTGGACTACTTGAGTTATGATAAAAAAATGCAAAGCGTTATGGAACACATTTTCGGAAATGTGTTCATTTGTAAGGATATGTCTGTGGCAAGGCGGGTCGCCTTTGATAATAGGATTAGACGCAAATGTGTGACGCTAGATGGCGACATCGTCGATCCTGCGGGAACATTAACTGGGGGTTCCCGGGAGCAAACTGAATCGGTTTTAAAACAACTCGATTCCATACAACAAATCGAAGTACGTATAATAAAAAATTACATTTATAGTTCTTCATTTATACCAACATTTGTTTTTTTTGTTACTAAATTTTTTCAGCAACAACTCAGCGCGAAAGAGCACGAATTTGAAAAAATCGAGTCCGAAATCCGCGAAATAGGTCTCAAAGAGGAACAATTCATGACTTACCGAAGAGAGTTGGAGTTAAAAGAACACGAATTGAATTTGATTACGGAAAGATTGCAACAGTCGACATATTATCAGCACAAGGAAGAAATCGCGAATTTAGAGAAAGAAATAAAAAATCTCAAAGAAACAATCGCTTCTTGTGAAGAAAATGAGAAGAAACTTAACGAAAAAGTGAAGAGTTTGGAGGAGAAGGTTGCAGGTTCGAAAGGTGGAATCGAACAGAAGTTAAAAGAGGCTCAAGCAGAAATGGCAAGATTGAAAGCAAAAGCGGATAAAAGTAAGAAACAGTGGGAAGAGAAAGAGTTGGATTACGCAACGTTCAAAGGGGAAATTGAGGAGTTGAAGCAGAGTTTGCTGGATACGAAACAGCAGATTGAAGCGGCTGAAGCAAATATCATGCAGCTGAAACAGAAACTTGAAGAAATCGGGACTCAATCCACAGATATGAATGTAATTAATTGTGATCACCGATTAACGAAACGCGTTATATTTTGTGTTTATAGGCAAACATCGCGGAATTGCAAGCTGAACTGAAGAAAGGCAAAGCAGAAATCGTCGAGAAAAACAAAGATGTACAAAAGAAAGTCAATGAGAAGGAAGAATTACAGTCGAAAATCACCCAGTGTGAAATCAGAATCAAAGAATCAAGTCATAAATTGAAAAAACTACAAGACGAATGTAAAAATCTTAAGGGGCGCCAAGCCGATTGTCAGCAACGAGTTAAAGGCGACGAGGTGAAAACGGCCGAGCAAATGTCAGAAGAAGAAGGCCAAGAATTGGAAAAAAAAATTCGAAAATTTCAAGAAATGAAAAAGTCCCTTGGTCGAACTGTCAATAGTCAAGCGCAGGTTCATTTTGAACAACAAGAAAAAGAGTACAACGAGGTTAAGAAAAAATTACGAATAGTCGAACAAGATAAACGGACTCTACTCGATGCTATAAAAGAGTTAGATTTGAGGCGAGAAGAGATTGTGTGCAAGGCCCACGAACAAATTTCTAGAGATTTCGGCTCGATTTTCAGCACGTTGTTACCGGGGGCTACTGCTAAATTGTTACCGCCGACTGGACAAACTATTCTTCAAGGAGTCGAAGTAATACTGCATAATTGATTTTTTCACAAATAAAACGTTTTTATAGATTAAAGTCTCACTTGGAGGCATTTGGAAAGACAGCTTGACGGAATTAAGCGGAGGTCAGCGATCTTTAGCAGCCCTGTCTCTAATCCTCGCCATGTTGTTATTCAAACCGGCGCCATTGTACATTTTAGATGAAATTGATGCCGCTTTGGATCTGTCACACACGCAGAATATCGGTCGTATGTTGAAGACACATTTCAAAAAATCGCAAGTATGCTACTAACCCGTATTTTTTATTGTTATTTTTTTACAATTGGTTATTTTCAGTTCATTGTGGTGTCTCTCAAAGACGGCATGTTCAGCAATGCTAATGTTCTTTTCAAAACGCAATTCGTAGATGGCGTTTCCACCGTCACGAGGACCGCCAACTAAAGTACAATTTAATTATATGGTTACTTATTAGTTAAATATTGCTTTTTAAAATAAATTTTGTATGATAAAAGGCCGAAAGAACGTGATTCAATTGCCAAAATTAAAAAAGCACCAGTTCAGGAAAGATAATTATATTTTGCCACTAATAATTAGTTATTATACATATCCATTAACGTAAGTATACATAGTCTATACAAGAAGTCTACAAGTTATCATAATAATCAACCGTGTCTCCCGACTTAAAGTCCCCTTTCTCCAGCAGTGCCATTAGTCGCCCGACAGTCTGCTCACAGGTCAAAATCGTGGACTCTTTCACTTTTTTGAAGCTTTCTTGGACCTCCTCGCTTTGTGCATTTGTGATAATACTGTCAAACATATTAGTATCGACCGGCCCTGGCGAGTAATTCAAAACAATTATATTCTCCTCCTCCAAGGCCAAAACCTTGAAGAACAATTCCCGGGCGGCTTTGGCAGAGCCGTACATTGCCAAATTCTTAAATGGGGTTCTGCCACACAACGACGTGATATTAACAACGACTAATTGCGGTGCTATTGGTCGTATTTTACGGACGAAAACGGAATTCAAAGCTGCAACTTGAAACAAATTCAAATCGTAATATTCGCGCCAGATTTTCACATCAGTCAAGTCCGTGGTCCGCTTGATTTCGCCGGTGGTTCCCGCGTTGTGGAAAATAATCCCGAATTCGATTCCTGTAGTGTCCACGGAACCTGTAGCCCGATCTAGGATTTTTTCGTAGGTCGAAACATCGGCCGAGGATAGGTCTACCGATTCTGTGATAACATTGAGTGACTTATCAACTTCCAAAATGAGGTTTTTGGTTTGTTCGAGGTCATTGCTAGACCGTGCGAGTAAGATGAGAATTGAGTTTTGGTTCAAATTGCGCGCGGTTTCGAGGGCTATCGTTCGCCCGATCCCTCTGGAAGCCCCCGTGACCACAACTAGGGCCTTTTTGGCGAAATCAATCGACGTCATTGTCACTATCACTATCCAACTCCTCGTAGTTGATCAACTCTACGATTTCCCCCTTGTTTAAGGCTTGTTTCTGGGGCAAAATCGTCCGGATTAAGTGCGAATTGGTAACCGGAGTGTCCAGATCGTCGTCACGTTCAAACTGAGTCTCACCGTTGAGCAAATTCTGTAAACAGGCCTCCCGTTTAGCCCTTAACTGTTTCAAAACGTCGGGGTCATTTTTAATATCGTGGAGACGTTTTTCTGGAGGGTACAGTAAGGTTATGGTTTGGTAATAATCAAAAGAGGAGTTTTACCTAAGATTGCGAGGTACTGGTCTGAATCGGGCAACGAGTCACGCACTGAGGGAACAAAATTGTCTTCGAATTTCAAGCGATTTTCAACGACTGTAGTTTCGTTTTCGGCGCTGCCCCAAGGATCCATAAGAACTAATTTGGCGACCTTGGCTCTGATTTACAATCACAACACGGTTTTATCCCGTTAAAATCAAATATTTAACATTGTTGCCAATTGAGTTAAAGGTGATAACGAGGGTCACGTGATATTGCAAAGTACTAGAAATTGTGGACAATATAATAATTGAAAGTAATTTGTAACGAAAATCCACCAAAAATACGTTTTTTAAGACAATTTTTTTAATTTTCGGAAGTGACTAAGGCTACACTCGGAAACGTCACGAATGTCACTTTTGACAGTTTGTGGTTAAAAACGTGTACGAATTTGGTGGAAATTGTGTTGCAAAATGCCGAAATTCGACAAGAAGCGCAACAAAAATCGCTTCAAACCTCGATTCCAGGGGAAATCAAACAGACCGCAAGTAAACCGTGAATACCAGCACCAAAATCAATTACGCGAAATCGATGTCGGCATTACCAAATTCATTAACACGTTTGAGGGTTTTTCCGGTGTGATTAAAGCTCGATTTTCCGATTTTCAAGTGAATGAAATCGACCTAAACGGCCAGATTGCTAAACTAACAAATTTGGAAATCCCCAAAGTTGAAAAAGTGGAAAAAGCTGATCCACCTGTTGACAGCCCTCTGTCTCAAATCCCGCAAGAAATATGGGCTGCTTTGAAACAAATTCTTGACGAGTCAGAGCCGCCCTTGGTCGAGCTTGACGTCAGTGAAATGACAAAAGAGAATCGCACGGAAGTCCACCAGAGTTTAAAAAAATATTTCTCGGGGAAAATCTGTGCCAATACCGAAACGAAAAATGATAAGAAATATATGACTTTTAAAAAATGTGACGCCAAAAGCGACAATCGGTTAAGTTGGCCGAAAGATAAAGGGGAGTTTGTCCACTTTCTTGTTTACAAGGAATGTCTTGACACTTTAGACACTTCTTTGAGGATCGCCTCTTGTTTAAAAATAGCGCCAGCGAATTTGAATTACGCTGGGGTTAAAGACAGAAGGGCGAAAACCACTCAATGGTTTTCGGTAAAAAAGGTCGCACCCTGGAAATTGATGGTAAAAACTCGACCCATACGTAACGTTAAAATTGGTAACATCACTTTCAAAGACAAACCGTTGAAACTAGGCGACTTGACCGGCAATAAATTCCGAATCGCTCTCAGAAATGTGACTGGAGAAGACGATTTGATCGAAAAGTCGCTCAACAGTCTCAAAGACAAGGGCTTTGTCAATTACTACGGGTTGCAAAGGTTCGGAAATGACAAAGAAGTGCCTACCTTTTCGATCGGAATCCAACTTCTGTTGGGTAATTGGAAAGAGGTTTTTCAAATCATTATTACCCAAAATTTTGTTTTATAGCAGTACTTTTCAGGCCTGTGATGTTATTTTGAAACTAACAAAGTCGGATCAACCCGATTTGGACATCTCCAAAGCCAAAAAAGTATACGTTGAAACAGGCAACGCGGAAATGGCCTTAAAACAATTTGAAGGCAAAAATTCGTCTATCGAGTATTTGTTATTGTCAGGATTGAGCAAAGAACATAAAAATGATTACGTTAACGCTTTATCGAGTGTAAGTATTACGAAATTTGAAAAAAAGTAATAAAAAACTGTTTTTTGTTCAGATACCGAGAAATACGAGACTGCTTTACATTCACTCGTTTCAAAGTTTAGTTTGGAATTTAGTAGCATCGAAACGAATTGAAAAATACGGTCTTAACGCCGTCGAAGGCGACTTAATTCTTCTCGAGAATCCAAAAAAAACGTCGGAAAATGAAGGTAATTCAAAATTTGGGCCAAATTAATTAACTCAATTGATTGTATTATTAAAGGAGAGGATTGTGACGAGAATAAAAAAATACCCGTGAAAGCACTATCCGCCGACGAGTGCACAAACTACACAATTTATGACATTGTTTTACCACTGCCGGGCTATGATATAACTTATCCAGAAAATCTGAAAGACTGTTACAAAGAAATTTTAGAGAATTACGGCTTAAGTTTAGAAATGACGAAACAAAAAGTACGGTGCGTAAAAATTAAATTAAATTACATTAATTAAGTAAATGACACAATTTTAGTACATATACGTTGAGTGGAACTTATCGTAAACTAATGGGACAAGTACAGGATCTTTCGTGGAAAATAATGTACTATAACGACCCTAATTTTAATTTAATTAGATCAGATTTGGAAGAACTGAAAGGAGAAGAAGAACCTAAGAGTGTTGAAGGTACTTAATAAAACTTTTAGGCAAATAACTTACAATTTTGTTTGTTCTAGGAGGAAAATACAAAGCGCTAGTGTTGGAATTTTGTCTCGATTCGTCCTCTTATGCAACGATGGTTTTACGCGAAATTTTAAAAACTGACACTTCAAGTAGCTCCCATGCGAAATTGAATAATTATCATGTTGCTACAACACCAGAAAAAAACACTTCTGAAGACAATGAGGAATTTTCAGATAAAACCGGTTTACTTAGCGACTCACAAAAATACGAAGCCTTCAAAAATATCGTCTTTAGTGAAAACGAAACGGGCTTGAAACGCAAATGTGAGGAGGAAAATGAGGAAAAGGCGAAAATTGTAATTACAGAAAACTTTTATACCGACTCGAAATAAAAAAACCTTGAAACGTTGTAGGCGTTTATTTCTTTTAATGTCCTATGGCACTAAATCTTGTCATAGTTTGTTATCACTTAATCAAAGTATTTCTGCAATTCTCCCTTGTCATACAAGGCTTTAACGTCAGAGCCACCGCCCAAGCACTGTCCCTTAACAAACACTCTGGGGACCTAAAAACCATCAATTAATTTAATGTTTCACTACCGTTCAATAAAGTACAGTTTTAGCTCCGGTCATTTCTCCCAAAATCCCCTGAATTTCCTCCCCATCGTCCCTCTTATCCAGTTCAATCGTCGTGAATGTCTTTTTCAAATTGTTGAACACCTCCTTGGCTAATTTGCAATAGGGGCAATAGGACTTTGAAAAAATGACAACGGTGTCACTTTTAATCAAATCCTTGACCACTTCGACTTTAGGGGAAGACATGTCTATGGGCAATTTGGAACTAAAAACACCCATTACCTTGCTCAATAATGTATATAAAGTCGTGGAGATTTGCCAATAAATTGTATTGAATAAAGCCACAAGTCCCATTTTTTAAGCACAAGCGATCGTGTGATATTAACTTACTGTTCAAGGTGTTTAATTTGACGTTGGGAAATTAAATATTCACGTGCTTACAAAGAAAACCTTCGCAAATGTTATTGAACTAAATTATAACCTCAAAACATTCACTATTCACTCATCCGTAGAATTTGTTGACGTCACGACGATCACTATACAGGACGTTGCGCCTAATATTAAGGGGATTCACACGGTCAAGAATTTATTAAAAATCACAAATTTGGTAACGGCGTATTATAAAAATTGTAAAACGAAACGTTATCATCGGAACAAAAACTATAAAGCGTTGAGTTGGCTTCGTTCGGATCCATACTCTTAAATTCATTACTGGAACTGCAAAAAAATTCTTACACTTTACATAACAACTAAACGACAAGTATTCTTACTCAAATATTAAATTAAAACAGTCTGAACTTGTTGGCGATTTGATTGTATAATCAGGTAAATTGTGATGACCTTGCCCTTTAAAGGGTTGAGGCCCCATTTCCCTCAACTTCTCAAAAATGGGGGCAAATTGATCGTTATTCATTTTGGCAACCTTTGTTGCTGGACCTTCATCATTACTTTCTATTTTCCGTTTCGTTGTGTCCTCTTGATTTATTTTTAATAGTTTGACTTTATAACCTTGCAAAACTAGTTTTTTGAATGCTTGATATTTAGCATAATTTAATTGAATCTTTTTATAAGCTTCTTGAATACTTAGCGGCACTTTATCTTGTATTAATTCTAATTTATTCTAAAACACCAATAATTTATAAATCGAAAAGTTGTGAGCAAACTGGTGTTACTGCTTCTAAAAGATATAATGACTCTTCTGGACTTAAAAATTTTCCTTCTTTATTTTGGACACCAAAGCCCCCAATCGACGAACCGGTCGGTTTAGTCAATAGGGCCATATTTCGGTCTGGAAGCCACTCAGCAACGCTCCTAGCAACTCTGTATACACTTTTAAAAAACATAGTCACATTGAATTTTAAATTTACCTTCTTTCAACACGGGTATGCCTTAAAACACTCTCTATTCCAACAAGACACCGATTTTTTAGCCCTTCTTCTTTTTCACTCAAAGAAGACAAAAATAATTTCGTACCAAATGACTCGGTCTTAACAATTGGATTATTGTGATCATGAAAGTACTTTTCCACCTTGTCTTTTAAACTCATTTTAAATCCCAAAATAAATATAACAACTTTAAACAAAAGCTAAACAAACATTTTAAGGTTAGGTTGCGTATCCAGTATACTGGACGTTTCGTTGTACATTTTTATAATAAAAAATAAAAACATAAAACGACGAATTACGTAAAAGGAGTGAACATAAATAAATGTCTAAGCGAAAATTTGTTAATTACTTTTAAAATTTTATTTTAATTATTTTTTAGTTTCAACAGTCTGCTCCTTAGCCACTTCCAGTTTTGTTGACATTTTCTAAAAACGCTATTTTGAGGTTAGGTTATCAAGGGTCACCGAAAAAATGGATCAAATGTGCCACAAATTAAGTCAGTGATAAAAATAAACGTGAAATTCGACATGCTTAACCCGAAAGCATGCAAAAAAACTCAAAGAATGGCATTTGACACGTAAGTTGCGTTTATCTACTTTATTTAAAAATATCATTTTTTTATGAAAGGATTATTAACCATAAATTTGTGTTTTTGTAACGCATTATGCTCATTTTTAATTATATGCATGGCGTATAGCTAATTTCCCGTACAAAGAGTCACTAACGGTGGTTTTTGTTTTGTTAGGTTGTCCGTGATTAGAGATCCCTGTAATTTCGTATTTTGTTGCAGATTTATGATCCGAAGAACTGAATCAAATGCCTCGGAGATCTAATGGAAATACTAATCTCGAAGAAGGTTGTTTCAGCTTTAATTTTATTAGCTGCCATATCTTTTTATATCAGTTATACATTTAACACTTGCCTAGTCAGTAGTATAGCCAAAGCATTGCCGAAAGTGAGTATTACACCCGGAAGTTTAGTAGTTGTCTTAAAACTTGGTGTTTCAGTGGCGCCACCATCCAGTAGTCCCTAACGACACCCCAATCATCCATTACCACACCTCCGTTCGCGTCGTCCCCCTTCTCGAAAGTAACGAATCAGACATATCGCCGAAATACAAGTTTTTTCGCGAACAGGGTCTGCGCCCAATGCGCCAACTTCCAAGTGCTTTAATAATTGGAGTGAAAAAAGGGGGCACTAGAGCCCTTCTCGAATTCATCCGGATCCACCCCGATGTGCGTGCCGCCGGCAGTGAGGTGCACTTCTTCGATAAGAATTATCCTCGGGGCTTCCAGTGGTACCGCCAACGAATGCCTCCGACACTCGAGGGCCAACTCACCATCGAAAAAACGCCGTCGTATTTTATAACCAAGGAAGCGCCGAGACGCGTACAACATATGAATCCCTCCACTAAACTCTTAGTCGTAGTTAGAGATCCGGTCACTAGGGCCATCTCGGATTACACACAAGCGATTTCGAAAAAAACAGACATGAAACCCTTCCATCAACTTGTTTTTATTAATAGTACGATAGGGTGCATTGTTGACACCTCCTGGGGGCCGGTGAAATTGGGGCTGTACTCTCGATACTTGGCCAGGTGGTTGAAATATTTTCCTTTATCACAGTTTTTGTTCATAAGTGGGGAAAGGTTGGTTGTGGATCCGGCAATTGAGTTGAAAAGGGTACAGGATTTTCTGGGGCTCAAACGAGTGGTTTCCGAAAGACATTTTTATTTTAATTCAACCAAAGGGTTTCCCTGTTTGTTTAAAAGTGAAGGGCATAGTACACCGCACTGTTTGGGGAAAACTAAAGGCCGGAATCATCCCTATATTGACCCTATCGTTATCCAAAGATTGAGGGATTTTTACAGACCCTTTAATAATAGGTTTTATCAAATGACCGGAATTAATTTCGGTTGGGTTTGAACCATATACACAAAAAGTATTGCTAGACCAATGTCAATTTACCCAACATATACCTCTGATATCAAGTTACACGTTGTTTTGTTTTCTTGTTTTGTTTTATTTTAATCCAAATATCACATTTATTATTTATTACGCTTTCTTGTTATTACGATATTGGAACTTTTTTGTTATAATATTTTTTTATAAAAATAGCACAGCAAACATAATCAAATAGGTAATGTTTTTGACTTTTATCAATCGTTTGATAACCAAAGTTTTATTCTTACCGTATAAATTATTGTAGTTGGGAAATTTTAATAAAAAATCGTAAAAAAACTGAAACTCTCATTTATTCCCGTTGTCATTTCTAGTGCTGAGATGGCCATTGAAGCACTTAATTAATTACATAATTTTCGTTACAAGATTTTTTAAAGAATTAATTAATAGCAAAGTTTCAAAAATAAAAATGAAATGTCACTTATTTTCGTTCTAGAACACTTTCCCTGTCGTAAAACTTATTTTTCCCTCCTCCCCTTCTCTATAATTCAAACGAATTTTTCCCTAATTCCATTAATTACCCTCTAATTAGTCCAAGTATTAGTTTCCAAACTTTGTACAGTAATTAACTCCTCACTCTCGTAACATAATGTCAAAATTAAAATACTTGAACGGAAGCATTTCCGTCTTAAAATGGGCCATTTTGTATCCAATTGACGTCGAAAACACTATAATTAAAAAAATCTTATACTTTTTGTGGAGCATCATTTTTATTTCTTCAATTGGCATCACTGCAATTCAGTGCATAATTCAAATAATCATAACACCGGTTGATTTAATCGAACAAAATACGGTCGTCATGAATACAGGTACTAATAATGCAAAAAAAACTAAATCGGGTGCACATTCGATTGTTTCTAGTGATTTATCTGTCAATATTCGCCAACTATGCTTTTTTCTACAATAACTCGCAAAATTTAATCAAATTGGTAACAAACATCAATGAAAATTTTGTTGATAAAACTGATAACGGGATTGAAGACATTAAAATGGATTTTTGTGTCAAAATTACAAATAATTTGCCGGTTTGGTGGACAATTAGTCTGATTGGTTCAACAGGTTTGAACACAATTATTCCATTTTTTGGCAATGACAGGTCATTTGACATTTATTTTACATACAATTGTCAAATTTGTATTTTCAGGATATTACCAGTGGGCGGGTATTTCCCCTACGACCATACCAAAACCCCATTTTACGAACTGACATACATATGGCAAGTCATATGTCAAATTAATTTAGGTATCATTTATGGCGGATCTGACATGATTTTCCCCTGTATAGCGGCCATTATAGGCCAACAATTCAAAATTCTCGCGTCCAACCTCAAAAATAATATATTTTACGCTCTTCTCAAGTGTGGGATTCCCCGACATGTTGTCAATGATTTCAAAAACAACTTTGACAGGCTTGAGTGAGTCACACTATCTAATTTTACCCAATTTAAGTGGCAAATTTTCGTAGACCAAACGAAACCATCATGTCGGTAATTAAGCGGAACCAATTTCGCAAAGCTAATTTAATTTACTTGAAGAAAAACATAGCCCATCATCAGATTTTGCTCAATTATTGCGATGATTTGAACCGAATCATCGGATTCTTTCTCTTCGTAAAAATTATAGCCGCTTTCTGCAACATTATTTTTATCATGTTCACTCTGATAACGGTATGTAGGGGGCATGTGTGAGGTCACTACCAACCTAAACTTTTCCAGTCTGGGGCCCAGACCGAAATTATGAGTTTGTGTTTTTATGTGTTTTTCGCAAGCACGGAACTGTTTGTCTACACTTACGGGGGCCAAATTCTAATAGAAGTAAGTTATTTAACAGTTTCACCAACCTTGTAATTGTTTTTCCAGAAATCGGAATTTTTGTGGGATTTATATGACAGTCCTTGGTATTTGTGTGAAGTCAAGTTTCAAAAATTGATGCTTATGGTACAAATGAAGGTCCAGAGAGTGGTTTATATGAGAGCTGGGGGTTACTTCGCTATGTGTGCCCCCATGTTTATTACAGTAGGTTAATACTTATTAATTTTTCTAGAATCACATATTTCGTTTCTAGTTTATGAAAAGTCTGATGTCATATATTGCTCTATTGCGCGAACTGGTTGTCTCCGACAAGAGTAATTCATAAGTTTGTGACACTGTTCAAATTTTTGGAAGTGTCTGAAGCCACATTTTTGCACATTTATGTCTTACATGCTATTACCGTTGTTTAACCCAGTAAAAAAAATTTCACCACGCAGACAACGTTTTATAAATGTTAATATGTAATTAAGTAATTAAAAAAATGTCACTTAGAAAGACGACGTTATTTATGCCTCTGACTAGCGGAAATTTTTAATTAGGACGATTGTATGTTATGCACCGATTAAATTCGGGTATAATGCATGTTAATAAAATGCTTATCTTTCCTGAAAGCGTGGAAAAAAACTGCAAACAATGTGACGGTACATTGTTGAAATTGTTTTAAAAGGCAGGTAAGGTCGGGTCAAACTCACACCGCATTGCGTTTTTTCAGCTTATTGTAAGCACCAGATTAACACATTAAAATTTTATCTATTGTAATGAAATTAGGCAATTTGTAACATTGTGGAGATATGAAACGAACCGGAAATACCGTATGGAGTGAATTATGGATGTTTCCTGTTTTGAAAATTTGACAGAAATGAAAAAATGAACGAATTACATACCAGTACAAGTTTTCATTTTTTGGAGCCAACCAAGTGGACAAATCTTTGCAGACTGAATATCACCACACAACTTTATTTAAAAACACTTTGTCATCAAACATTCACTGTTTGGAGGCACTTTTCATGTATTTGCAGGCAAGAATCGGCCTTTTTCAGATATTTTTACTCAACTAGTTGATTCAAACTGCCATTTTGAAGAATTTGGTAACTTTTAATATTGTTGTGGCACCCCTACTTTTTCAATTCATAGCCGCCTCTACAATAATAATAAAAAATGCATTTTACGTTTATTTCACAATAAATAAATACATCAATAAATAAATAAATAGAACAAAATTAAATTAAGGATAAAAGTTCTGCAAGGCGTCCCCATAGAGCGCATTGTATGAATCCCTTAAAACCGAGATTTTGTCCGGCTTCCCATTGAAGGTAAATTGCCCATCTAGCTTATGCACCAGCGAATCCACCGGCCGTTTCGTGGGTTTGGGTTCCTCGAAACCGTCACTGTCCCATTGGTAAATGGTCGATGGTTTTCCATTCGCCACGAAACTTAATGGAAGACTGACGAAAGGAGACACTGGGGGCGGAGGAGGCGGCGGCTGGGACACATAACCCAGGCCTGGGACATACACATACGGCTGCGGTGGTAGTCGGATGTAATAAATGGGCGAGTTATATACGGGTTTGCGTTTGGGGATGGTCCTGCTTATGTCATTAATGTCATTTTCCATAGCCATCGTGATGTCATAATCTTCCGGTATATAGTCGAAGTAGGCGAGGGTTTTGGGGTCGCGTGGCATGGGGTAGGCATAACTGGCGAGGATGAAGAGGGTCAGAGGAATGAAAGGAGACATCTGAAAAATAATTAATGAGCGGTAATTAACAGTTCAGTATTTAATTGTCGTAATTAGGTCAAAGAAAAAAAAAATTTTTCATTTTGTTGATACAACTGTCATTTCTCCACAACCAACTGTGACCACACTTTAGGCTAATTATTGGGTGATTCCCCTATTAATAACATTTGGTAAACCTGGCAATAAAGATAAATTCCTACATTATTATTTACAAAGCTCTCGTCAAATCGAGAATATAAAAAGAAATTGTAACCGAATTCCTACAAAACTCTCGACACACGGATTAAGTGTCGGGTGAGCTAAAGCACGTACTCAACCCAAATTTTTGTTGGTGTTCGATGAAGAAATTTTTGATTTATTACATTAGTTTCAGGATTAGAATGTTGGTCGCACTATGAAAAATTATTATTAAGTGTCATTAGGTGGCTTTGTAATGACTCGAATGAGGTCAGAGAGTATTTTACTTTTCTTAAATTACAATAAGAAAATAGAAAGATTAAATTTGGTTACACAGGAGGACACAATAAATGAGTTAGTCACGTGATTTTTTATTAAGTTCAAACTTAAATTAGATTACAATTATTATAAGTCGTTTTATATTTAATAGGTAAATATTATACAGTTAATAATATAATTTAGCAGAGTAAATCCATTTTTTTTACAATTCAAATAATTTTATTGATTAATTCATGAGATGCCTTCCTACTTTTTCAGGTGTTGAAAAAAACTATAAAAAATAATTGCAATAATAAAATTATGAGCAAAAATTATAGTTTTTCGTAGTAAATCGTAAAATCTGACAGCATGACTTTATTAATCTTCAATGCTTCGTTTGATGGCTTAATTTAGATATATTTCACTTATTTTTTTGCGCTTTTTTAATGACACTAGTTGTTTATCTTCTTTTTGAAGATCTTAATTATTTTAATTTTAAAACGTTTGTTTCAATTAAAAGTGACATCCGGATTTTTTGTTAATTTTTACTTATTGACGTATAACAAAAAATGAACGAGTTTTTTAAACTTTAAATTGTTTGTCGACCCAAAACGCTTTTTTAATTATCATAATTATAAAAATAAACTCTTTTTCGGTGTTTAATGATTGAATAAATAAATGTATAACAGTAACATTTGACATTTAAGCTGTTTGGAATTACCAGAATTTAGTATTTGAAACTGTCTTACTTTTTGCGAATTTTTCGTATTTTAAACGTGACATTTCTTTTAGCTTTTTCAACCGGAATTTAGCAAAAAAAATTTCCGCTTGGTTGGGCGCCAATTAAAAGCCACTCAATCATACCGAAAACCGGTCACATCTTACCTTTTTTGCTTTTATTTGAATATCTTCTGCGGTCGGCCTTGCCCGTCCTTGCCTTAACGGTGAAAAATTGGGATCACTGTTCTACCACTGCAACTTTACACGTACCTCGTCGAACTAAATCGCGAATTTAAGACGCTTTGAAGTAAACACCGTGTATTTCTTTAAAGCACACTTATGGTGGGGGAAAAACCGGAACTTTCGTCGGTTGAAAAAAGGCACGTCCGATATTGAAAATCGTCTTTATTTAATTTTACGCCTGCGTGAGTTACGCTCAATTATGGTTTTCACTCTGAATTGTAATATTCAAATGTGTGACTTATTTACCAAGTCTGAGTAGTTAGTAGGCTATGAAGGGAATATTTTAGTAAAATCAGGTAAAAACCCAACTGTTTTATTATTCCGAAAGAAAAAACGGTTGTTCAACTAGGTGCTCTCGATTACAATCACGATGCAACATTTTATCATTTTTAATTGCAGGAACAAGTAGGCCGCGTATGAAATAAGTGAACATTAGTTAGAATCATCATAATTTATTACAATAATTTCGCATTTCGTTCAGTTGGCCTTGACTACTTTCAATTTCACTATTCAAACTATTGGCTAATAAGCCAGGAGTGGGGGTGACCTTCAAATAATCACCAATCAGAGCTGTGGGATTCTTTCCCCCACCATGCGCTAGACACTCCCTCCGGTACCTCTCCCCTTGGACCCGACTCAACGGATCCACTTTAAAATAAGTCTCCCAAATCAAGTAGGCCAAAGCCCTTGAGACTAGATAGGAGTAGTATTTCGCCCCGTACCCCACCAAATGACTAAACCTCAATTGCCACGTGGTGTGTGGTACGTATGGCAAACCATAGAACCTGTTTTGTGTTTCGGCCAAAATCTCCGTCGTGGTACCACTCAATGGGTGTTTGCCGTGGTAGATCTGGTCTAAGGCGGCGTAGAATATCTGCAATTGGGTCTCGCTGGCACTGAAGAGGTTCTTGGAGGCGCAAAGTTTGACCAGCATGGGTTCGGGGATAGGTTCTTTGGTTTGAAAATGCTTGGCAAAAAGTTTGATGACTCGAGGGTCCGAAGCAAAGTACTCCATCAAAATAGATGGTACCTCAGCAAAGTCGGTACTACAGCGGGTACCCGAGACGTGTTGGTACTGGGTTCGGGCAAGCATCGAGTGCATAGCGTGCCCCATTTCGTGAAAGAGATTGTCCACCATATTGGGCGACAATAGAGTGGGACTGGACCATCGCGGGAGCGGGAAATTCAGCATGAGGACCACGATGGGCAATTGGTACGTACCATCAGGGAGAACTTTGCCTCCGCGGATGGTAAAGTGGCACTCTTGATTCGGTTTGAAGTTGCGTTCGTAGAAATCACAATATATGTACCCCAGCAAGCCTTCAGTTTCATGCACGACTGAGAGTTTGTACACATCTTTAGACCAGGTCTCGCCCGAGGCGATTTCCGAGTTGACCAGAGAGATGCCATAGAGGGCGTTGAAGATCAAATTTAAGCCTTCCATGCAAGCCCCAAGGGAAAAGTACGGCGAATATTCCTTACTGGTGACCTCAAACCTGTCTCTTTTGGCTTTTTGAGTGAAGTAAGGGACGTCCCAAACTGCTAAAGGCCCCCCGTTTGGATTTTCCTTCATTTTCAAATGGGACATGTCAGAGAAGTCGGCCATTGCCTTGCTTTTGATACTCTCGGAAATTTTCTCGAGCAACTCCATGACTTCAGGGGGCTTGTCTAGAATACTCCCGCGGAGTGCGCGTTCACTGTAAGTGTCAAAATCGCACGCTAGAGCGAGCTCGTGTCGCGAATCCAACAACTGGTTGAGGAGGTACTCTTGGTTGGGGTCGGGGTAGAGGAATATCTTGTAGGCCATTTCACGAACAAGGGGGTTTGAGGAGTCGGCGTAGAGGCCCGAAATAATCACTTTATCGCCATCACTTGAAAACCTGTGACAATTGTGCCTTTAGTTGACCTTGAAACTGGGCTAGATACTCACACATCGCGGACACTTTCCGGAAGGACACTTTGCTTAATGACTTTAGGATTTGAAATTCCGTTCAGAAATTGTTGCCCAGCGCATAATATTTTGTTGTTAAGTTCGACAACCTGATTTCGCTTGTGTTCGTTTAGGTGAATCCCACACTGTTCAAAATCAAACAAAAATAATTTCCCAACGAGATTATCAACTTCGGTCGTTGGGACTATATCTGTTGTATTTACAGCAGTCTTTAGGGCTTTGTACATTTCAATATTCGTGTTTAACCTTAAAAATAAAGATTAAAATCAAATTTAACCCCCTTGACGCCTACCTTTCGACTAGTTTACTTATGGCTACTGATGTGTGCTCCGCCGCCCCAATGTATTCAGACGACGGGTGTGCAAATCTGATAAACTCAGCCAAATCAGCCACTTGGCATAGAGAGTCAGACAATTCGTCGAAAATTTCCACCATTTTTCGTTTGCGGTCGCTTGAAAGAGCCTCTCGGACTAAATCATCGGTTTTTTCGACGCATTTTTGAGTGACATAGTAAAAACCTTCGTGAGTGGTTAATTGGGAGACCCCAAAGAGGCCCTAAAAACCTTCCAAGTGTAAAACACTCACAGAAAACGGTGTTACTAAAATACTTACAACATTTTTTGTTACTATGTCAAGATTTAAACCCGGTTTGGTGTTAAATATTTTCTCTAGAGCTGACCATCGACTAACGTTGCAATTTGAGGTTGTGAGAGTTTTGAGTAGCTTGAACGATAAGTGTGTGGCAAACATCTTCCAAGTTTTTATTATATTCTTATTTCTGATATGGTTTTAACTAGATTTAAACTTCCATAGAATCAAAAATAATGTTTTTGTGTGAAGCATTGTACATAACCTAAAAAATATGGTTCATGAAAATTATGTAAAACTACACGGAATATAATTTAAATTGAAATTTAAGAAACTTACGGTTAAATAAAATGAGATTTGGGTGAAAAATATGCAAAAATGGAGTTTTTAAAGTTACAAGAACTTTAGTATTTTTTGACAGATGATTGTGATTTTTGTGTCTACCAGAACATAGCGTCTAATGCTTTTTATTATTACAAAAAAACATACGTGTTACTACAAGTATGCTTAAACCAAAAACAACTAAAAATGGTAAAAGGTTGTTTAATTAAAGTTTGTTGTATTTTATTGACAAATGAGATAAATTAATGTTAAATTATTAATTGACGCTTTGTCCTGTAGTCTGAATACTTTATCTACAAATCTGATGACGTAAGAAATAGTAATGGTTGATGGTTTGTTAACAAGTTGTCACAAAGTACTCATTTTTTGTTTACAAAGTAAAGTCCTTTTCAATTCACTTTTTCCTGAATTGAAATTGTGTTGTTTTCATTGTTATCTAATCACAGAGTACAAATGAGTGTAGTTTTTGTGCAGTTTCCTGTGTTTAAAAAACAATTGAAGTTGGGGTCACGATGTTAATTAAACGATTGGTGAGTTTGAGTAATTTTTGAGCAAAATTTGATAAAAATGAATGAAATGCAACTTTATTTGATTGGAAAATTATTCCTGTAATTCTAAGTTCATAAGTGGAAGAGTTTTCAGCAATAAATTATTTTCCAGTAGTTGGCTTTGATTATTGACAACAATGACAGCTTGTTAGTGGGATAAATTATGTTTAATTGTTTTATTGTGTATTTTTTCATTTAAATTGAGGAAATTAAAAGAATCATCTTTATTAAAAAGTGTAATTAACAACTCGCATACGGATTAATAATGCAAATGTACACAGTGATACATAATTAATGAGAGGTAAAGTGGCACGGATGTGAATTGTTGGTTGCATAAGTAACAAATTAAATTTTCTTTTTTCAGCTCAAAAACGCTGTTTTTTAACGTATTTCGTTTATTAAATTATTCATTATTCACACAAAGGCAAACTCAATAATTTTTTTTTATTTACAAACAACGTTGTACAGTTAACAGTCTTGGAACCGTTGAAAATGGCTCAATACAGATGATTTTTCCGCATTTTGGCCAATATGTCGGGCCACGCTGTGGTCGTATGGGAATATGAGACTCGACCCGGCTATTGGAAGCCCTACAGCCCTGCAGTGACCCAACATTTAGAACGAGCAAACGCTAAACAATTGACTCGCGTCCTTTTATCCGACGCCGACCCGACTTTATTCAACTTTTATGTCAATTTGCGTACTTTGACACAAGTACAGGAAGAGACAGGTAGTTTTTTTTCATACAATTTCAGTCAAATATGTAATTGATTTAAGATGAGGTTGTCAAAGTTCGTCGCAAGTGTTATCCGCCCTCATCTCCTGCCGGAAAAGGGGCTAAATGGGAATGCGTTGATCCGGAAAATGGTACAGATTGGCACCCCTTCGATATGGACATACAGTGCCTTATCGAAGAAGCCTGGGCTAATGTATTTCAATTGTCTTTAATTTTTTTTTCTCTAATTTTAAAGGATTACAGGGGGACCAAAATATCGACATGAGTAAAACTCATTTAGGTTTTCCATATTTGATTAATTTTAGTAATTTGACACAAAGATGGCTGACTAACGGCCATGTTCGAAGTGTCAGACGTGTCAAACAAGCGCCATATCCGTTAGTTAAGGTTAAATTAGAAGAACTGACGTCTGTGACAGGTGCGTGATTTTGGGGTTTTTACCGGTTTAATGATTATTGATTTAGGGAGACGTGAAATTGCAAAAAGTGCCAAAAATGTGACACAACCAGTACAAAAAACAATTGGTAGTAGTGCCGCCTTAAACGTTGTTGAAACAAAACGAAGTGCCAATAAAAAACGATCACACAAGCCAAAGAACGGGAATGAAACCAGTACTACCAACCTAGCTAGAGCAATATTAAATAATTTAAATATTTTTAGTAAGTTTACAGATTCCTGTAATTTTTTTGTTACTAAATAATGACCCTTATTAGGTAATAAGTCGAGTAATAACAATTTCACCTCAAGTTCAGAAAGCCGTACTCACAAAGAATCACTTTTGGACGCGGATAGTAGCAGTACAAAATCGGGCCGACGGCCAAGTCTTGACACAGTTTCGACCTATTTAAGTCAAGAAAGCCGTGAAAGTCAAACGACAGTTTCCACCAGTGATTTGCTTCACTGTAGCAGTGAGGACGACAATATCGATCATGATTTACTCTCGATAGTTGGTAATACTGTCGCATTTTTCCTTGTAACTTGATAACACTAAAAACTCTAGGATTGGACCCGGCAAGTGCAATAATCTCAAAATATGTCCGTGTGTCCCAACCGTGCGAGTGGGCCCCTAGACAACCTTGCCCCACATGTAGACAACCCCTGCGCCCCACTTTGGTCGTAGTGGCTCTGCCCTGCAACCACGTTTTACACCTCGATTGTCTTAATTACTCTCTGACTGAACAACAGGAAAATGGCGCACATTTGCACATCGATTGTGCGATTTGTGGGTGCGTCTATGGGGAAAAGCACGGCAATCAGCCCCCCGGAATCATGGAATGGGGCATCATAGATAAGAGACTCCCCGGATTCCAGAATTATCGCACAATTCAAATCGTTTATAAGTGAGTTGAAAAAACTTGATAAATTCATGTTTTTTTTTTAATTTTTGTGTTTAGCATTCAATCAGGTATCCAAGGTCCGGACCACCCCCACCCCGGCAAAGAGTACTACGCCGTGGGTTTCCCCCGAGTGGCCTATCTTCCCGATTGTCCCAAAGGACAGAAAGTTTTACGGTTATTGAACATCGCATGGCATCGAAAATTGATTTTTACGATTAGTAGGTCCAACACAACAGGTTGCGAAGATGTGGTAGCTTGGAATATACCCCACAAAACGGAAATGGGGCCAAGTAATAGTGCGCACAGTTATCCGGATTCAGGCTACTTGACGAGAGTTTTAAGAGAGTTAGAGGCGTTGGGAGTCGTTGAGGAGGACGGAAGATGAGGATCTGATATTTATTTAGGTTAAGTTGGAAGTACTGTTAATATACGCTTATGCAATATTTCGAAATATTTACAAAAAAAATGTACAGTATTTGATACAATGTATCCTATATTGACAAATATATTTTATAATTAAAGTATAGTAAAGTATAGAGTAAAAAAGTGATTTTCAATTATACCTTGAAAACTCAACTTACACCATATTTTTTTTTTAACACTAATCGTATTTAAATCTTTTGATTAGTATAAATGGCGTAACTTTAATTACATCTTTTCTTTGATGAATATTGATGATATAATCATTTTGTGCAAAACTTTCAAGTGAAGTAATATCTGACAAATTGTTTTGACATTTACGTAACAACGCTTTTGATTGTTGCTTTCCTTAGGGAATTTCCGATTCTAAACTAGAGCAGTAAAAACACAATTTTTTGAGGGGGAATTACCAATTGTAGACTTTCACTAAATTACCCGTTATTTGCTTATTTTAATTGTTTGTTGCTTATTCATTTTTAAATAATGAGGTACAATAGATAGTGTAAAACGGTATTAAGGGCTTAAGGAAAAAAAAAACGTACTTTTTGCTTGATTTAGTTTTATTCTTATCAATTAAATACATCATATAACTTGTAAAAAGCTATATTACGTTTTACGACTAGCGTGTAATGTAGTCATTATCTGATAAAATAAAAATGTATATTGCGTAATATCACAGTACAATAACTCGTTTGAGAACATCAAACTCTGTCACAAAATACAAAATTTATTTGTGAGGAACTTTAATAAAAACGTTATTTGCGCCCGATGAGCATATCGAAACATTTCTGGAAGTAAGGTTTATTTTTATTTTTGCTCTTTTGTAACGCGTCCTCTTTGAATTTCTTCCAATTTTCGCATCGGGTCTGACCCACCGGACCCCAATTTTCATGCGAGAACGTCTTATTTACCATCTGAAAAATTACAAATTAGCCAACATAACAAGTTAAGAATTGCGAAACTCACGTCTGGGAATCCATGATCACGATTTTTGTAAATGTAATAAACTATCCACATGAAAAACTGGGCGACTGAAACGCCCAAAATAGCCCACCCGAAAGCTGTAAAAAAATGGTAGGTAATTTTCCTAACTTGAGTCAGCTTTACCAACCTAAAACTTCATCCGGGTACGTGTAAGAAGCGTACGACAATCTTTCGTATTTTACGCAGAAGTAAATGAAAATTACGAACAGAAATACCGGGGTTATCAACCCCCAAGTCAATCTCCAATAAATACTGACTTTCTTCTTTGACATAAATTCCAAATCCAAACAGAAATTTTCAAGTCCATAAACCCACGACACTGCTGCCACTTCCAGCACGGCAAACACAAAAATCAGAAATGTCCCGGCGTAATGATCCACCAGATTTAACATAAATTGGCCACCCTGGTCACAAACTAGTTACAAACCGAAATTCCCTTACAAAAATACTCACCGGAGTGACGTACATCAAACCGATCAAAAAACCACCAATCGCTGTATACGCCGACACTTGCCAACTTTTCAATTTAGGAAAAATATCCTGCACCACTGTATTGACAGTTCCGTGAAGTGCGACAAGGCTGCCAATCCCCAAAACGAACAACATGAAAAAGAAAAGTATGGCAAAAAGCCACGGTACGGCTTCCATTTTTGCAATGGCATCCGGGTAGGAAATAAATGCAAGACCAGTGCCTCCTGATTTTATAACCTGATCGGGGGTTACCCCCATATTGTGTGCTAGGTTGCCTAAAATTCCGAAAATTGTCACCCCTGATAACAGGGACGTAAACGTGTCAAGGGTGGTAACAATTAATGCATCCCGACTTATATTATGTTCGAAATCGTTGTAAGACGCAAACATGACAATTGTACCAAAACCCACGTTCAGGGAGAAGAAACATTGAGTGACTGCGGCGTACCACACCTGGAATCCATTAATTAGGATTAAGTAAGTGAAATTAATTGTAATTACATCAGCTTCGGCGAGTTTGGCCCAATCAGTTTTGATAAAGTAGTACATTCCGTCGGCAGCGCCCTCTAATGTGGCAGCCCGAATCAGTAGAGTTATCATAATGACATAAGGGAAGAGCGCGAGGAAATATGAAGCTTTCCCCGAGCTTTGAATCCCTTTGGCTGATACTAAAAATGTGATAATCCATGACGCGAGCAAACACAGGGTTAATCTCCACTCAGGGGTACCAATCCCCTCACTAATGTCCGTGCTTTCTTTTAAAACTTCTTTCCTAAAGTGACACTAGTGACTTTGATTTTACACAATTGGCCTCTTACGTAAAATACAGTTCAGATGAGCTCACAGTAGTGTAATTCGGTTTTACATGGGTTGTCCCATTCGCGATAGCATCGACGCATTGTTTCTGCTGCTTGTCTAGGTCTGCCAACCATTCATCTTTACACGTGCTCCAGGGTAAATCCCCGGTGAACGAATTCGCCAAATAGAACAACGTTATAGCCATGAGGCTGCAGTAATAAGTGGCGACGAAAGCCGATCCAACGACTTGGCCATAGCCAACTCCTGAAAATTAGATTTGCTAGACTTGAGAAACAAGTAAAGGGTTGCCAACCTTTGAGGTAGGGACTTAGTGATTTGAAAAATTTTATGTTGCCACGGTTGGAAAACTGGCCGAGAGACATTTCCATGTAGTATAAAGGGCGGCCGATTAATGTGAGGATTATTATGTAAGGGATCAGGAAAGCCCCGCCGCCATTTTCGTAAGCCGTGAAGGGAAAGCGCCAAATGTTGCCTAGGCCGACTGACATGGCCACACATGACATGAGAAACTCAATGCCATTGCCCCATTGGGCCCTTTGGCGCTCGTCGCCTTTGTTTTCCTGAAAATTGGGCAAAAAGGATAATGAGCGGTAAAGTCCCCGAAAAGGATTTATGTACAGGACGTCATGAAATTTTCTTGTAAAGTCACTGCATCCAGGACGAGATATCACAGTTTTTTTGCTCTAGACTAATTTATTATATTAATATAAGAAAGCATCCATAAAAAATACTATAACAGTAATAAGCCGCCATAAAAAATCGTGTAGTTATAAAAATTAGAAAAAATATTTTCAAATATGATTTTGCAGTTTTTAACACGTGTTGTAAAATACAGACGGCTTAATTTTATCGCAGTAATTATTTATAATAAAATAATCCCAAGTAATAAAACGTCATTCATTAAATTGTCGCCTCGATGAAGAAATTTTCAAGGGATTAAAAGTGGTACTTACCGGATCTTCAACTGTTCCATTAGTCTTCGTAAAGACATCATTACCAGACTCAAAAGCCGGATTATCCAAACCCATTTTCTGTAAATTTGTGAATTATAAACACACTGTAGATGTATTGCGAAAATTTATTAAGAGCGCGTCAAATTCATTAGATGCACTTTCGAAATTTTAAGAGGATTGCGAATTGCTTTTGCAAACATATTAATTAGAAAAGTTGAGAGAAATCACTTTATATTATTATAATTTTTTTTTTGAAAAAATTATTTCCGGTTATTGGCCAGGAAATGGAAACCATATTCTACCTTACTATCACTCATATTGTAGATGTTTTATCTGACACACATCAGTAACAACTGAATTTGCAACCTCAGGTATATTTTACACCATGGCAAATTAAGATATACCAAGTGGTGGGGCCGCATTTCCAATTTCATTGTAAACTCCTTCAATAAACCTTGCTTTTGCGTCATTTTTAATAATCTCGACGATTTGGCACTTCGGGTCGATTTATCCCGGCGTTCAAGGCCACCCTTGATTTCCGCGAAGACCTACTTTCGGACCTTTGTTGTGCAAATCTCAAGTTCGCTGAACTTAAAAACCTTCATTTGCGGCCTTGTTGACAATTATGAAAGAAATCAGATTTGCGCTCCTGTTATTTCCGGAATAAAATGTCAGGTTTGAGGCTGAGATATTGAAATCAAGTTCGCGTAATTAATTGACAGGAACGACCTTGATATTATTATCGCCCCCAAATGGACTATAATTAATAAGTCGTCCGAAATCAATTCAAACGTAAGGAATCTTAATCACTTTATTAAAAAAACAATAACAATACTTTCATTCTATTAACTATACAAGCGTCGCAAATTAATTTTCTCTGCTTCATTTGACATTTGTATTCAATCCCTAGCCTACTTTCCTATAAGTACGCATAATTTGTGTTTGAACCAGTGTCGCCCCTTGACCATTTTTTGTTTCTTTTCTCTCTTAAATTCCACCCAATTGTTGTAAAACTCTTCTTCTTTGGGGCCCCAACTGTCGTGCGTGAAGGTCCGTAAAAATGCCTGCAATACAATTAAAAATTAATTAAGGCTATTATCAAGCCCATAATCTTGGTAAAACTATGATTAGGCATGTTTTCGTGATAATTATATGATTTATAGTACGCCACTGGACTTGAAAATGGGTAATAAATTTTTTTAATTAAATTGAATAAAACTTGTGTTGACCTTCGACTGTATTCTGTTTTATTATGTAAGTAAGATAAACACGGAAAAAATTTGACATTCATCAGGGTTACCAACCGTCATTGCGGGAATTACCCCGGCACAATGGGAATCACTCGACATATGCGATTTGCGGTTAATAATAAATATGGATGCATCTTGACGTGTATGCAAATTTAATTGTCTCGTGAGGAAATACGGAGAGAATCATAAATTTTAAGCGAATGTGCTTGAGGTGACATTACATTTACCAAGAGATTAGTCTGTGACACGAGACACTAAAATCTAGTGAACTAGTTTTAACAAGTGCTATAAACAAACCTTGAAAACGCCTTCCCTTTTGTAATTCCTCCCAATTTGAATCACCCACCAAATCAAAGGCTGCATCACACCCACGCCAAACAAAACCCATCCCCAAACTACAAATCAAAAGTCACCAAAAACATCAAAAAATTCCCTAGATTACCAATGATATATGCAGGGTATGTCTGGTCCTCGTATTTTAATTCTTCTAAGGTGGCTATGAAATACACAAAAACTGTGATAAGGACGATTGGGATTATGACAGCCCAACAGATACGCCAGTACGGCCCTGGCCGTCTCTTTGACATAAATTCAATGTCAAGGCAGATATTTTCCAAACCTTTAATTTTACATAGTTGGTAATGAATTAATACAACATTTAGGAACATTTACCATACCACCACATCACTGAAAGGACTTCAATTATGGTCAGGACATAGAAAATGAAAGTGCCGCCAAAGAAATCCACCATTGTGAAAATAAATTGACCGCCCTGCAAAGATGAATTGGGGGATTTGTTTAAAAAAAAAATGAAATGTCTAATTTTTAATAATTAATGGTGGTGTACAAGATGTGTCAGAACTCATGCCCCAGAGAAAAATTTCTAGTAAGATAAAATACCAAGAATCGGGGAAAAATGTTAAAAAAATTCTATCTGCCAAAAAATGTTGACATTTGACTTTTTTTATGTCTATTTAATGAGACCGATGATCTTGTATAGGTTTTTCTTTAATTTTGTAAATAAAAGCCACAAATAGCACTAAGCCGAGTTACAATTTAAGATACAGCTTCCTTGTTTTCTCTTCTAATAGCCTGTAACAAAAAAACCTGGAAAATGATTTTTCTAACAGAAATAAATAGAGTCAAAGTGCAAATTTTAAACTTTCATAACTTCGAAATTTGTACAGACAGAATTTTTTTAATGTTTTTTCCATGTTCCTGGTATCTTACCTCACATGACATTTTTTTATGGGGCTCAAGTTCTGGCGCCACCCTGTATACATACACACAAATTTAACTTATCTTTTACTCGAGAAAAGCGGAAAAAATGCACTTCAAAACCCGTAGAGGGCGTGACGTATTATCGCGGGAAATTTAAAGACACATTTTAAAAAAAAGCATTCAAAATCCCGCTTTTTTCAAGTGAAGACGCTACAAAAAGACGTTTACTAAACTCTACTTTTATCTTTGTTTAAGTTTACTAAACATTGTTTTAATGTGTTATCCTAATTAAAACTGACTCACCGGTGTGATATAAACTAAACCAACGAGAAATCCAACCACTGCCGTTCCAAATGACACATGCCATGTCTTCAAATGGGGAAAAGCATCCAAAATAACCGTAAAAGCACACCCCTTTAAAGCTATCAAACTGCCAACACCCAATACAAACAACATGAAGAAAAATAAAATTGCAAATAACTAAAATTTGATCTGGGGATTTTTATTGCCTTCTGGTTGGTGCGGCTTACCCAAGGCACTATATCGAAATGGGCTATAGCTTCCGGGTATGAAATGAAGGCTAAGCCCGTTCCACCAGACTTCACAACATCTGACACTTCTACATTCATCTTATACGCCAAATTCCCTAAAATCCCGAAAATTATTAACCCTGACAGAAACGAAGTAAAAGTGTCAAGGGTTGTAACCACCATCGCATCCCTGAAACCCCTAAATAAGTAAAACCCCCAATAGATATTACAGATACCTGTAAACATTATGATCGAAGCTATTATAAGATGCGTACATTGTAACCGAACCGAAACCAATATTCAACGAAAAGAAACACTGAGTGACGGCTGCATACCAAACCTAAAACCAGGTTTAGGGTTTTGATTTATTTAGGGTTGGTTTACCTGTGCACTTAGTAACTTTTCCCAGTTGGGCTTAACAAAATACAAAATTCCCTGTCCGGCCCCCTCCAAAGTAACAGACCGGATTAAAAGCGCGAAAAGTATAATAAACGGAAAAATTGCAAGAAAATATGAGGCTTTCCCCGAGCTTTGCACCCCTTTTGCGCAAATACAAAAAGTGATCGTCCACGAGCACAACAAACACAGAGTCAATTCCCAGTTGGGGTACCCGATCCCCTGGGACAAATCCGTAGCTTCCTTCAGGACTTCAATCCTAAACCAGGCTTCAGCCGAGCTGACCGAATTCTCAACCCCGACTTCGGTGCTTTTGCTAGGAATGCAGGTGGTGTTGCCCAACCACGTGTCCTGACCCCAATTGGGGTCACACTGTGACCAGGGCAAGTCGGGCCGAAACGAGTGAATCAAATAGTAAAGTGTCAAGGCCATGAGTGAGCAGTAATAGGTGGCCACGGAAAACGTCCCGATTAATTGCCCAAAACCCACCCCTTTCAAAACCTGGGCTAACGACTCAAACATTTTGACATTGCCCCGACTACTAAATTGGCCGAGGCACATCTCGAGGTAGTACATGGGGCGGCCTAGGAGAATCAAGACCGAGATGTAGGGTATGAGAAAAGCCCCACCCCCATTCTCATACGCTACGAAGGGAAAACGCCAGATGTTGCCCAAGCCCACGTTCATGGCAATGCATGACATCAGGAATTCGATGCTGTTGCCCCATTTGCCCCTATTTTTCGTCGTTTCGTCCGTCATTTTGACCGATAAATAAAGATAAGGAAAAACAGTAACTGAAATAGTTGGCTTAACTGCAAAACAATTGAATTTGTTTTTGTTTACCTGAAACGCAGTTGCTTGATTTAAATATCAAAAGGATAGAATTGGCCCCAAAAGTGAACCTTGTGTAGCACCCGGACTCACTTTAGCCACTATTAACTATCTACCAAATTAGTGAATAAACATTCCTTTTGTTATAAAATTAATAAGGGACCATAAATGTGAATGATATGTACTTAGTGATAGCCATTGTGAATTCCCCAAAAAAGCCACCAAAGGTGGAAAAATTATAATGTAAGGTGTAAATATGTGAAATGGAATTTTGTTTTCATGCTAATCCTGTTTTGATTATTGATAAATAGGTATTTTGTTTGTTAATGTATTGTTTAATCCATTTTACAAGATTTGTATAAGCAGTGCAATAATGATAAGGATTATTTATTTGTGCGTACTTTGTTCGTGAATACGGGGCGAGAAATAAAAAATAAACAGAGTAATCAAAGTTTTTATTGGAATAATGTAGTCGTATTTTAATGCCAAGTCGGCTATGATAATGGATGCCATCATAGAAGGCCATATTTGCATAAAAAAATAAGTAAATAAAGAAGGGAAGTGGGTGGTAAAGTAACAGATGATCAATAATAACTGGTTAAGTTGGTAATAGAATTAAGAGCATTATTTTACTTTTTTGGCTGTTTGCAACACTGAAACCAAGAATGGTTGTCCATGACAAATATTTGACAAAACATGATTGTATTAAAATTCTTACTGTCAAGTAATACCGTTAATGTCATCCTGACAACATCCAGTTTTACCATTATTGTCAGTAATGCCAACTCATTCTTGAACACTCGGTAGTTGCGATCTCAGAATAAGTAAAAGTGGTCACTATTTCAACAAAGTGGAGCAAAAATTAAAGAAAATTTGTGCATATTTTTTGTCCCAATCTGAGTTGACCTAACTGTATGCAATAGTATATTAGTATATTACATACCAAGGTAAAAAGTGTTTCTCGAAACAGAAATGAAACTTTTTCGAGATTTATATACAATTTTAGTCACAAACGCATCTTTAATTTTTGTGAAACAAAAAATTGAAAAAACCTAGTGACGCAGTTTTGTGCTATTGTGTGTGTCAGTTTTTGATCATTTTAAATCTTTTGAAATGGTGGATTCAGACGAAGTGTACACTACCCAAGACTACAGCAGGTAGGTAAGGAAGGTAGATAATAGAAGGTTAGTAATGACACACTTACCAACCATCGTCAAGGGAAGAAATGTCAACATTACCAACATATACGGTTACGAATATGAAAATTAAGCGCCAAATCTCAATTTTGAAATCAAATATTTAAAATTCAAAACATTAATGTAATTTTTTTTATTACAAAATGATTAACATGAAACAATTTAACTCTTCTGTTTTAAACAATTTTTCCTTGTCACGTACGTGCTTTTTGACCTCGAATTTTCAATTTTTTACTTCATTATAAGTAATTTTTTTTAGGCTATAATCATACTTGCACAATTACATAACTCAGCATAAACCAGCTGTAATAACAATATATAGATTTAATGAACCTACAAGTTTCAAGCAGTTGCATTTTGCACTTTTAAGTGTAAGACCACATCAGTAGATTTATTACTATAGCTGTAGGCAACGGTTTATCTTAATAAAACTTCCCGAAACTTTTTTAAAGTTATGTTTCGACTATAAATCGGAGCGGATAAGAGGAGACCCCACTCTTAACTTTATTTCACATTTCGACGAACTTATTTTAGGATTAAAATTCAAAAAACAAAGCTGATATTGATTTTTCTGACTATCAAAGTTGGCAGTGCTGATTTGACAGTTTCACTTTCTGAATTTTACCTAAGATTGAACAGTTAATTGTTTATTGTCAATTATGGCCGCCATTTTGTTTAATAAGTGCGGGAAATTTGGATGTTAAAACTTGCCAATCATTTTAATTTTAGCCTTACAATCGTGCCAACTGATTAAATTTTTGCGTTTTAGACAGAAAATAGTCAAGAATTGAGTTTGAGGGCTACCCTCATGATAGTAATTAGTAATGAAACAGTTAATTGAAGTGTGGTTAATACATTTACAAAGTTGGTGACGGTGTTGAAAGTTTAGCAATTTCACGAGTGTTGCGTTTAGTGAAAAGGACTTTCCACCCTCTTTGAGTTCACTCTTCTTAGACAAAAACAAGTATCAAACAGAAATCTTGTCAAAACAATCAGTGTTTGATTTTTGGTTTTCGCTAAGTGGTCCGGAAGTCGGCGGTTAAATCCGGAAGGAACATCGCAGTGACCGCTATTACACGAGAATGCACTCATGTATGGTCTCCTGGTGGATGTTGAGAGGTGACTCCGGTCGCTCCGGGAGGAAGTAGGTAGATCATGCGCGAGTACAACGCCCGGACCAACGCTGAGTAGGCCAGTGCTCTCCGGTGCTTCAGTGATTCCGGGCTTGAGTCGCAGCTCGTGGAAATAAGTAAACGCATGGTCTCGTCTCTACACTCGCAAACCCTCCGATGACGCGCTTGCAAGCCACTCTCTGACTCGATGTAAGTTGGATGTTTGAAAGAATCGCAACTCAACACCGGCTCGAAGCGCAACTGGTAGTTCCGGGGGTGATCCCGGAATCGCTTAATTTCACTGCCTGGATTTACAGGGAAAACAATTTTTACCTTTGACAGCTTGTTTAAATGTTACTTTAGCGTAAAGTGCCCAATGACCGTGTTTTATATTTTTTTTCGAGCGTTTTATGTTTCATGCAACATTTATTCCATGAGTTATATCCGTCGATCCGCTCTCGCATTTCACTTTACTATTTCTTTTATAACGGATGGCCTGTTCAGACTCGGATATTAAAATCTCCAACAAATACATAATTGTAATGTGATGATTTTTGGGTTGGCACAACTGTGACATTTTACGAAAGGTGCGAGAGTGCTTTTTGAAATATTGCAATTGTCGAATACGTTTTAAGCTTCATGGAATATTTACCTCATGCTATATGCACTCACACACTATCTCATATTTCCGGCTTGTGCTCTGATAGATGGACTCGCAAAAAAAATAAAAGAAACATACGATGTATGAGTTTATTTTTATATTGTTTCAAGGATGACAACACATGAAATTATTTTGTTCGAAAAAAGAATTCAAATTGGTACAACTGAACTTTTTAAGTGAAATACGAAAAAATTGACGTAAATATCAAAAACTTGCTTCTTGAAATCCACTGGGATTCATGTTGACTAGAAATAACTGAAAGTTTAAAGTAAAATTGATTGATTTGTCTCTTACTAAAGTTTTGTCCACTCAATTATGTTCGATTGGAAACAAATCTACTATAACCCTGATAGCCATTATTTTTTTCAAAACATTGATAATGCAGAAATTATTACTACCTTTTCTCTTAGTTAGATAAATGAAAGAGCAAATAAAAATTTACGAGAAAAAAATTATAATCATATTTGCAGAACGTGATCATAAAAAATCATTTTTTTAAAGCAAATAAGAGTATGAGTTGGCATACCTGCCCAAATTTTAGCCCCATTTATTTATTTTTAGTTTAAAAGTCAGAAATGTTCATGATAGTAAAAATTTAGAGTAATTTTAAAGGCTGCCAAGCTTGTGGAATACAAAAGTACTGCAAAGTTTCCTTGCCAATTTTTTTATTATTGAGTGGACAAATAAAAAAGTCCTTAATGTAACATCTCAGTGAAAATAAATGAGTCTGTTTTACTTCACACACATTGTAAACTCTGTTTCATTCCAATAAAGACATACAAATTCATTGGTTTATTTAAAATTAAATAAAAAATAAAATTAAAGTATCAGAAAAAATTATTTACCCGTAAACATAAAAAAGACCTCTTTTATAACTAAATGTCACAAGTAAAAGTTTTACCTTTCAGCCATGGAGTATAAATTCTGTTTTTGCGCCTAAGCATTTTTACTTTTACCATGACATTTAGAATATTGTCTCTTTCTTTTTCGATGCGTCAGCAATTTCTGGAGAGGTACAATGTGCATTGTAAATGATCAGCATTCGACATTTTGCACTACTAACTGCACTAGTTAAGTTAATAAACACTTTCGTGTTTAGTGAAATGTCAACACAAACTTCGATAGTGATGCGTGATGTTTATTTATAAGCGTTGTTGTGATTTTATTACAAAGCGTACTGTTTATTACTTGCTAAGTACATTTATACTATGTGGTGTTTTTTATTCTCGATCTAAATGCGTTTGCGTTTAAAATAGTATATGTTACTCACTACGTTCGGCAAAATAAACGTTGAGCTCCGGACATAACTATCATTTTTACTCCTAATAACATTATGCAGGGTGCGCCAGAACTCGCGCCCCAGAGAAAAATGCCATATAAGGTGCCTTTTATTGGCAAATTTTTTGTATTTTTACAAAATAATTGTAAAAAAACATATACAAGATAATCAGTATCATTAAATAGACATAAAAAATGTCAAAAGTAAAAAATAAATGTCAAATTTTTTTGACAGATACAATTTTTTAAACATTTTTTCCATGTTCCTGGTATCTTACCTTACTTAAAAATTTTCTCAGGTGCGCGAGTTCTGGCGCACCTTGTATAACATTATTTCTTGGTTTTTTATTAAGAATGATAATTAATTTGTCTCAAAATAAAAATAACAACAATAAGTTCTTGTTGCGCACTATTCAAATTGGACATTGAACAATTTTTGTTGTGATTCAAAAACAGTAAAACATTAATAATACTAACCACTATTTCAGCAAAGTGCGTTAAGCCTATGTAATTTTTTTCTCCACTTGTACATTTTTGAAAACTGGTTGAAAGTGTATGTACCAACCTCAAAACAGCGAAATATTTTCTGTTAAAAAGAGTAATTAATTTTCTAAAATTGTAATAGTAGTAGTCTCGTGGTTTTGAACTTGAGTCAAGGTTTGTATTTCTGTGCAAAAACCACCCCAGACATCCCAACAAAAAATCCCCTCGATTGCTTTTTTGCGTCCGTTTGAATAAATCATTTGTTGAATCGTTGGTAGGACTGTCGTCCGATAAACGTCAATCGTGCCAACTTTATTAACGGTCATAAAAATATTATTATTGCCACTTTTAGTGTCAAACATAAATTCTCCCGAAAGTCGTTAATAATCATCGGGCAATAAATCCCCTCAAAATGCACACACACTAGACAACAACACGCCGATTAATCATAAAAGCATCGACAGAGATTGATTTAGAGGCAGCGAACCGATTTAATGGATTTTTAAATAAGAGATTACAAGTATAGTGCAAAAATGAAGACAATACGAATCGACAGTTGGGGGTTTTCGCTGTGATACAGTTGGCAATTGTGTATAGACACAATAGTGGGTTTTTTAACATTGATAAGGGAACAGCCGCCATATTGTATCCTAGAGTCTAATTGTAATTCATGTGCAAACACGTATTATGGGAAATGTCAAAGGCAAAGGCAAACACTGGAAAAATCATTTTTGGGCGAAAAATTTGCAAACGGTCATAAATTCCCCAGATTAAACTTAAGCGTGATATTACTAATTTAATTAAACCGCGGAAAATTTAATACACCCTTGGTCTGGAATTGTGTTGTTCGGGTCGAGTTATTTGCGTTTGAAAACGACAAATTCCGGTGATTGATGACACGGAAATCGCAACCGGATTATCAAAGGCATCGTTTAGCAACGTCCGAGTCGTTTCCTCTCAATATTAATGACTTTGCGGCCCTTTAAAGTCGCCAATTTGAGATACCGACTCGTGATATGTACCGATTATCGATCGGCTACCTGTCGGAAAGTGTAGACTGGAGGTGACTGAAATGGGCACATCCAATGAGAACTAACAATTGCACAAACAACGCCGTTAATTAAGGCCACCGCAAAGGGCTTTGCCCTTCCCCGTGATTTTTTCCGTTGAGTAGCATTGTTTTAGCTTAAATTCCGGCGCTTTGTAATAATTCATGTTTGCAGTAGTGCTTAGAAATAATTGATTGCTTCTTGCGCGCATTCCAGCTTTTGTGCTTTTTCTTTGAAATCACGGCTATTGTCTGTTGATTTCGTTTTTTCGTGACGGTTGGCAATATGAAATGCCTGTCACATGCAAACTGACAGCTTTGCAAACCTTCTTATCTTCAAAAATGCGAGGTGCATTTACAATTCTACCAACTTAATATCAATCATTTTTACCCTCGAAAGAAATTACAACCTCCGATATTTATCAGCGCCGGTTTCGTGACCTCCATACTGGAAGTTTCAGTTTCAAGATAACATTTGATGGCGGAAAAAATGAAACGGGGTTGGTAGCAGTGACGTGTCATTAATTTTACAGTTGTGTCAACCTTTAAGTAAAGCAATTACATTTTCAATAAAAATACGATTCTGAACCAAAAATTCAGTTTTATCGTTTAGAGAGATTGAATCTTAACCCCACTGTTTTTCTTAGTTAACTCTTTCAGGGACGGTGGGTTAAAATTTAACCCACCACATTTTTGGCCGAATCGGTACGGTGGTAACCCACGTTTTTAACTCACCTTAATTTCTATTTTTGAGCAGTTATGCTCATTAATGGTGATATTTTTAATAATACAGACATTATTCTTGTAGAGTTTACCACATTTTTTTTATTTACAATCAATGAACTTAAAATTATTATGAAAACTATACAATTTATTAATTACTTTGAAATACCTACATTTTTATAATACTTATTTTAACTTAAAAAAAATTGAATTGTTTTTTGAGAGTATACACATAATGGATAATGATTATTCTAAATACAAAGAGGAAAAAAAAACAAAACAAAAAAATTTCTTTCATTGGTATTAGAATTACGATCCTTGGGTTTATCAGGCACATATTTTCCTATTTCGACTAGTAGGCTTCATGACGTCATTGAGCATTTCCAACCTATTTAGGTAACCACATTCGCTTAACATTACATTGATAAAATTTTGCTTTTTACCAACTGTATTTTGTATTATTCTTAGTTTTTTGAGATATGAATGGTATGTCTTGATGTTGTGAAAAATTACAACAATAACATGAACTTTGTTGATAAATTTGATCAGTTGATGACGTACAGTGATGGACAGTGCATTTCTTCCTTCCAATTTCTGTGAATTCACAAAAATTCACTGTAGCCTGTGCTTTATTGTCATGATAACTGACACTGTCAAGTTTAATTAAATTCTTATACATTTTGGACCGTCTAAAAATGGATTGGTACTATACCTCAAGCAATGTAAGACAAAGCACAGGTAAAAAGTATATGAGGAATATCGGGCATTTTATCAACTTGATAAATGTTCATCAAAGTTCTCAAACAAGGTTAGAAAAACCTAAACACTAATTTACACTTTTACTCTGTCATGGAAATTGGTTGGACAAAATTCACTGTCCGTCACTGTACTCAATTGAAAAAGTCATAAATGGTGGCACTGAATTTTTTTCCATTTCGTTGATACTTGCATTATGTAGCACCAAGCAAAAAGAGTCTCGAAGTAACTGCCAGTGTGTAACTTGTAGAAAAGTCTCTTTGTTAAGACAAACAGAAAAACTGCTTTCAAGCATATTATTACAAAAAATAATAACTTTTGTTAGCTATCGTACGTATTATTTAGTTTGCTTTTGTTTTCATTATTTGTTGTTATTTTTCTTTGATCATTATAATACTATTTTATTTTATTAATTAATTTTTTTAATGCCTATTATGTCACTAAATAAGTAATAGACCATGACTACTTCATATTAAGAATACTTTGAAATTATCAAAAATGTACGAAATTTTATGAGGGGTTCATGAAGTTAATGAGATTTACGGAAAAAGTAAAAAAATCTGAAATCTAAAATAATTGGTCATAGACCGATGAAAAACTGTCGTTAGTGCTATTTTAACACCTATTTTTTAAAACAACTTGAAAACTGATTATTTTTAAAATCCAGTAAATAGCTGTACCTGTACGGTATTTTAAATACATTTTAAATACATTAAATTGTCTACCTGAAAGAGTTAAATCAACGAAAGAGAAAGTAAATATTTATTTACAAGGCACGAATAAATATTATGAAAAAAAGTAATCCTACTGGTCGTTAGTAAAAAAAACGGAAAAACATCATTTTGCAATGTAAGAATTTATTCCATCGTTTGAATGATGTTAACTCGAGAAAATCTAATTTTTTAACGAGATAAGAGTCTAAGTTCTAATTTGCTTAGCAAATGTTTTAGAGTTGGCAACATTAAATAATGCAGAGACAGACAATGTGATATGTCATCAGTTTTTATATTTTGTGTTTAATTTTGCCAACTTAATTGACAACACTGTTAAGTTAATGGCAACATCGTAACTGTATTGTTTTTAATCAAATAGGTGAAATAGGTGCATATTGTCGTATCAACAAGAAATTACTCCCTAGGATTTAGGGATATTCGTAAATTTGGTTAGGTTGGTTTCTGGTGACAAACAAAAGATATCGTAATTCGTGTCAAAATTTAGGTTAAGTTACCTGTCAGCTTGTATGGATAATTTAATTGATAGTTGACAGCAGGTTGACAGAAAACGTCAACCGTCAGCAACAAGGGGTAACCAACCCTGGACATTCAAAGTTACTTCTGAAAATTCTAGTTACAAACAACATGAAAAACGTAATTTTCCTAAAAGTTCATATCCTAGGTGCTAATTTCTTGTTGACAAATCTGTATATCTATTTTCTTTATAAAAAATGGAGCCTTGTGACAGATTTAGAACCAAAAATTCCACTAAGTATACAGGGTGCGCCAGAAGTCGCGCCCCGGAGAAAAATTTCAAGTAAGATAAGATACCAGGAACATGAAAAAAGTGTTTAAAAATTTCTATCTGTCAAAAAATTTTGACATTTATTTTTTGACATTTGACATTTTTTTATATCCGTTTAATGATACTAATGATCTTGTATATGTTTTTTTACAATTATTTAGTAAAGGGACAAAAATTTTGCCAATAAAAGCCACAAATAACATTGAACAGAGTTACAATTTAGGATACAGCTTCCTTGTTTCCTCTTTTAATAGTATATAGCAAAAAAACTTGAAAAATTATTTTTCCAACAAAAATAAATAGAGTCAAAGTGCAAACTTTAAACCCTCATAACTTCGAAATTTTTATAGATAAAATTTTTTTAACAATATTTCCATGTTTGTAATATCTTACCTTTTTCTCTGGGGCGCGAGTTCTGGCGCACCTGTATGTATTTGAAGAAAAAAAATGTGATGTCAGTGTCAGTTTATGCATGTTATAATTTTTTAACAGGATTAATTTAACAATGTGGAGCAAATAAAATGGTTGGCAGCAGTGGCACATTATTATTATTGCAATAAGGCAAAGAAAAACAGATTGGTAATATTATTGATTTTTAGGTCAAAGAATAAAAAAGTTGGTAATCGTGTAATGATTAAGTCAACAAGTCCACTAATTGTTTCCGATTTTTAGTTATATTTAAAAAATAATGAAAGAATATTCTTTAGAAAACTGAGATAAAATTGCAACATTGATTTTAGCTCAAATTCTGGCTCATGTTGGCAACAATGCTTACAATAGTAACGTGATTAATTTTAGAGGCTGTACCAACAACTATCTCTTAAGACAGCCTGTTCATTAGCTAACTTCATGATGGATCAATTTGCCGCCTTTTCACAATATCACATTACTAAATAATGTCATAAATAATAATAATGTTTGTGCAATTTCAATTGCTTTTTCAAATAATTATTGAAAAAATGACCGAATAAAGTTTTTCGCAAAATTGATAAATTTATGTTGGCAACAGTGTCGTAAAACCTGTTCAGCCGCGCCAACATTTTTATTGTTTAATATTGTGGTTGGAATTATTACTGAATACAAATAATTTTACAACATGTCGGTATAAAACCGCCATTATTGTCTTTCTAAATGTCAAAATTGAAATTTTCGAAAGAAATGAACACGTTTTCGTGCAATGTAATTGTCTTAAATGTAAGCTGATTAAATCTGCGGTTAATACCAGTGACTTTAAGCACAATGTTGCTTTAACAACTTGTCATAAAGTCCCTACTTTCATGATGGGATCGTCCAATAAAATCTCACAACAGTCTGCGGCTGTCGACATTTAACATCTGCTCGAAAGTTTGCAACTCTTTCGATTAAAGACGAGGGAAAAAGCGCAAGTGGTGTCTTGCTTAGGTCAAGAGTTCACCTGTCTTGTGGGTGGGGAATCCCCGAAACGTCGCCATCTTGTACCATTTGACAGTTGTGACTAACCTAACGATTGAAAGCTTCTAGACTCTCGCATTCATTATTCTTAATGGACGCGGGAAATGGCATAAAAAATGTTGGGAAAGATTCATTTGCTCTCGAGACACGTTTCGCCTTGGTTATATGAAAATGAATCGTAAAAAGCTTAAGATTTTAAATTCGGATCGAGGAAACGGCTTAATTGGAATGAATTGTGACTTTTAAAATGATGGATTTTAGAGGCAGTAGTGCCAACCCTTAATTACATATTTTACAAACAAAATGGCGTCTTGTTATAAAATTTCTCTGTTGTTTCAGAGCCGTCTCGACCAAGCTTCTAACATCATCCCTCGTGCAAATAATCGGTGAGTTTATCCGTTTCCAAACTACAATTTACTACTCAGCCTTCAACTTTATGAATTTTAATCAGTCTTTCATGAACATTTCAAATCGTAATCTTCCCCAGCTCTCCCGAGTTGTTTGCTTTTGGTATTTTTATTACACTTACAACACCCCCACACACATAACGAGCTTATTTTTAATCATTTTAATCACAGCGGGCATTTTGATAAGAAATTAATTAAAAATTTCGTACACCTGCACCCCAGTTTAGAAAGATTGATTTTTCGCCTAATGGAGTGATTTATTATCTTATTCACTATTGAGAGAGCGTCCGGAATGTCTTTCACATTTCACCCTCGCATCATTAACCCAGAATTTTGAGTCATTCCACATACGTGCAAGTGGTGCCAACCAAACAAAAAAATAGAGACGAGTTTAATTCACTCGACTTCTCTCATTACGTTACATCATCATTATCTCGGATTAGTTGAGTAACCGGACCCTGGAAATCATATTCCGGCATCGATCGAATCAAGTTGGCCCCACTGGATGTCATTTACTCATTGCCAACTTAGCAACTTTCACTTTTTTTAGTGCACGGTTAAACCGCTTATAGTCGGCAATGATTAACGCTTTTAATTAAAGTCTGAAACATTCATACCAACTACGAACATGTTCTTAAAATTAATATAACTTCTCAACATACGTTGAAAAATTTGAAATTTTAATTTATAGCCCGAGGGATGGCTTTAAGTGCACCTGTTTCAAGCGGCCACTGACTCCATTAGGATAAGTGCTTTAATGGCGGCAATTGCAGCGCCACCCACCCGCAAATATTTTAAATGTCATCATTTTGATTGATAAGAGTGATAACCGCTCGTTTCATCTAACAAACGATTTAAATCGGCAAATTAAGGGCTATAATTGGTTGTTTACGCTAGGTTGGTAACGTCATTTAACCGGAAAAGCAAAACAAAAGCTGGTTGAAGTCCTAAGCCGGAAAATTAAATGTTTCAGGCTGACACTTCTATATTAATGATTTGTGTGCGTTTGCCGCTTCGTAGAAATATAAATTATACTAAAACTAGCGTTGGTTTAATCGGAAGTTTGGACCCCCTTCTCATTATATTGTTAATGAGGGACATTTTTTATCACCTTATAGAATTTTTTTTAGTTTTCTAACTAACAACAATTGGTACGACGTTTTTACGACATAACCTAGACCAGGTGAATAAAAAGTATGGAACCAAGCGTTTTTTTAATAAACTAAGCATTTTACGAAAAAAATAATTAGTGTAGCATAAAGTACAATGAAAATGTGACCATTTATCAAGAATAACATTTTTCGAAATTTCTTTTAGTTTTAGAGTTCTGGAAAAAAAAATTAAATGGCAACCCACCATGGTAATTTTTTTAATTAAAGATTATGATCTAAAAATGACCTCTAATTAAATAAAATTGTTTTTTAGCCAGTACTTTTTTTATTAATTGTTAAAGTGCGTTCCAAGCTCATCACGAAGATTTTCCGAACTTAACCGAAGTGGTTGTTTTATGCATTTCATCATGGGAGAGCGCTGATTTCTATGCAGTTGCTTTGGGGTGGACTTTGGGAATGGACTAAAAATAGAAGAAAATGATTTGTTATTAGATTTTTTGATCCATCCGGAACCATCCCAAAGCACCTGCACAAAAAAACGGGCTCTCCAACGACCAAAGTCATGAAACGACCCCCTCGTTCAAGTTCGGAAAATCTTCGTGATGAGCTCGGAACGCAAATTTAACAATTAATTAAAAAAAGTACTGCCTAAAAAACAATTTTGTTTAATTAGAGGTCATTTTTAAATCATAATCTTTAATTAAAAAAATTACCATGGCGGGTTGCCATTAAAAAAAAATTCCAGAACACGAAAACTAAAAGAAATTTCGAAAAATGTTATTCTTGATAAATGGTCACATTTTAATTGTACTTTACGCTACACTAATTATTTTTTTCGTAAAATGCTTAGTTTAAGAAAAAAACACTTGGTTCCAAACTTTTTATTCACCTGGTATATCAAGGCTAAAATTAAAGAAATTTATTTCTCCTCATCTTCAATTTCTGATGTATTTTTTAATTATGTTAAAAATATTCAGTATTTGTGAGAACTCTTAACCAAAAATTCTTTCGTTAATTATCGAACTAGCTGCAAATTTAATTAAGTATCTACAAGCACTGTACTTTGCAATAATTTCGCATTAAAAGTACTTAACACAATTTGCAAACTAATTATGACTTATTACAGAAATCCAGTTAAAATAACTCGCAAAATTAAATTATGTCAAAAGTGAATGCATGTTTCGTACTTATCGGATTTCCTGTACAGCTATTTCGCGAAATTTTTTATTAAAACAGTGCAGAGAATTAGAATTTATTCACTTAATTGAGTTTTAGTTTGTGAGAGGCGGCAAAAGTGTTTTGTCTTTTATTTACTTGTAATTTGCAGTAGTACCAACCTCGGCAATTTTTTTATGACAACTTTTACAATTCAATGTTACAATTTCAATTCTATTTATTTCTTCTCGAGATTGTAACAAGTTTAGCAAATTTTCGCGCCTTTTCTCCATTAATATCAACTGGCAGGAAAATTACCTTCGATTCAATTTGTCTCGCGTTAAGTGGAAATTCGTAGTGGCATTCGAAGTATCGTTTTACGAGAACGTAATTAAAGGATTTCTTCTAATCCGAGAGCGAGAATCATAAAAGAGGAGACTTTTCGTTTGGCGGTGACGTAAAAGGATTTGAGCGATGGCGAAACGCGTGGATTGAACTAACCTCCAGAGGATGCCATCCATAAACGGAGCGCTTTTCTCTTGATTGTCGCCGGGGAGGAGGTCCTGATAAAGGGGTCAAAGCCGCCCCCGACAACAATTGCACCGATTCGATTTTGTACCCAAGAGGACGAGGCTTAGAAAAGACGGCGACTGAACTAATTGACCGAGGATACAAGCAACAGACTTCTGAAATAAAAATATAAATACACCAACTATGATCAATAACTCAATAATTGCATTCTAATTTAGAACAAATATTTTTTAACGGTTCTCAATCTTGTATTTTTGTAAGTTAAGTAGTTCTGAATAATCGATAAAAGTTTTACAATGCCAAAACTTTGAACTCGGTTGGGAGCGAATTTGTAACTCTGATCGTTTCCGGATTTTTTACATCCGGTAGAAAATCATCCGCAGATTACGAACATATTTTCCTTTTTGTCGTAAGACTTGTAGTTTCCGAGAAAAATGAGTTTAAAGTTTCGAATAAAATAAACAAATAAAATAGCTGTTCACCTGATATTATCACTTTTTTAAATTTGAATTTTCCGCTCGTTAGAATAAAAACAGTTTTTGGAATTTTCTGGATATTTTGTGAGAAAAACTATATTGTAAGTTAAAATGTGCAACGACTTTCTTATTTTATTTTGTTGTCTGTTGTTGCAATTTCTCAATCCTCGTCACACAAAAACAAAGCGAGAGGAACTGTTGACTAACTACGCTCCAATGTACTAATCCAATAGTATTACTTATTCGGTGTACATTATCGCCGAGATAAATTACAGTTTCATAAATCCTTGGTGTTCACGTTCAAATTACATAAACGCCTAGTCGGAGATTACTTTTACTCATTTATTTTTTAATTTATTATCTTGTTCCCTCACAAGCAACCATAATAATAAAATCCTAATCCGCCCCAGTTGTGCAAAACAACCACTAATCGACAATGGCAGTTAAGTTTTTAATCACTCCATATCTCATTTCCGGTTCAAACTTTAACAGGAAATTAAATTTTACTTATTTACTTGACACGAGATCAAAAATTCACGCCGTGGGACTTTTCCTTCCGTTTCGAGCTTTCAAGGTCGAATTTCATTTGCCGACATATGATAGAAACCTGTTGAGTGTTTGCATAATTTTCTCAGTGTGCGAAAAATTCGAGAAATTTCCAACAGGGTGAAATAAATGATAATTTGGGACGCTTGGGTCGCGGAAGTTTGCTCGTAATTGATACTGATGGGGGAAATTAACCACACGGATAGGGGATTGTAATGAGGAAAAGTTGGTAGCGCTGAAGGACGCAACGTAACTACTACAATCGGCACTTAATTTTACGCAAATCAGAACAGAAAACTGCATCGTATTGTTTGTTGGTTGTTTCTCACGTATTGGAAGCAGACGTGCCGACTTAACGATGTGTCTCCAAGTGTCAAAATCCTTTGAACGGCTTTATTAATTAATTCAAGTCTGAATCGCCTTAATCAGTTCACTAGGTATTGGCACTTTCATTTCATAAAAATAGCTTACAATTATTAAAAAATATGGCAGAACTATGTTATAATTATACGAATTGGTTAAAATTGAGATTACTGTTTTAATTGCGTCTTTAATTGTATTTTCAATTGCACTTTTTGCTAATATTTTACCAGTTTTTCAAGTACAAATATTCCCTGAACAATTATTTATGTTCTGTCAAATAAACGTCAAAAGTTTGAAGTTAAGTTGAATTATAACGTAATGAAAAGGCCAAGTGTAGTAAAATTTTGTAATAAAGCTTTAAGGCAAATGGACAAGATTTGAATAATTGACGGAAAATACCCAATTTGATTAAAAAGTTACAAAATAAAGTGGGCAAGATTAAAGTGGTTCAGATGGTATTATCACTTGTACTAAATTTGAATTTCCCGCTCTTTACTGACAAATAAATTTAGGATTGAGCATAAATCGAGTTGTGCTGTTCTTTTTTGTCTGTTTGGATTAGGAGTGATGTAGGAGAACCCAAAGCTGCGAATTATTAGACAGCAAAGACGCCTCTAAATAAAAGTATAACTTATATGGGACTATTAGAAGTCATTCCGACTATTGTATACGAGCCCCGCAGGTCGTAATTTGTCCCGTTATCTTATATTTTTTCCCACAATGCGAGAAATCGCCGAGTATTGGAAAAGTTGCTTATTTATTATCATTCTTCCGCCAAATTTTCATAATTACTAAACTTTACCATCTCGAAAAACTTTCCACGTCACTATTAAAAACTGTCGAGATTTATGCGAAAGGTGAAACGAGGGCTTGTTAGTTTGGAGGGAGCGTATGGGAGATTTGTTTACGTCTGAAGCGTCGACGAGGAATTATTAGGGGATTCCTACAGGACCCATTCGACTGCTTATAACTTATCCATGAGACTTTGACTTGAATAATTTCATAACACCAACAAATTTTCGCTTTGTGTTTACACAAGATGTTTGGATTAAATTTCGCGATGGAGAATTAATCGAATCGGGTGTCGATCGAGGGCACGAATTCCAGCTTTCTTACGTTGGCAGCCCTGGAGAAAACGCTCACTAACTAAGCCAAACAAACTGTAATGAAATAAATTTAAACCAAAAAACTGACGGTGGTTGTTTAAATCTTCATGTTTAGAGTTTGGGCGAAATCCGACCAACACGAAAAGATTTATTTGACAAGCCGGTGTAACACTGGTCGAAAATATGTCACAGTTTGAAGTTTATTCTTCACGCACAGCCGCCTTCTTTTTTCTTAAGGTTGTTAATGTGCCAGAACTTATCAAATTTTTCCTTTGAGAAGCCCGTTTTACACCACTCAATTTAAGGTTATGTTTGCACAAAAGAGCTGCAAATTGGTCCGATTACGCGAAAACAGCTTCTTGCTTTTGGCTAGCCGCCTGCGATTCGTCCCGGCCATTAAAATTCAACTTCAACCCCGCTGTTTGTTAAAAATTGAAGCAAATTGCTACGGTCAGCCTCAGAATTCGATATCTGTGTATTTTTAAAAGCGTCGATTCTGCGGCCACTAGATTCGGTCGTTCTTTTTACAGCCAGAAATAAAACTCCAAGTTTCATCTCGCAATTTCTGAGCTAAAGGCGCAAAATGACGAATAACAAATCACCAAAGAGGGTATCTGGACAGATGTAAATCCGGTTTTTACAACGTCGAATTACGGTTTAGAGATAAGAAAACGACGTTAGGTGGGATTTCGATCAATCCCAGGGATTTACTCGGATTGCAATTTCATCGGACGAGTAAACAAAATTGGGGGCGTAATGCCGTTTTGATGATTTATTTCAGGTTTTAATGGGGGAAAAATATCGAAATAAAATTCAAATAACGGGGTTTTGGGGTAATTAATGACGTAGTTTGCTCCTTCGACTGTGTTTTATGAATGATAAATGAGTCGAGGCTGTTTTCATTGTTTTTAGTCTTGTAGGGTGTTTCATTTTTGTTAAATTGCCACATCTAATTAATGACAATTAATCTCAGTCTTGTTTTGACAGTTTTGCCAACCGAACCATTGCTTAATGAGTGAAAATTGCTAACAATGTGTTAAATTGCAAAAAGTGAAAGTGAAAAAACCCCTTGAACACAGTTTTTCTGCCAGGTGTTAGATTCCTTGATTTTAATAATTAAAAAGGAATAAAAAACAAGTAAAAAGAATAAATGTTTTATTTAATGTTAAAAATAGACGCCAGAGGCCTGATTCTTTTACAAGAATGATGAATTTTACAAAAAAAAGGGAGTTACAAAATAAATCGTTCGTCAGATATAATCACTTACATTAAAAATATTTTTAATGTGACTAAAAAAATTGATTCATGACTGAAATCATTTCTTATTAGTCTAATAATTATTAAAAATGGCAGTATTATTGACAAATCTCAAGTGAAATTATCCGTTGAACGTGATTATTTAGTATGATTGAAGAATTATATTATTATTACTATTAATCTCCCTACTGCGACTTGTTTTGTCAGTTGCGCCAACCTAACCATCCGGAATGATTCATAATTGTTTTAATTTTCTGTCTCGGCGACTAAAAAACTCGTAACAATTAAAAGTTTTCTTCTGGAATTAAAATCATATCTCGTCTGAAGTTTGCAAGTAGTTAAACGTCGTACCATCATAACGCCAAAAAACACTCTAAACGACTTTGCTGAGCAATTACCTTAATTAAAGGGGACACGATTACGTTTTAATTAAGTTGAAATAAGATTTATAAATGGTTAATTATCTCCTCTCTGAGTTGTTTTCAGTTCAAATGTCGGTTGTATTCAAGACCACAACCACAACTTTCTTATATTTAATGCATTTCAACGGGCGCCGCTCTTGGGAGCATCCCAAGATGTTATTGTTTTATTTTTCGAGGTTGGTACGAAGTAATTCGAGGGACCGACGTTTCATAAAACTTCAAACGTATATGGAACGGGAAAACGCTGTTTGCAAAATTGTAAATAACTTAGGAAAAAATATTACATTTCGCCTGGTTGCTATGCAACCAATTACACATTTATTACAAGTACGGTAAAGGCGACTTTCAGTGTGAATATTCAATCAAGTGTGGCGAAATTTGCAATCGTAGCCGCAGTTCCTCCCAAGACCCGAAGGCACATGCATTGTGCATAAACTTGGGTCGGAAAGGGTTATCTCTTGAATTTATGATCTCGCATAAATATCCGACGTTTGTTTCAGATCGAGTCGTCTTAATTAAAGAAGAAACTGTGGTTGGAATGCCGATTGCATGTGTTTCCACGCCTCGAAGTTGGTGACCGATAAGTATGGGCTGGCTTTTAACCTTTGTCCTCCTGCTAGCCCTTATCACTTTAATGGGTGCGTATTTTTCCTCCCTTGTTGAATTATGTAGCGCCATCTATTATTCACCGGGTGGATTAATTCAGGGAAATCACATGATTTTTCGATTTGGTACAGACTAATCCGAATTGTAATTAATTCGAGGTTGGTGGATTGTTGGGATGATGCGATTACCTCAAACTGCCTCTAATTAGCTCAGTATACATCTGTTTACATGCTATTACACAGAAATTCCTTTATATGCAAATGCAATTAAAAGTTACTTAATTATTTAGGAAGTGTAATTAAACAACAACGAAAGTAGGCCTCCATTGTGTTTTATATAAAGTTTTGTGAAGGAAATGAGTCTTTGCTTAAAAGGTGAGTGTTAAGATTCTTTGAACGGATTCGGTAATTAAAAGTCAGACCAACTGCAAATAATTAAATTAAATTTGAACCAGTAGTTCACTCAATATTGTCACTTGTATCATGTTTATCATCGTATTTTATAAAAATGAAAAGGAAATTAAACCGTCTTGTGAGCAACAATTAATTTTTTTGCTGTGACACTTTTTTTATTATAAAAGCCCTAATTAGGTTTCGGTTATTTTGTTGATTACCAAGTGACAACATTCTGTGAACGATGTTCTTTCAGTTACCTACATTTTAGTGGAAAAAATGAAATAAACGGGTAGGAAAAAAGTTAACTGCGTTGGCGTCAAATTTTAATAAAAAAAATCAAAATAAAAGAACATACAAATTCGAAAAAAAGTACAACAGATACCTACCACTACCCCAATATTAATTTTTTTTTCCTCCCAACAGGGAATAATGTGAAGCCTTTTTTGAATTGAATCTTTTCGAGTGTTTTTTGCCATAAACAAACTCCTTCATACAACATTTACTCCTAAAATTGCAATTGAATGAACTGAATATCTTTACAAATTATTTGACATCATTATTTAACAAATTTATTCGTCTGTTATTATTTATTTAGTCTGTTGGGAGGAAAGTTTTGTATGCATCTCTGGAATAAATATCGTTAATCCCTCGAATGACAATGCCCTCGGGATTAAAATAGTTTGTACCCTTAATACATAAATAACTATTTAAGAAATTACACACTTCGATCATAATGTATTTATTGTTTACTTATTATTATTGACTTGGAATATTTGGTTTATGGTCATTGGTGTAAATTGTATCAAGAAATTTAAGTAAAAGTATTCCCTGAACGATATTATTACATATTAGATGTTCAATAGATATTGTCTCTTTAGTATAAATAGTAGATTACATACAGAGATGGGAGGTGCTGCGAATAAGCCGAGGCACGATTAAGCAACGACCACTAAGGTTTGTATACTATTTTATTCACAATCATTCTCCTTAAAGAAAAGACAGCCAATAAAAAAATTATCAAATTTTGAAATTGCATTTTACATTTTTTTTAAATAATACATAAAATCTTCTTTTGTCAAAGGTCATAAGTCAAAATAACGTCACGTCGTTTGTGTTGGCGATATTTGTAGAAACATGAGATATTAATAGTGACAGTGAAATAGAAAATGCTTCTCCTGAACTCAGGGAAGTTGTTGAACGAGCAACAGATAATTTAAAAAATAAGTAGGGAAATGGCTACTTTCCAATCCAAAAACTGTTAAGGAAGTGACTATTTCCCAACCTGAAAATATAAATTGTCCAACTTTTCATATGCAAGGTAATTTGACTATTACTATATTATTATAAAAAAAATAGCCCTTAATAATTTTTTATTCCAGTAGTAAATGTAAACTTCTTCAGAATGGATTTTTTTTAGCTAAATGTTTTTTAAATAATGACGCAAAAAGGCATTAAACAAGAAAAATTGTCATTAGATATTGTAAAACAAGTGACGGTGATATTAAAAAAAAATGGGTTTCGTATAAATTATACAAAAAATACGAAACAAAATATTATACAGTAGGTATGTCCCCGGATTGAGTTTACAAGAGGAAAAAATTTTTATCATTAATTTTACGCCAAAACTGCAAAGAAAAAAAGTTTTTGCTCTACTTGAAACCAGCAAATCTGTAATTAAAACTTCATTATTCTAACTCAGTAGAAAGAAAAGTTCATTTTTCTCTTGATTTTGGATTTAGAATAATTTTTCTCTGCCTTTTAAGTCTTATCACATTGGCATTTTTTTATTTTGACAATGATGTCACTTTGACAAATGAGTTTACGCAGGTTAAATAACAAAAATGTTTGTGAAAAACATAATTTTAATAAAATAGCAACTCAAAGAAACAGCTTTAAGGTAAAAACCAACGTCATTTTTAACAAGATCTATCATTATTTAATTAATAAATTAATTGTCAAAGATATATATAGTTGTCAAATCATTAAAACCGCCAATGCGATAAGACTTAAAAAGCAGAGAAAAATTAAGTCCAAAATCAAGAGAAAAATGAACTTTTCTTTCTACTGAGTTAGGGTAATGAAGTTTTAATTACAGATTTGCTGGTTTGAAGTAAAGCAAAAACTTTTTTTCCTTTGCAGTTTTGGCGTAAAATGAAAGATAAAAATTTTTTTCCTCTTGTACACTCATCCGGGGACATACCGTATAATGGGTCAGCGGATATTGTCACTTCTCAATGACATCCTCGAATTTAATTTTTACTCAATTCACACAAAATCTGTTAAAAAATCTTATCGGAAAACTGTCCAACTGTGAACCTTTAAAAAAATTACTTTGTAAAGTCTGATCAAGTGTTAAACAGACCATAAATGAATTATGTTGTCTCCTGTCACTCTGGACTTTAATATAGTCTCAAATGAAGGAAAAAAAAACAATTTCCATTTAATCGATTTCCGTTTCCGATAAAGCACCATTAACCCCTTGACGTGCAATATCGGCGCGCGAAAATTGATGAAAACCCAACCCAAAAAATGAAATAAGTGGCAAATGAGTTGTAAATAAATCCCCAGCGTTCGATGGATGTGGTCACTCGCCCCCGGCCGTCTTGAATAATTCACTCCCCCGCAAATTAGCGTTTTCTTTGCATTGCGTTTGTGTTTCCAGCGACCGGCTTGCCGTCTCCGCAAGGGAGTGCCCACGTGCAGCCGCAGGCGGGCTCGCAGAGCACCCCCAGTCCGGGAGGGGCGGGCGTGGGGGGCATCCGGCGGACGCTGTCGGGATGGAGGGAATGGAGGCGCGCCGACCCCACGCTTATCAACAGTCTGTGGAGGAGCAAGATGGGCAACGGCATCAGAAAGCAGTTAGGTGGGTATTGTGCCCGATTTCACACTCAATTACCCGAACGGCGATTAATTTCGCTATTGACGGATTTCGCGCTATTCACTTACAAATCCTCGGTTTGGTTTAATTGAGACGAGGCCGCTATTTTTCGTTTTCATTCAAATTTACCACAAGCGCGCTATTGATTTGAATAAATTTTTTTCAGGGAGTGGAGCGGTTGCCAACTGAATTTCTAATTATTTACATTTTTATTCGTGAATAATTCGCGTATTACGGAACTTTTACTATAAAATCTGTTGCCAACTACTGCGAAACAAAAATAAAACACATACCTAAGTTGTTACATGTTTTAACACGTTATTTATGTCAAATGTCAGTTTATAAGAGTTGGAAAATTGTCAAATAAATTTGTAAGTATTTGCATTTTCATTCTTTGCATAATTTACGAATTACCAAACTTTAAAACTAGTGTAGCCAACATATCGAAAGTCCATTAAAACACACTTCCTCTTGTTTTTCATATATTGAAAACACATTGAAATGTGAAATAAATCTCAAAAAATTAAATATTTATGATAAACAATCGATAAACCCGTGGAAGAAAAAAATATGTATAAGCAAGTGCAAATATTCTTGAACTTTTCGTCCGAAATGTCACATGTCACTTAAATTTTGTAAAAATGTGATACGAATGAGATCAAAAGAACGTTAAAACCAACCTTTTGTGCTTATCTAAGAAAATAGGAGGAATTCTCCTCAAGTTCCGCCTGTTTGAAGTTTTAAGTGGGTAATAACACGAGTAAAGTGAGACAGGTACCAACCTAAGGGAAATTAAGTTAAGAAAGCGAACAGTTCAGCGAATGCGACTTCACCCTGCCATACAGAAGATATTTATGGTGAAAGTATCTTATGAATTAATTTTAGTGCGTTTGTCAACATCATTTTCTGTATCTATTGCAGCAATAGACATAATTGTATTGAAAAACAAATGAATTCCATCCTTGTGAAATATTTTAAAAGTCATTACATGTAAAAAACAGTTGAAAATTTGTGAGTGAAAGTATTTAATAAACGTGAATGTGTCAATTATCCTCGAAAGAATTAAAAAAATAACAAAATAAATGCAAATGTAGAGCGTTTAGTGATTATAATTCAACGCAGAAGCAAAAGAAAACCTGAATCCTTTTTATACAAAATTGTAAAAGCGATTTTTATGTAAAATCACCAACGTAAATAAATCAGAAATATGTTCAGAAATTACTGTCACTTTGACAATTATTTTTTGTATGTAACTGGGGAAAATAAAAAAATACAAAACTCAAACAATGTTCAAATCAATGTTGTCAACGTATCGAATCGTGTACCATTTACAACGTGTTTACGAAACAAAAATAAACATACTTACTAAAATACATATTCTGATGATTTGATCCCTCTCTCATATTAAGTATGCAAATGTATTGATTGATTACCGAACTACGAAATGCGGTTTTGTTTTAGAAATGAATGAAAATACTTTTTTATGCCAGATAATTTTCGGTTCCTTGTCTACTACAATAAGATCGTTTCATTTTTCGGTTTCGAGTATTTCGTGTGACGTTTCTTTATTTAAACCATGTTATTTTCCCGTGTTTATGAAAAAAAGTGTAAATATTCTTTGAATATTTCATTTGAAATGTCAAATGTCATCTACATTTTACAAAACAAAGGGAATGAGATCAAAAGAACGTAATTTACCTACTTTTTCTGCTTATTTAAGCAAATAGTGGAACACTCTCAAGATTCACCTGTTTGATGTTTAAAGTGTATAACACTAGAAAAATTGCAGTACCAACCTGAAGGAAATTAGGGAGAAAAAGTTATCAGTTTAACAAATTAATGTTGTCACCACAATTTAATAAACAGCGAAATTATACAGGGTGCGTCAGAACTCGCGCCCCAGAGAAAAATGCCATATAAGGTAAGATACCAGGAAAGTGGAAAAAATGTTTAAAAAATTTTATCTATAAAAATTTCGAAGTTATGAGGGTTTAAAGTTTATTTATTTCTGTTGGAAAAATGATTTTTCAAGTTTTTTTGCTATAGGTTATTAAAAGAGGAAACAAGGAAGCTGTATCCTAAATTGTAACTCTGTTCAATGTTATTTGTGGCTTTTATTGGCAAAATTTTTGTCCATTTACTAAATAATTGTAAAAAAACATATGTATACAAGATTATCTGTATCCTTAAATAGATATAAAAAAATGTCAAATGTCAAAAAATAAATGTCCAAATTTTTGACAGATAGAATTTTTTAAACATTTTTTTCATGTTCCTGGTATCTTACCTTACTTGAAAATTTTCTCTGGGGCGCGAGTTTTGGCGCACCCTGTATTATATTAAAAATTTAAATATTCTTGTTATCTTCGACTAAGCTTCTTTGATATTTTAGGATAACTTTTTTACGTTTGAGCATAAAGCCATTTTTACATTTTACAACGTTTCTATCACATACAGGGTGAGTCATTTATAATAAAAACCTTCAGACGCAACCCAAAATACATTCTTAGATACCACAAAAGCCAAGTTGTCAGTGAGAATGTATTTTGGGTTGAATCTAAAAATCGGTTAGGGTTTTTATTATAAACCCTATCTACAAAAAAATAAGATTATAACAAACTTGACAGTTAAAATTAAGATTTTTACTTTTTGCGTTTTCACCAAGTGTGTTTTTACATTCAAATTAAAAATATGAATGACAGTACAGTTGGAGACAAAATACTTTGGTCGTCAATGTCATTTGAGTGACATTAAATTGTAAAGCATGCTTTAGGACTGTTAACCTTATTTTTAGCTACTGTCAATCACAGTTGACAAGTTGTACATATTTTTGATAGAAAAATATAATAGCTGTCATTAATTTGAAATTGACATTTATTTTAACGTTAAAGCTTGAATTACATTAAAGTGTCAGAAAAGTAACGACCAAACTATTTTGTCTCCAACTGTACTCATGAACTTCACTCAAAAATTTTAAAGAAAAAAATTAAATAAGCAGAAAACGAGAGCTATCTGCGATTATAATTTTATATTTGAGACCAGATCTAAGGTGTTTTGGGTTCGTTTAGATGAGATTTTTGTGAAAAATCTGACAGAAATACTAATTAAAAGTCAGAAGTGAATAAATGAGTTCAATGATTACTGTCACTTTGCTCTAAAAAAAGGTTTTAATATTGGAATTTTTTATTCAGTTACCTCAATCCGCATGTCTTTGAAGTGTAAATTTATTGGATGCTTGTTATTATCGGAAAATTTTAAACAAAAAAGCTCAAAGAGTAAAATCTATTTTTGGTGCAGATTGAGCCATTTTACCTATAGACAATTCAAATTACTTTGATGTGGTTTTAACTCGGCTTTTACATTAATTAAAATGACCAGTAGTACCAACCCACAATTCATTAGCGGGTCGTAGTTCATCAGATGTTGTCACTTGTGCCTTAAATGTCCAGGCAACGCCGAGGTGTACATAATGCTGGCCCTCCTCATCGGCTTCGTCACCGTGGTGATCGGTTGCTGGCTGTCGGACAACTGCTGGTCGCCCGATCCCGAAGGTCACGTGGTGACCGTGGCCTGACCATCGGCCAAACCCCCTCTGAGTCCCGACCTTCCCATCAGCATCGTCAGCGTGTCGTCGTCGACGACATCGCGGCCGTCGAGTCCCGAAAGCGACTGGCCGCTCGTCGAGCCCTCTGACGGAGATTCCATCAACCTCTGACACCACGCACTCTGCGATCAGACTAAAGACGACACCTGCGAGCTCCACAAGAGTCTCGAGAACGGTCACGTGTGCCGGATCGAGCTGGACGACCAGGACCTGGTGCTAACTTAAAAAATCCCCGAAACTTGACTGGTGTTTTACGCAAACCGGTCGCTTTTTACTGTCAATTAGGGGTATCTCCGTAGCCTTCTTCTTGACCTCTCACCCCGTGTTATGTCAAAAGGTGCCTTTTAGACTTAGGCCTGGTTTTTTAGCTACTTTTTGATGGTTCTCTCAGATTTAAACTGGTTTGCGTACAACGCGAGCCAATGACAGGGTCGCTTTAGTGCCAACTTGATGTTTTTTATTTTAAAGACTGCAGTGGCGCCAACGAAATGTAAAAATTTGTGTACAAATAATGTTCTAAATTCGGTGGTTTGCACACTTGATAAACTGCAATTGTCAATTAATAGAGAGAAAAATGTATGTGACTCTAGTGTTTCTATTGTTTTGCTTAGATCAAGCAGCCTTGAATTTTTTACTACTATAGTTTGCTTGATCTACACAACACAGCTTAATAATCGGCTAAATTTATAGATGTTAGACTTGTCTACTAAATGTAGGACCTATTCATATCAGCCTGCCTTTCTGTGCTGTGCCTCTACAGAATCTTATTTAAACACCCTCCTTAGAATAAAAAAAAAAAAACGGAGGGTATCTAAACTCGGCGTTCGCGCTTCTAATAAAGGCCTAATAAACTCTTGAAATGTATTTTAATTTCAAATAAAAAATTAGATATAAAATGTGTAAATAAGCTTGCATTAAGACTGATTTCATATAAAAATTAAAACGCCATTTTGGCGCCACTTAAACCCAAGTGTTAAATCGAGTCATCTGAGAGGTACATAGCCTATCGCCATGTCCGCTCGTAATCACGTGACGCACACGACAAATTAACTCCTCTAACCTAAAATCGGCCTAAATGGTAGTTTCGCAGGCGTTTATTTTAGCTGTATACAACTTTTTCCTGATTTTGCTTAAGAACAATTGCTCAAAAACATTGTAAATAGATTTAGTTGTGATGTAAGCCACGGCCAAAACGTTTTAATTGCATGATAGAGGGAACAATATTACATTACTAGTGTATGTATCCTGGAATTTACCGGTTTTTAACTGTCAGACCTAATTAAGATTGACGATATTGCAACGATATTTGTACCAAATGTATTTACTCATGAAATAAAGTGACGTAACAATAAATTTGAGATTTTTTTAGTCCTACTTACAAATGTTGAGTGAAAGTATCTTATGAACATGTTACGTGTCATCCTCTAAAATGAAAATACGGAAAAAACACAGTGCTTTTGGTGATTATGACTAATCGTTTAAGCAAATACGAGGGTTTCTTAGGACGCTTAAATAGTAAAATAATGATATTAATACGATTTTGAAACATTCAAAAAAAAGTAGTTCGGTGATTATTGTCACTTTCTTCAAATGAAAGACTAATTTCAAAACTGTATTTGTTCTCCATAAAAACCATTAACAGATATTGATCTTCACGTGCACTTTGGTAATAAAAACCATTGAACTTGATTTAAAATCTTTATTCAATAAAGCTGTTTACACAACAATGTGTGATAAATAGAAAAAAAAATGAAATGAAGGAAAATAAGTACAAACTAACGGATTAATATTTGTTATTACTAAATCATTACGAATACAAAATTATATATTAATGACTCTTGAGAGTTTTTGCACACGATTGAGTAATAAATCTCCTTGTTTAACAACGGAATTAAACTGTGCATTTTTCAAATCGGGACGATTTGTTTCGACAATTCCCCCGACTCTATCAATTTTGCAGTGCAATCTTCCAGTTGCAATAAATGTAGATAATTCCCTAAAAAATTCATTCTGCAATTAAATGACTCGAAATCGGACAAATAACATACGAATCGATAAATTCCACTGTGACACCAAAAGCCTCGGCCATATATTGCAGAGTTAGAGACCTGTAAGACTCTAGTAATTGGGTATAAGCCAAAATTTTCATTTCTCTGACGTAATAACGATAATGAGGATTCAAGAAATAGTCCTTACGCAAAATTGTCTCAACCTCCGCTACAAATACAAAATTAGTCCCGAAATTAAAACAATTGTTTTTGGAGCTCACCAAGATTGTTGAAAAATTCGGAATATTGGCAATTGTACAATGAAAACAAATAGTCTTTAACGAAAGCTTCAGAGTGTAAAACTTCCAAAATTTCAGACCCTTTTACCACCTGCAATTTAGAGTAGAGTTTGATTCATGAATAATTAATCAAATTACTTTGTCTCTTAATTGGTTTCGTGGCAGACTTATGATAGACGTGTAGACGGTGTATCTTACAAACGCTTTGTAATCCATTAATTCGTAAGAGGTGAAGGTGCTGACTGTATCTAAAAATAGGTTTGCGGCTGTTTTGAAGTCACGGACGGCCATACAGTAGGCCCCTTGATAGACTTTGAGTCTGTTGCGCCTGTCCCAATCACCCCCTTCCTCAATTAAACTACAATAATAAATTTTTATAATCATAATTTAAAAATAATGACTTGTAGTACCTTCTCGCTTTTTCTATATTGCGAGTAATAATGTCATGGTCCATGAAAAACAAACCGATTCTGATCAAGTGAAAAATAATATCGAGTCGGTGACCCAAAGACACCGTCTTATCATACGTTTGTCTAAAAGTCGTCACTGCATTTTCTTTATCACCGATTCGGCTATAATACTCCGCTTTCTTCAAATACGCCTCACGGACTTCCATCTCGCCTAAATTTTTCTCAGCGTCTTCAATAGCCGCATCCAACTTTTTGATTTCTTCGGCGTTCTTTGCCTGGATCGTTTTAAGGAAATTGGCGTCTTTTTTCCAGCCGCAATCCTTGATAATAAGCTCGTACCAAGGAGCCATGTCTGAAGAGGAAGTTAGGTTATGTAGCATTATTACAAAGCAATTTTGGGGTAAGAAATTGGTTTCGAAAAGATTTTTTAACACAATATAAGTGTAGAATTGTGGGTTATTTAAGAAATTAGAGGTTTTGAGTAATAATTACCGTCTTTTTTGATGGCATCAGTGATTTTTTGGTGGACAAAGCGGTCATTCCTGTACTCTGGAAGAGTAAGTAAAAACTTATGATGGGCGAGTTCGAGGTCGGGGTTTTTCTCGAGGCCCTGGTCTTCTAGGTTTTCAATAGGCATTTTTAATAGTTTTTAAATAATCGAAGAAAACACAAGTCACCAACTTTGACAAAAACTGACAAATGTCACTTTTTGAAAGCGCGTGCGCACCACAACAAAGAGTTCGTTCTAAAATGCTTGTCGAGTAGGTTCAGATATATCTCTGTGTCAAAAGTTACGTAAAGCTTTAACTATACCTAGTTAAAACATAAACATACAAACACAGTTATTTTTAATATAAGCTCTGAAACTGTTAAAACTTTAGATTAAACGTAATTACAGGAAGTCAAGAAGCTACAGTTAAAATTACAGCTTTCTGGATTTTTCTAATTTAGATTCATATTTGTTTAACTTAGTTTAGAATATTGTACAGCTCCCGCTTTTATATTTTTGGTTTTAAGCAAATTTTTTACGGGTGGATTGCACCAACACTAATTAAATTTAATCTCTGATTAAATCCATAGTAACCATTATTATTATCATAGTTACAATTGTTCATAATCAGAGATTAAATTTAACTAGTGTTGGTGCAAACCACCCTACATTGTCTAAATTTTTAGACTTTTATCTATGTTTGGGTTTGTTTGAATCTTTCAGTTTTTGAGGTTTAGGTATTGTTGCGGTCTTTGAAAACTAAGACATTTACATGTGGCACACTATTTGCTATTTTAAAAATTTGTAAAGTGTAAATTAGATTTTAATCAAAGATGACAATGTCAGTTTCAATTTGTCGGATTCGAATGGTGCTACAAAAAAATACTAGTTATTTCTGTCTACAAAATTTAGGTTCATTGTTTTGAAGTAAAGTTTTCTACTCTACGACACTGACATGTATTATTTGAATGTCATTTTAAAAACTTCACTTCCGGGGCATTTTACAATGACAAAAATTGTCATTTTTTTTCTATTGTATTTTTGCTTGCATGTAAATGATTGCGATTTTTTAACTCAAGTTGGTGTCAAATTAAAAATTTTAGTTTGGCAACCTTGATTTTCAAATTCAAATGTCAAACTTTTATAAGCAATTGTCATTTATTTTCGTAGAAAGATTACTAATAATTCCGTGTTGCCAATAGATTTTTTTGTTATAAACAATAATAGTCACTCGTTGTTTTGATTATTCTCATTTTCCAGTTTTACGTTACGACTTGTCGTTTACTTAGATTTCATACTTCGTTTTCTAATATCTTAAATGCCAGTTTATTCCAATTTATAGCTTTTGTAAGTTTAATAAATAGCACTTGAATTTATTTGGAGTTTTCGAGTTTTTCAAGTAATTGAATTCCACTTTTCGTAAGTTAGTCGAGAGTTTTTTTGTTAGGACTTATATTAGAAAGTTTATTCTCAATTTTTTAATTGTTTTTTAGTTTTCCAAAAATCGAATTTTGTGACTGACCCTTATCTCTTGCTGTAAAGGTCAAACTGCCCCTTAATATGGCAGAGCACATCCATATTTAATAAAATTCAGCAAAATTTATGACTCCGAATATTAAAACTCTCTTCACTTTGATCCCACTGCTCCTCTTACTCCTATTCCCGTCCTGCGAAATGTCATAAATAAGAAAACTTTGTTAACTTCTCCTCGACTTGCTTATATTTCCAAACAAATTGAGTTTCCAGGTTTTTAATCCACTCATTTTTCCATAAAAGCCAATCTTTGCCCTTCTCCTCCTTATAATTCATCAAAAAGTGTCCTCAGCCAGCCCCAGGAGCCCCATTTTCACTTTCCCAATTCTTTAGAATACATATTCGATCAATTTATCACCGACCTGTACCTGATTTAGCTCCGACCTGAGCTCATTTATTTTTCTCTCGTTCTCTCTCCCTGCTACAATTTTACACATATTTCCGGCCCGGAATCCCGGACTCGTTCCGTTCAATTTCATTCATCCTTCCACCTTACTATTCCCGGAACCATAAGAAGCACAAATATTCCCGTGACGTCACTCGGAATGCCCGAATTCTAGCGCCACAAAGGGACGCCAGGCGTCCCGGCGTTGGCGCCTGTTTATCCAGTGTGCTCCCAGCATCCAGCTGGAACGGACGTATCGCGTCGGGAACAACCATTTCGTCCAAAAACTTTCCAACTTTATGGATTTGTAAGAGAGTTGCGAGAGGATTGTTTGGTGAGTGCTTTGACATCATTAATCTGTGGTGATATGAGCGGGATTTGGGGATAAGTGCAAGCCAATACACGATTAATTTTGTGAGAGCATAATTTAATTGGATTTTTCCGCTAAAATGTAACAGAAATGTATGTCAAATGTTGGCTGGGAATTGAACGAGTCGTAAAATGGTTCATTCCGCACTTGGAACTAATGGCCTATTACGACATTGTGACCTTTATATTTTCACCACTAGTGCATATTTAGGACTACATTATCATAAACCGGACATAAAGCAGATTTATTTGCATATTTTTCAAGTTTTATTGCTTATTCAGATGAAAACAAAATTAATTAAAACTTAGATTTTTGATCCAGATTCAAAAACGGACGCCATTAGCTTATTTTTTTTTAATCAAAACCTGATATTTTTTAAGTTACTGATTAAAACAATACAATAAAAAATGAGCTAAATGACGTTTCTTGAAACTCGAGACGTTTCAAAGGCCATAATCTTTGTCAAGAACTTTTTTAATGGAATTTTTAGAAATTCCAATTATACCTAAAAAACAATTAGCTAATTGCACGAAAATGAGAGGAGAGAAATAAAACTTGTTACCAAAATCGCGCTGGCGCGAAAATGATTAATTCTACCAACGCAACAAAAAATTTGTAATATTTGAGAAGAATCGTTCAAACTGTTTGTTTTGAAGTGTTCAATTATGAAAGCATACAGAAAATTTCCTTCATGTCTATCAATATCGACGCGAAACCTTTTCAATAAGCGAAAATTGCGCGTCTAAATAATAAACAAGATTTTCTTCCACAAAAAACAATTTTGAAATGTTTTAGCTTTTAATGAAATTAAATGTGGCCCACAAAACGCTTAAATTATTTCAACTTTGTTTTAAAATTTGTACCAAATAAATTAAAATTAATTAAAAGCGTTTTTCTGGTCATTCTGACCTCTCCAGACCAGATTTATCGATTTAATATTCTCATACGTATTTTGTTCAGCATTTTGAATAAAGTAATTTAGAAAATGAGGATTTTGCAACTTTAAACAACGCTAATTAGTTACTGGTCAAATACAAATTGTGGTAAACTTTTTTTTTAAATGCGATAAAATAGATATTAAAGTTACTAGATATCGAAATGGTTACTGCGCTGGAAGTTATTACATATTTGATTATAAAATTCCTGTCCTTGCAGTGGTATGAAATAAAATTACACATAAAATATCCGCAGATGACTTTCATGAACAAAACAATTTCAAGTTGGCAGTATTGTTCCTCTCAATTTTTATCAAAGAAAATAAAGCTTTGTAATTTATAGCACGTTCTCAACTCGGTTATCGTCTATCAAAGCAAACCGAGGAAGAAAAAAACAATTAAAAATTACGTCCGTCTTGACTACAAAAGACACAAAAGACTCTTTCATGTCCGGGACACTAAATTACAGTAATTTGGTGTTTCTTCAAGTTGGTACTCGTGTTTCATCTTGCCTGTTATTAAAACAATTGAAAAAGTTTGACAGTTTAGAACCCAATAATCAATACGCTTTATTTACGCCCAAAGTATGCACACAAAGCCGTTATCTGGGTCGTTGCCAAACTCAAAATTTACAACAATTTATTTTCCTCAAGTTGTCACACTGGCCCATCGCCATTCGGTGAGGTTTTACAATCTGAGATCAAAAAGAACCCTAAACTTATTATTATGACAGTTGGAAATTGTTTTCGGATGTAAATGATCCGTTAAAGCGGAAAGAACTAAGCTGGCAAACTTCCAAATTCTCAACTAAACTCTATCCGAACTTAATTATTGTAAACGTTTTGTTTTGTTTAAGTTGTACAGACTGATTTAAGTTACTAGAGTTTTAAGCGGATCAAGAGTCCAATTAACAATAAACAAATTGTTGCCTAGCAGCCTCGCAAGGTTATATATAATTTATTTGACAGTTCAGTGTTGTTGCCTAGCGACACGCAATTTTTTGACAATCAAAGCCAACCATGATTGATTTCTTAAACAACACTATGAAAAGTGTTGCTAGTTTATTTAGCTAGCACTCGAGGAACCTCTCAAGACGACTTGAAAGCCTCTTCACTTCCGTCGATGTTTTCGTTTGAATTTGAGTCCATTGAGAGATTACAAAAGCGCGAACTTTAATAACTTTTGCATAATTAAATTTGAACGTCTTTTCTTAACGGAATATGTAACAAGTTCTTATTCTAGACAGAAATGAAGTTTGACATTTGACAGATTTATTTTCCACTACATTGATTTAGTCGTGTTTTTGGTGGTATGGAATTATGTCTTCCCTTCCAAAATATAAATGAGAGTCAAATTTAGTCCATGACCGATTTGATTCCGTTTTTTGCGTTTATTTTAATTGTCAATTTGTCCAACAACGCTTACATATTTAATGAGGTAAACAGGTTTGAAAAAAGCATTTTATTGATCTTGTGCCGAAAATTCACACACACGACTTGCGTAAATTGGGTGCTCACAAATGCTCGTCTCTATGTAATATTAAGCGTTCCCTCAAGACTTGTTATCTAAGTTTTGATGTCAAGTATTTGCGTTTCGTGCAAATTAACTCATTTGACACAGATTTGGCAGTTTAACTAATGGAATAGATTATAGTTAAATCGCTAGTTATGAAAGATGTGCAATTTGTAGAGATGAGTGCACGATCGATCCTTGTACCATTATTATGCAGTCGAAGTTTTGTGTAAAAAGAAGAATGTGACCTATGCCTGAATTGAGTTCACCTGACACTCAGAGAACGAGAATTTAGTGGTTATATGATGGGTGGATTTGTTACATTATTGATTTTATTCCGCGATTTGGCGAGAACTACGAACATAATACTTTGTATGAATTTACAAAGTTTTGAGACTGATCACGTCAGTTCATATTAAAATTGATTGATATAATTCAAATTTTGCGCCACAGAAAAAGTAGAGGGCGCTATTACAGCACATTAAATCATATAGTGTGCTTTATTACCACGACCATAATTTAAATTTTCATTATAAATAAGACAATTTATGCTGCTATTCTGTAAAAAAAAATACGTGCTATAGCGCTATAACTCTTTAAGCTATCGACTATAAGTAAAAATCGAATTCTCTAAGGAAATATTTCTCTATACCTAAAATTCTATAAGCTTAAAGTCTCTATAAAGTTATGGCGAGAAATTTGCTGACCGTAAAGACTTATAGTCTCTATAACGATATATTGTCATAGTAACAATGTCACTCCTCAATAATTTATTATAAGTACTTCTCTTCGTATTTCGCCAGTGATGCTAATTTTTGTTCTCTTATAATTATTGGTATCGTGTAAAGTTAATAATAAGTACATAGTTCAGTGATGGATCGTAATAATATTGCACTAATTACATTATATTTATTATTAAATGAAGAAAAAGAAAAAAGAAGGTAATGTTGTGGACAATAATGAGCTTCTTACTATAAAATCTTTAATAAAAAGAGTGTCTATTTAGAAAAAAGTTATTTTGTAAAAGGTACAAGCAGGTTTTATGAAAATCGGTAATACATTTTTGTGTAATTTATTAATATGAGCTCAAAGTTGATGCATTTTCTAAATTCTCCTTCGGCTTTAGTTTCAAAATTGTTACTTCTTCAACTCGTTCTTCAAAAACGTTGCAAACAATCCTACTAATTTAATTACGTTTTTTTCTCTTTGATGTTTATGTTGTATTCTCATTAATTTCTTACTAAAAATTAGAGAATGTTTAGCAAATTTACATTACAAATTGTGTCTAAATTTTAGCGGTAGTCTTTTTCTGACTTTTCGTCTTCAAATTTCCAAAAACTGTTCACGATACTCAATTGGTTCCCGTTTTTGTGTTTTCATTTCTAAATTTTCTTAGACGATTTTTTTGCTGAATGCCATTTTTTATTAATTAAATTAAAAACTGGAACTGCCAACATCCAAAAATTACCATGAATAAATTTGTTAAGACTGTTTGACATTTCCACTTAATAAAAAACAGACTTTAGGGTAATTACAGCGCTATAACTCGAATGTTTACATAGACGCTTAGAGAATACCAATTTTGATACGATTCTATAAGGACTTTAAAAAATTTATATACAGAGCTCTATTAGCTATGGAATATACCAGCTTATAGACTATAGCAGATTTTTAGAGAATAGCCTAATAAATTTACATTATTATCTACATTATTGTATTATTCATATTTTTATAATTAAGCGATACAAAGTCTATTTTATGGAGTCATTACCAACGTGGGCAAAATCCATAATTGAAAAAACAATATCACTCGTAATGGTCAACGGCAAATGTTTATTAAATATGAGGGAATGCCACTAAATTTTTAAAAATATTTGAAATAAGTGACCAAATTTTTTCTGTATTATTTTGCTAAAGGAGGTAGTGTCTAAATAAGCTCAATTTATTAAGTTAAAGCAATATTAATTTATTATTATTTTGTATAAAATTTTTATACGAGGGTATGTAGATTCTAATAGAGAAATGTGTTTATTATTTTTAATCATCAGTGGTTCAGTTTTTATTAGTAACAAATATGATTCTAAAAGTATCATGCGTTCAATTAAATGTCTGATATTAGAGTGGTCCATGGTTTTAAAATTAAGTTGGCAATATTTTCTAGTTTTCTATCTTTATGTTTTTCAGTGCTGCCAACTTAATTTTAAAGTAAAAAAGATACTTGGATTAGATATTTAATTGAATTCATTGTTATACTTTTCTAAAGCTGCTTCACGAGGTGATTTCAATAATTGTGCAGAAATTTTGAAACGTGATAGTAGAGAACAAAAGATGCAAAAATAACTCAACTTATGTTACCCAAAAATTTCTAAGATATAGAAGAATTTAGTTGTCGGATAAAATGAGTCATTTTGACTTGTTTAGACCTGTACTAAGTACACCACTTCTTGAAATTTTTGCACAACTACTAAAATCACTCTGTATGTTATGTAATCTTGCTTTTTATAAATAATTGATTAA